TCTCAACACCTACCTAGCTAGGTATCTATAATTGATTTAAAAAGTTTATTAATAGGTAATTATTTTTTTTCGGTTTTCAATACTTATGGAAGATATTTTAGAACAAAACTTTCTATTTATTTACATATTTGATGCCATTCTTATTGTTTTTTTCTACGTTATTACAAACAGTACATTTAATGTTTTTCTAATGAGAAACTTGATAGATTTAACGAGAATATTTATTTTAAAGCTGTGTACCCCTTCCGTTCCTTTCAGTTGAATTTATTCAACTTCTTTACATCCCCAATGTTGATCGTTTCAGGAAATTATTAAAATTTCTATCATTTAAATCAATAATAAAGAAAGTTCTCAAGAGTAGAACTTTTTCAGTAATTAAAGACAATTTTATATCTGCTGACTTATAAAGTGTAAGTAAATTAACTTAAAGTGATAAAAAGTTATCTAATTTTTTTGATAAGTTTTTTCAAATCGGAAAGCATCTTTGCTGAAAGTACATTGAAAATCACATTCTTTTCATTGTTTATTATATGTCGTGATCCTAATTTGAAAATTAAATTTTATTATGTCTTTTAGTAGTAAACGATTATCAACGTCGAAAGATATTAACCTATCAAGATGAGCCTCTCTCGTAAAGAAATAGACGAAATAAAGACGGATTTGGAAAAAATCTGTTATAAGGTGGTAGGATCTGTTGACGACAGAATAATAGCAATTTTTGAAAGAGGACTTTACAATGGATATGACAAAGAGAAGTTCACTACAAAACTTTCATCAATTGTTGAAGCCAAAAAAGCGCAAAAACTTTCAGAGAAAGTGCATGGAATCTTAGGCTTTTATCAAGAGTCACCAAAATCTAAAAAACGCCATCATGATCAAGATAAAGAGGATGATGAGCCAGTGAAAAAGAAATTATTAAAACAGGATGAAAATTCCGAAACACCGGCAAGTAATAACGCCGCATTATCTTCGAATCAAATTAAATTAATGATGGAGAATGCACAACGTGAAATTGAAGAACGAAAGAAGAAATTAGAGGATATGAAAGTTGGAAAGACAGCGGAAGTTGACGAAAGACAAAAGAAAATTGCGGATCTGCAAAGACAGATACAAGCTAAACTTTCGGGGTCGCTTGGAACTATGATAAATCCTATAAATCCTTCGTTTGCAGCAACTGTTCCAAAACCAACAGACAAACCGAGGCCTTTGATTTTAGATGATGAGGGACGAACAGTTGATACCAGTGGTAGAGAAATTAATATTCAAACTTTAACGCCAACACTTAAAGCCAACATTCGCGCGAAAAAGAAGGAAACTTTTAAACATCAACAGACTGAAAAAGCAATTGAAGAAGCGAAAACAACTGAGCCAGCTTTCTATGACGAACGGATTATGGTTAAGCCAGCAATCCGAGGAAAGCGAGCTCTTCGATTTCATGAACCTGGAAAATTCCTTCAAATTGCTGAACGACTTCGAATGAAATCTCAACTTGAAAAACTTCAAAATGAAATTTCTCAAATTGCCAGAAAAACTGGTATCAGTTCAGCTACGAAACTTGCTTTGATTGCTCCCAAAACCGATGTTCATAGTGAGGGATTTCCACAATATGGTTACGAATGGTGGGACTCAGTAATTCTGACTGATGATCTGAATAAAATTGTCGAAGGCAAAATTTCAATTCGTGATCAAGCTATCACTAATTTAATAGAACATCCAACACAAATGCGACCTCCTAATGATCCATTGAGGCCAGCTTATCTTCCCGTATTTCTTACAAAAAAAGAACGTAAAAAACTAAGACGTCAAAATCGTCGTGAAGCATGGAAAGAAGAGCAAGAAAAGATTCGCTTAGGTTTGATTGATCCTCCAGAACCAAAACTTAAAATTTCAAATTTAATGCGCGTGCTTGGCAATGAAGCAATTCAAGATCCAACGAAAATTGAAGCTCATGTTCGCGAGCAGATGGCACGACGACAGAAAGAACATGAAGATGCGAATCAATCGAGAAAATTGACAGACGAGCAGAAGCGTGAAAAGAAAATAAAAAAACTTAAGGAAGATACTTCCATGGGAGTCAATGTCTCAGTTTATCGTATCAGAGATTTACATAATGTTCAATCTAAAAAATTCAAGGTTGAAACAAATGCTAAGCAACTCTTTATGACCGGTGTTGTGATTCTTTTCCGTGATTGTTGTGTCGTAGTTGTAGAAGGAGGTCCTAAGCAACAAAAACGTTATCGACGATTAATGATGCATAGAATCAAATGGGAAGAAGATATGATTAAATGCAGTGAAGTAACTGCTGATGGTGAAAAAGAAGTTCCCAATTCTTGCACTATTGTATGGGAAGGAAAAGTTCCAAGACGTTGTTTTGGTGAAATTAAGTTCAAGCATTTTACAATGGAAAAGCTTGTTAGAGAGTTTTTCCTAAAACACCATTGTGAACATTATTGGGATTTAGCTTATTCAGGAGCAGTTTTGGAAGCATCTGATATGTAATAAATTTGAAAGTTACAATAAATATCTTATTTTCAATAAAACTGTTTTGTTGAGTTTATAAAATAAAAATACCGGATTTAAATATTTCAAATGGAGATCAGCTGTTTTTGTTCGGAAGAAACATTCGGATTAAATATTTTATAAACAAAAGGTTTTTACACAAGTTCAAGTTATGATTTTTATAATTTTATTAATATTACCTGTTCTAAACTTTCTACTTAATATTTTTCGTAACTCTGTATGAAAGAACTCGAAGTTCGATTACTAAGTGATAATAAAATTTGTGTATTTATGTGAAAAATGTTAAAACTTCTGGAGAATAACTAAAAATAAACATAAAAGGAAAAAAAACATTTGATGATAGGGCAAAAAAAAGAAATGAAAGAATATCGTGCATAGTAAGTACTTATTTGACCTTGATTCTTGTGATATGGTTTTCGGTACCGGATGTAGCATTAATTTCCATGTCTAGAGAGTTAAATTTGCATAATAAAAAGGTATTTGAAAAGAATGCATTTAAACTGTTGATTCCTTCTCACAGGAAACATCAAAATTCTTAATTAATGATAAACGAAGGAAAGAAGAAGAAAAAACCACAAAAATCGATCTTCACGAACAAAACATTCATGTGGTTAAGAACATTATTTTTTTCCATCGCCTCTCAATTATTATCACATTTTAATATCATTTCAGATGAACTTACAACTTGTAAGTTTGCAACTAGAAAAACAATAAGGTTTCACGATTTACCATTTTTCTAGAAAATAAAAACACAATCAGAGTGTTAAATATCAATCATATCTATGTAAAGTTATCTCTTGCATTTAAGATAGATGCGAAACATTTTTTTCTCCGATCTTAGAACTTTGATCGTTAACCCAACAATTTTTCAAAGATTAGATATTCTTTGCATTTCAAATTGTCTCTGTCAAGTAGATGTGTTTAATATCTTTTGATAACTTTATTAAGTGGTCAAACATGTTTCATGAAAAAAATCAAAAATTAAGTTAACATTTAAGTTATTCTATTTTCCATAAAATGTAACTTCAAGTTGTGTAAAGGGAAATGAAATGACAAAAATTCTAGAAAGATGAACCCTTTGCCATGTTGACTCGTATTCTTACTACATACTTCTCAAATGCAGATTTCCTAGAAAGATTGCGCAAAACCTGGCGAGAAAACATTTCCTTACTTTAGTAAAACGATGAGAATGTCTATGATTTATATTTTAATTTTTTGCCTTTCCATTCTATTCGCTTCATTTATGTTCAAAAGTCGTGCAGTTTATTTTTAATGTCGTCTCTTGAAATAACAAAATTATTTCTTAGTTTTCGATATAAATTTGGAAATGAAGAAATAGAGAGAAAGTCATTCAATAACATTTTCAGTCTTTGACATTTAACAGATTTTGTCTTACATCAAAAACTGTTGACTACCTAGGTAATGAGTTTAATTGCAATCATCTACATTAATCAAGCGAATAGATAATTACCGGAGATTCTTTGTTCTACTTTGCATTCGCCTATATTCACATGTCATTCAACATTAATATCGGGGAAATAAAATAGAACTAACAGTTTTTCTATCTATTATCTCAAGCAACAGTGATAAATAAATAAAATTGTCACATCGTCAGTGATAATTTCTCAACTTTCTTCTTGACATCGCATCGATAATAAATATTTGATATTCATGGGAACTTAATTTGTGATTATCTGTCCCTTTTAAGGTTCAAATCGTTCTAAGTATGTTTATTATGATGGTGCTTTACTTTTCTTAATTCTCTTCTTTTTCTTCTTTCCCAAATACAAATTGTCCGATATGAAGTTTAACTTTGTACGTTTGTGTGAAAGACAAGAGAGTTTTATTAACTTTTACTCATGTACTTCTCTTCTCATATTCTTTAGAATCCCTGCAATGACCAATCTAAGCAGATTTTCTTCTCACTGACTGTTCTTTTTTTACATTAAACACAAACGTATGTGCATTGTGAAGCCATCACGTGTGTTTGTGTGGAATAGCCTTCCGAACAGAATAATAAGTTTAAAAATCTCAAAGAGACCAGTCAAGTTTCGTTCAGTTGTTCGCTGTCTTCATTCGGTAACGCAAGTGTTAATTAAATGCTGTTCATTGTCATAAGAAAGAACATAATTTATTAAAGTTTTTCTTTTCTACTCAGTGCAATTTTACAAATAAATATTTTATTTAATTAATGTTTGAAAGTATTTCGTTTCCCAATATCTTTCAAAATGATTTTTACGTCAGTTTAAATTAAAAAAGTGAATAAGCAAATCTAGTTGAATATTAAAGAAAGAGTTACATATTTCACTCCGTAATTCAGAACAATAACTGAAAAACAATATTGCATGAAGCGGTTGAGTGTAGATAACTCAACAAACACTTAAGACATTTTTTAAAGGAAGAAATTGTGAACTGAGAAGCCAGAAGGAAAGTAAGAAAAAAAGACGTTAAAGAGAATTTGATGCAGTTTTATTCTTGTTTTAAGTAATCAAGCTTGAAAGCATGAAAATCTGTGCAAAACGTATGCTGATTTCTGTTCTTTTGCGTATTGTCGGCGGAAATTTGAAATTATGTCTTGCAGCGAGTTTTACTATTTCTTAAGACAGAAATAACCTCAGATACTTTCAACCATAATTCATCTCTCTTGAGAGCTGAGACATTATGCAGTTTTTATTAAAATGTTCAACAAAATATTAATCATCATGGGAAGAATATCTATTAAGTGAAACTTTTCTTGCGCTAAATTCAACAAATAAAAGTTTCTTTAAAGATTTATAAACATCGTTTTTGCATTGCTTCTCTCCTTAAATGTATATCATATATGAAAACGATCATACGAAAGAAAGAAAAAACAAAAGACTTCAATATAGAATGAAATGAATAGAAGAATATAATTCATATAATAATAAAATCATTTACTTTCACATCAGTTTTACTGATTAAGTACTCGGAAATCAAATGAGCAAGCACAAATTTTTTTGTTTCGTTCACCGACGTTATTTGAATTAAATACTTGCTTCAGTCGATGATAAGGCCTTATTATAAACTTTTACATGTGTTGAAACAATATGCTTTAAATCCCAATATTATTTCTACTCATCTCTTATTATTTCTTCTTTCATTTGTGTCTATTATAATTTTAACGAGACAAGACACCACACGTCATGCCTTACACTATAAAAAATAAAATGAATAAATAAATCTACAAGATTCTTTTTCTTTTTTTTTGGCATATTAAACAGTGAATGGAATCGTTCCGAGAATTGTAAGTCTTCGTTTGAAGACGATGATAAATGAAGATGTTACAGCCCTGGAGTCTTATTTTTAATGATAACTTTGAAGCATTGTGAAAATGCCAACACAAAAATTCATTATTCGAACAAAAACTTTCTATCATAAAAAAAATCAAAGACGCGTTTATACTTATTCGTAGATACAATCCACAGAGTGGTAATATTTCTATCGTTCTTCAATCTTCATCCGACCACGTAAATATTCAACTATTTGTTTATTTCAAATCATACATCAGCATGGAAGATCATAAAAACTCAGATATTGATGACCCATGTGGAAGATGAAGTCGCAAGAATGAAGCATTCATTGTTATAGAAGCGAATTGCTGTTGAAATAGATATGAAAGGTATTCAGTTTGAAGATGTTTGGTTTCGCGCGTGAAAAATTGCAAATAATAGATTCAGCAAATATTTACTTCATTAAACTATAATAACCTGTTTAAGATGTAATTAATAATTTATGCGACATTTTATAGATAAGCTTTGAAGATGAGTTATTGGCGTTTTTAAGGATACATTGTTATCGATTTGTTAACATCTTTCATTACTGAATGTCTAAACAGATACGAAAATATTAATGTATGAACGATAATGATGCTGTTAGCAGGAAAAGGATTTAATTCTTTAAAATATCAGAGAACAAATTGCCTCGTGAATGAATAATATTCAAACTTAAATCGCAAGAAGAATGATGATGTATGCTGATTGCATTGCGTTTGATATTTTTATGTGGTGAAAAAAAAATTACATTGATCTCGTGTTGTACTCGTACGTAAGCTATAATTTCAGTAAAAAAATAACAAAGTTATTGAATGTATAAGAGAGAAATAATTGACGCTATGTAAATATATAAATACTCGAAGAATGGTCTATAAATGCTAGGCATCGTAAACGTATATTTATCCGACATCATCGCGCTGCACAACTATCCGATACGACTTTGTGGTTGATCTTTTGTTACAATGATTTCTTTTCTCTCATTCGTTATTCTTTTGTTTTTTTTTTTTTGCTTTAACTTCAATGCAAAAAGTATGTCTACACATAGTTATGTGCCATGTTGGATTAAGAAAAAAAGAGCGGAAGATATAGATTTAAAAGCATAACATTTGAGCCTTTTTCACGTAAATCCAATTCATTAGAAATTTTATTCGCTCGCTCGAGTTTCATCATGAGAGATATTTACATCTTCTACTTACTATCTGTTGTCTTGGTACGTGCTTTGCTCGGCATTTCTTGCTTTTCCTTCGCTCACGATTTCTCTAAGACATAAGCGAGATGCACTGAGACCTTGGAGAATTCTTTTTTTAATGCATTATGAGGTTGTAAGTATAATGATGCACCTTCGTACCATGCAATTAAATCTTTTGAGCTTGTAAACTAAGTAGGATTTAATTCACGAATAGGTTGAGTCGATGAAGCTTTAAAACTATGGAATTCAATTTCCATTAATCCACGTAAATAAATAAATAAAAGTTAAGCAATGGCAATGGAGAAATTGTTGTTTTTCAATTTGAATTTCTTCAGCCAAACTGCACAAGTTAATTGAAAATTTTTTCATCTAAAATGTATTTCAAATTATAATTTAAAATTGAAATTTATAAGCAAGCTTCACATAGTTGGTTGGTTTGTTTGTCGTCAAGCATTTATTTCATTTTGATTTTTTTTTCATTTCGTTTTTTGTTGAACTTTCAACTTTCAAAGAAAAGAAATAAAAAAAAAAGTTTCGTCATACAGTTTTGATTAGTATTCAAAATATTTGATTAACAATAGAGTCATTATTCAAATCGAGTTATTGTTGAATTGTCGCTTTGGTGAATTTTAAAATTCCGATATGAAGTCTCCGATAGAGAAGAAGATAACAGAGCAGTTTTATTTTATTTATGTTGATATATCTGACATTATGCTGTACAAAGAATCAGAAAAAAAAACTTGAAAGCTTTTGAATCTCTCCCTTCTAAAATAATAAATAATAAATAAATAAGAAAAAATCATTATCTACACTTGTCTCAACGAATAAGTATTCTCATTTATTTCTGTCGATAATATTTTAAATATAAATATTTCCTTCGTTGCTGATAATGTTTATATGACGTTTGTTCTCGTTACAGATAACATGGTGAGACAACTCGATTGATAAATCACTTCAAACAGATTTAGTGCTTAAAGCGAATTGCTAGTCATCTCAAATTACTTACTTGATTGTCCTGAAAAAAAAATATTTAGGTAAATATTTGTGTTGTGTGGCTTGTGTGTAAAATTAAAATAAAAAATCTTAACGCTCAACAAGATTATTAACAAATCAAAACGAAGTCGAAGAAGGAAAAGAGTGTCGACCGCCCGTTGAGTCTTTAAAAAAATGTTACCATTAATCATTCGAAAAGAAGAGAACAATATTTCAGCTCTTTTTTCATGTTACAAATTCAATTTGTTTCCATTTCTACATACAGCTCAAAGTCGATTTTAAATCGTCCTTGTTTATGTCATTAATTTCTTAAGTTCAGTAAATTGAGTATCAAAATGCTATTTGAATTTGTAGACTGGGCGTTTTGTTTTGTTCTGTTTCATGTTCATGTAAATCGAGGAAAAAATTGTCAATCACATTGTAACATCTTGATTGCTTTGGAAAATTAATCCAATTTCCTTATTCCTCAACAGAATGGTTTTAGTATTAAACGGCGTATTACAAGAAGATGTTTGTCCTTTGGACACACATTCACTCTTCATGCAACATCCAGTGTACCGTGACACGGCCAATCAACTTCTTTCAATTCCAGTTAAAACGGTAAGCTTAAATCAATACTTACATTCCTTAATAATTAATTTAATTATCTTGAAAAGATTGGACCAGTTGGACTTTTATATGTTAATCAACGAGAAATGGCAGCAATTGCACCACATGACAAGAATGTTCATATTGTTGGATCTGATGATGCTACAACTTGTATAATTGTTGTCGTAAGACATTCGGGTATGTTTTAAGTAATTAAAAAGTTCTTCAAATAGTTTTTTAATTCAATAATTTTCACAGGATCTGGAGCTGTTGCTTTAGCACATTTAGACGGTAATGGAACTGACGAAGCCGTCACAACAATGGTTTCCAGAGTAAATGAACTCGCATTGGGATATCCCGAAGGAAGAATTGAACTTCAATTGATTGGAGGCTTTAGAGATCAACAAGGATATGCAGAAGATCTATTTAGTAACATTATGCGTGAGTACAAAATTTGAACAGAATAATCTCATGTTTCATGATAATTAAAATAAAATGTGTAGCTGGAGAAGGTTGAAATATTTTGGAAATCTCTTTTAAAAAATATTTACATGGTGTGAATAAGGAAAAAAGTCATAAAATACATGTCGAGGATACCGATATTTTATATTAATGATGTCCAGTATTGTATCCAAGGTTTCAAATTGATTCCATTATAGAAGAACATGGAAGAAGCTTTTTCACTAATGAATGAACGAACATTGTCGAGATTTTAAATTAAAGCGAAAACTAAGAGTGGGAGAAGGTTTGGGGAGTGAACAAAATTCAAATTTCAAAGAACTTCTAGGTGGATGCATACAATAATAAATTGAAATTCATTCGATAACTGACCATTTCGAAGTTTTATGGGATTTTTCTTAATTGCACTTTTGAACTGAAACCTCTTTTCAGCAATTTCAATTAGGACGAGAAAATCCAATTTACGATTTTTAGAGAACTTTCGGGTTCACTTTGAATTGAATTTCAGCATGAATTTATAGATGAGAAGCGATTGAGCATAAAACGAATTATCGATTAATTAAGCATTTAGGATATAAAATTGTGCTGATCAATCTCAATGCTTTGCTTGCCATGAGTTTTTTGTTTTCATTATACAGAAAATAAAAATCTGGCAAAGGGTGTTGGTTGCTTCAATCAATTGGTGTTAGCTTTTTTTTTCACTACTTACGTCCATCAATGAGAGAAACTAACGAGTCTTTTAACTGTGCTTGCATTCATTAAATAAATTGAAGGCATATTTAATTGACCTCATGATAAATAATAAAATTATATAGCCATTAATTCAATTTATAAACTCTAAGAAGAGACAGCAAGAGGCGAACATATTTTAAATGATATTAATTGGTGTAGAATAAAATTCATTCAAGAATTCAAGAAGTTTGAAAAATGAATCTCCATTCATCTTCTTTTTAAATTGAATGAAGATTCTACTTTCTCAAAACTAATCAATTTCAATGACATCTTATCATTTTATACAAATATCTATATCAATGTAAAATCCGTTCAATAAATATCACCTGAGGAAGAGTAATGTGTGGATGAAATCCTTTTTCAATGGAAAAAGTTTAATCATTGATGAATATTCATTTCGGACATTGATAAAAAAGGATTGAGTGGGTGTGAGTGGGAGATTTTTCAAATAAAATGAGCTTTATTTTTCATATCGCATCAAATAATCTTCCTTTATAGAATCTTTCCACAAACACCCGATGGAAATTGATTTAACGCAAGCTTGTGTAGGCGAACTTAATACCACCATAAGGGGAGAAATTAATTGGCCAATTATTTATGGAGTCGGAGTAAACACGAGAACTGGCGAGATATTTCCAGCAACATTTCCTGACAAAGGTCCCGACATTCAGCTTCGGTAAGAATTTACTTGTTAAATTTCAGAATTAACTTTCTTTTTCACTCAACTTTTTTCTAATAAGGAAGAAACATATTTTATTTAATATCTCATTCCAATATTTAGTAATGCAAGGCATTTCACTGGGGGACACAATGTACTTGATATTTATGACTCACAACTTGGCATGCTCCGAATTGGGCCGTTTAATTATGATCCCGTGAGGGGAGTCGATTTATGGCTGTCACAAACCGATGAGTTCATTTTGCAGCATCTTTCAACAAGCCCTGAAGTTGAGCCTCCCCACTTTGTCATGCAAGTTCGAGCGACTTTAAAGTATATTCAAGATAATCAATTTCCAGGTAAAATCAATTAACGTTATAAATATTTAAAAAAATATATTTCTAATGTATTTTATTTATCGATTTAAAGCAATCACAGTGTTTAGAGAGAATCGACCACTGTACTATCGACGGGATGACAATTCTGGATTTTGGCAGCCTGTTCGTTATTAAGTTTGCTAATAATTTTATTGCCTAAAACTTTTGTTAAATTGATTAGATAGATAGATTTCCTGAAATCACATTCATTAAGTATGTTAGGCCATATTTTACTTTCTTACATTGTAAATACATGTTTTTGGTGTTAATAAAGTATTTAAATAGTGTATAACACATTTTTATTTCAATTAATACAATTATTTCAGGTTGTTGTCAGTTGTTATTGAGATTCATTAAGAATGTTATCAATTTTTGTTAAGAATGAAAAACAAGTCATTAAAAAATTATCAAATTATAGGAATGAAGATGACAATTACACTTCATATTCATAAAACGAATTGATTCGTAAACATTATTTTTTTCTTATTTTTGTTATATGATTAAATGTAACGTTTTATTTTTCAAAATTTAAACAGTTCCTTCAAAGCCCCTTGAAACTATGCTCATCTATATTTTGGACTTTTCTAATTTCATCAATTGCAATTAATTTTTTTTATGACAAGCCAGGTAATGAAAATTTCTAATAACCTATAGAAAAGTAATAATAAGATATGTTTAATCACTCAAAAGTGCTCTACTGTATACAAAAATTATCAAACACTTTATTTGATCCTTCATGTTAAGCCAACATTTTGTTGCTTTTGAAGAAAATTCTTCGATAAAATGAAGAAATTATTAAGATCAATATAAATGACTGTTACAAAATGATACAACAACGTCCGTAAATTACGAAGTCATTTATCAGAGAATTAATATTTAATCGTTGAGGAGTTAAATAGGTATCTGATCTGAAGTTCTATAATTATAAAAATTAATTTTAACGATTTGTTAGATTTTGAATCATTCAGTGCTGAAGGCCCTGATCTTGAGTTTTCCATTGTCGGGTTGTGCCGAAATTAGGTTTTCGGATTTGTAACTTTTCTCAGAAACAAAGAAAATATTATAAGAATTTCAAAGGAAATAACTCTTTAAATCACCTATAATTGTTTAAATTATCTAGCCGACATATTTGAGAATTGATTGAACATATTTGATAGTTGGAAATTAATATTGTTTTATAGAATTTTTGAGTTTGAAAAATGTCGTCAAATGAACTAGAAAAAATGGAAACGGAAGAAACTCCAGGTAAAAGCTCAAGTCATTAAATCAAAATAAACATTTTGCTCCCATATTTATGAGTTCTTTGTTAACGATAAATATTTTTCATTTGATCCTGCTGTGTAGATATCACTCCATCCGATCAAAATATGGAAGACGAATTGCGAAGTGAGGCAACCTTCCAGTTAACCATTGAAAATTTTAGTAAATTATCGGAGACAATCCTTTCGGACGCGCATTATGTCAGAGGATTACCGTGGAAAATTATGGCTATGCCCAGATCAGCGAACGACAAAGACAAATCGTTGGGGTTTTTTCTGCAATGTAACGCCGAATGTGACTCAAATTGGAACTGCTCGGCAACCGCTGACTTGAGAATGTTGAGCTTTAAGAAAGATGTGGCACCCGTGTCTCGAAAAATTAAGCATATTTTCTACAACAAAGAGAACGATTGGGGTTTCTCAACATTTCAATCGTTTTCAGACATCCTCGATCCAGAGAAAGGCTACATACAAAACGACACTGTCATCCTAGAGGTTCATGTTCAAGCTGAGGCACCACATAACGCTTATTGGGACTCGAAAAAATTGACTGGCTACGTTGGACTCAAGAATCAAGGAGCAACATGTTATATGAATTCACTTCTTCAAACTCTCTACTTCACAAATGAATTAAGGAAAGAAGTTTATAAGATGCCAACAGAAGCTGACGATAGCAGCAAATCTGTGGCTCTCGCATTACAGAGAGTCTTTCACGACCTGCAATTCTCCAACAAACCAGTTGGCACTAAAAAGCTAACAAAAAGCTTTGGTTGGGAGACATTAGATTCATTTATGCAGCATGATGTTCAAGAGTTTCTTCGTGTCCTTCTAGACAAACTCGAGATAAAAATGAAAGGTAATTTAATTCTTTTCACAATGTTTGAAATTGTATAAAATTTAATATGAATTTGCTTTTTTCAAAGGAACGTCAATTGAAGGAACAATCCCAAGGCTCTTTGCTGGTAAAATGATTTCTTATATTAAGTGCAAGAATGTGAGCTACAAAAGCACAAAAATGGAAACATTTTACGATATTCAACTGAATATTAAAGGAAAGAAAAATGTTGCTGAATCTTTTGACGACTACATCTCAACAGAGATTTTAGATGATGAAAATAAGTATGATGCAGGAGAGTATGGCTTACAGAAGGCTGAAAAAGGCGTCATTTTCTCATCGTTTCCACCAATTCTTCACTTGCATTTACTTCGCTTTCAATACGATCCAATGACAAACAATTCGGTGAAGTTCAATGATCGATTTGAGTTCAACGAGAAGATTAATTTGGATAAGTATTTAGAGAAGCCAGAAGATACACCAGCAAATTACATTCTTCATGCTGTTCTCGTACACTCGGGTGATAATCATGGTGGACATTATGTTGTGTTTATTAATCCAAGAGGTGATGGAAATTGGTGCAAGTTCGATGATGATGTTGTGTCAGCTGTTCCGAAGGCAGCAGCAATTGATCAAAATTATGGCGGGACTGAAGACGACTTCATGCTTAATGTTCGCAATTGTACCAACGCTTATATGCTTGTTTATGTTCGTGAATCAGCAATGAAGACAATTCTCCAGGAAGTCACTGAAGAGGACATTCCGTCGGAACTTAATGAGAAGTTAAATGAAGAGAAGCGTATGGAGGCAGCTAAACGAAAAGAGCGCAATGAAGCATCAAATTATATTAATGTCAATGTCATCTTGGAGGATTATTTTGAATGTCATCATGCTGGTGACTTATTCAATGCTGAATCGGCTCATTATCGTTCATTTAAAGTCAAACAGAACTCAACACTCCTCGACTTGGTGACACTCATTCAAACAACTTTTAAAGTTCCACTCACAAAAATGAGAATTTGGTCGTTTACGCCGATTGGTCATGGAAGTGGATCATTGTATCATCACAACTCATCGAATCAGAACTTAACATCAAATGGATTGACAATGGTTGATTTTAGTGATCAAGAATTGATGCAACATCCGATTACATACTTTTCACGTGATCATAATCCTTGGGTTGTTTATTTGGAATTGATGCCACCGGACATTGATGCGGCAACATTCCCGCCATTCTCACCAAACGCTAATCAACTTTTATTCTTCAAATATTACGATCCTGTCAATAAAAGTTTAACTTACGCTGGTTCACGTATTGTTGCAAATGATGAAAAGCTTTCTGATCTTACGCCTGAACTCAATAAGTTTATTGGAACACCAACAGATACAGCATTAGATTTCTACAAGTACAAGGGAAAGGTTGAACCTCATTCACCTATTGGATCTTTCGTAAAAAATGGCGAGATTTTAATCTTTGAACGAAGCGAGAAAATTGTCAACTTGGAGTTGCCGACTTATATCGATTATTTCAACGACTTGCAGTATCGTGTTGATGTTACGTTTATTGATAAAAATATACAAAACGACAATGGTTTTACGATTGAACTTTCTTACAACTCAAACTATGACCAAATGGCAAAGGTAAGAAATTTAATTGATTTTAAATTATTAAATAAAATGTGCGAGTCAAATATGGAACGTGACTGATAAAACAATTCACTTGGTCAAACTTTCTTTAAACTTTTTTTTAAACTGATCATCTTGAAGAATGTAAGCAAAGATTTTCGGGAAAAGCAGTGAACACCAAAATTGTATATTTTGAAGACGCCTTTCCTACTTAAGCTTTCTTTACATTCACAACACTCAATTTTCCTATCGAATAACTTTTGTTCTTGTATATTAATAATTAATGTAAAATGTGAAATAATTCCAGGCTGTCGGTCAACGAATTAATGTCGATCCTTATGAAATCCAATTCTTCAAGAGCATGAACTACAAGGAGATTCCAGGAACGCCAATTCCGGGATCGTATGAAGGCCTTCTCAAGGAGCTGCTCCAAGGAAAATCAAAAAACAGCAAAAGATTTCTCTTCTATCAAAGATTGTCAATGAACATCAATGATTTGGAGGACAAGAAGCCTTTTAAGTGCATGTTCCTTTTGCCCAACATGAAAGATATGAAAGAAGTGACGCTTTATCCACATAAAAATGGAACAGTGAAAACGCTTCTCGATGAAGCTGCAAAGGTAATAAAATTTAGTGACAACAGTTCACGGAAATTACGCATTTGTGAGCAGCACAATTCAAAGCTTATCTGGCCAAGTCCAATCGACACGACATCGTTAGATAAATTACAAATTTATTGTGAAGCTGCCAGTCAAAATACATCGCAAAAGTTCTTGCGCATCGAGGAAATTCCAGTAGATGAGATTGACTTGGATGAACAGATTGAAACACTTGTGCCCGTGCTTCATTATCATAAGAACCTTTTCACGACCTTTGGCACACCGCTTTTGATAAAAGTTTGTGATCAAGAGACATTTAAGGATGTTAAGAATCGAATTCAAAAGAAATTGAATATCTCACAATACGAATGGGAGAAATACAAATTGGCGATCATCCAAAACAAGACCGTCAATCCTGTTGATGACAATGATAAGGTTGTTTTGGAGAAGTTTCAAATAGCAGAAGAAGGCCAACGTTGTATTCTCGGCTTAGATCATACAAACAAAAATGCTTATCCCACATCTAAATTAAATATCTTCGAAAAGTCTATTAAAATCTACAATTAAAATGATTTGTTCAATAATGAATCGGCATTTGCATTCATCTGCTGCTTTACCCGTTTCCATAATAAACAAAACAAAACATATTTTATTATTTCTTGTGTGAAAAACAAAAAATGAAGAAAACACATTTGCCGATATTTCTTTTAATTAAAAATTTGAATAAAAAAGAAGAAGAAGAAACATCTCTCGGAGTTTCTTAGTGACAAACAACAAAAAAAAGATAACAAACAATACTGAAAGACATCATCAAACAAGGCATTTCGAAGGTGATCAGTGTTTTAAGCGTAAACTGATTGAATTGAAATTAAAACTGATCGAAATGATAATAAAGTTTCGATCAGTTTGTATTTAAACTTTTCGGCCAGTTAATTATTTTCGCTACCTGTAACCGATACGGTCAAAGCTCTAGAGATTTAAGTTCGGTTGAACTGACGACGTCATTTCAAAGTTTAACAAAAAAAAAGTCTTAAAATAATTTATCGAGAAAGGAAATTGCGATAATTATTTTGTTTTTCCTTCCTTTTTTAATGAATCGCAATGAAAATGGCGAAATAACTTTTAGTTTTTCTTTTACAAATAAATAGTTTCTAACTAAAAGAGAAATTAAATAATGAACAACAATTCAATTTAAGAGACGGATGCAAAAGTGCAAGGTTGAAAATAATCTAACAATTTTCATAAATTTAATGCATTTGCAGCGTTGCAAATTTGCAATCGTCTCCATTATAATAATTTTTGATGAAGAAAGAAAACAACAGTTTTCATTTCCATCGTGAACGTTGCCTACTTACTTTATCAACACGAAATTAAATGTTGTATCAAAATAATTTGAAAATAAAAAAGAAATATGAGAAAATAAATAATCGGACTGACAATTTGATTTCTTTTCAGAAAACCTCCATTTAAATTTTAAAATCCAAACTTTATTGAGAAATTTTAATTACCATACAATTGATGCATTTTTATGCTTATAATGTGTGACCATAAGTAAATATAATTATGAAATTTATATTAAAATTAGTCTCTCATTCCAAGTGGTGTACACTCAAACACGCACACACACAAAGCCAGTCTAGTCCATGTCATCATCATCTGACTCATCGGAATTAATATATTTCTTTGCAATCTTCTTTCGTCTTGCTGGTGTTTTCTTAGATGATGACGAAGAATTATCTTTCGATGATGAAGCTTTACTTAAATGCTTCAGTTTCATTTTCATACTTTCTGAGTCAGATGAATCGGAATCATCGTCGTCTAATTAAAGGAAAAAAGAAAGGAAATTGTTGTCATCACAAAAAGATAATCATGCAAATGTAACTTACCATCTTCTTCAGTTTCATCAGATTCAGCAACTTTCTGCTTAGCTTGAGAGAAAATCTTTTGAAGGACGATGCTATCTTCATAGATTAACGACGTTTCTTCGTTGTAGATCTGAGCATTTTGACATAATTGGAAGAAATCTTTCTCCAAATCAGCAAAATCAACATATTTAGCTTCATCGATGCGTGAGAGAATTTTCTTAATGTCAAGTGGCTTTTTAATAACTTCGTAATAGTCTGGCAGTTCACGACGTGATGGTAACTTCATGAAAGGTTCACTCAACACGCGACCATCAATCTCGTACTTCATGACAATGCTCATAATCTTCTTCATTTGCTTCTTCATCTTAGGATCAGTGATGCCCTTCTTTCGTTTTGTAACTGTAGAAATGATGCTTTCATCATCAGAATCCTTCTTTCTCTTCTTGCCGCGTCTCTTACGATCACGTTCTTCAATCTCTAATTCATCATCAAAATCAATGTCATCGCCATCAATCGCTTTCAACCATTCTTTCTCAGTCAAACTGTCAGTATAATCGACTTCCTTACGTTGTCGTGATCCCCTTCCAAGAATCGTTTGATCGTCATCATCGTCATTCCATCGATCCATCTCTTCATCGTCTTTCGTCAACCAATCTGGCAATTCTTTCTCTTCAACTAATCTCGTTTGATGTGCACTATTCTTCCTCTCAATGTCCATTTTCTTAAACAATTCCAACTCGTCATCGCTACGTGCAATCATCAAGTTGATCATTTCGTCATCCGGCACTTCATTTTCTTCTTCATCGTCACCTTCATCTTGTGTTAAAATACTTTGTAAGAACTGTTGTCGTTCACTTCCTGTCGATTTTTGATCAAACATTCCAGCTTGAATGACTTTCTCGTCCATGTTGAGTTTGTAACGTGCAGCAGCAAGAATTCTCTCTTCAACTGAATTTACTGTCATCAAACGCAAGACTCGAACTTCATTACGTTGTCCAATACGATGAGCACGATCTTGAGCCTGCAAATCTTGATGTGGATTCCAATCTGAATCAAAAATTACGACAGTATCGGCTGTTTGAAGATTCAAACCCAACCCACCAGCACGTGTTGAAAGCAAGAAAATGAAATATTCAGAATCCTTACAATTGAATTTCTTCAATAAATCTCCACGATCTTCAGATTTGGTTGTTCCATCAAGACGAAGATATCCGTACTTACGCCAACTTAAATAATCTTCAATAATTGTCATACATTGTGTCATTTGACAGAAAAGCAATACACGATGTCCCGTCGCATTCATTTTCGGTAGAATTCGATCAAGTAATTCAAACTTTCCTGACACACGATACAAATCCGGACCATTAGCGACAGTTGAACCACCAACATGATCGCAATATTTCTCTTCAATATGTTGAAACATAAATGGATGATTACAAAGCTTTCTTAATTGAACAATTGTATTCATCAATGCTTTCGATCCACCTTTTCCTTTATTTCCACGTTCAGATCCATCAGTTAACAACACGCCTTTACTTTGCATATGCTTATACAAGACACGTTGCAATGCTGACATGTCACATTTAATAATATATTCAATCTTATCAGGAAGTTGTGATTCGACTTCTTTCTTTAAACGACGAAGTAAGAAAGGACGCATAACTTTATGAAGACGACGAATAATTAACATTTGTTCTTCAGGATTTAATTCAACTTTTTCACCAGTTGTTGCGAATGGTGCATTGAACCATTGCTCGAAAGTGACGCATGATTTGAAGATTGAAGGGAGTAAGAAATTCAATAAAGCCCACAATTCTGGAAGTTTATTTTGCAATGGTGTTCCAGTCAATAACAGACGATGTGGTGCATTGTAATGTGTGTTGAGAACTTGCGTCAACTTGCAATGATGATTCTTCATCCGATGTCCCTCGTCAATTATCATATATTTCCAATGTAGCTTTGCTAACACTGCTTTATCTTTTATAACATATTCATATGTCGTTAATAAGACATTAAATTTCGTTGCTTTCATTTGACTTTGAATCAAACGACGATTACCAGGTGAGCCTTTATATGAGACAACAATGACAGATGGCGCCCACTTCTCAAACTCAAGTACCCAATTTGATAATGTTGACAATGGTACGATAATCAAGAATGGTCCATTCACCTTTTTCGCTTCCATTAAATATGTTACCAACCCAATTGTTTGAATTGTTTTACCCAAACTGGAATTAGGTAAAAAAGAATAAAATAAGATTTAGGTACTTAATGTTATGCAACCAGCATTGCAGGTCCTTGCGCATTTCAATACTGTTATAATTGTTATAAAAAAATTAAAAGCGACTTACCCCATTTCGTCAGCAAGAATTCCATTCAAATTATTATTGAATAATGAAACCAACCATTCAAGACCTTTAATCTGATATTCCTTTAGTTTACCATTAACCATAATTGAAGCTTGTTCAGTGACATATTCACGAATGTCATGAGCAATGCTGTAATAATTCTTTTCTTCAGCTTTATATTCATCATCTTCAACTTTAGCTTTTTTAATGAGTTCCTGTGCTTTTTCTTCTTCTGTCTTTTCATGATTATCTGTGAACAATAATTTTAGTTAAAAGATTAAATAAATGAAAAAAAAATGAATATAAATTCACCTTCACGTCGTTTCTTATCTTCATTTTTTCCCTCTTCATCATCTGATTCTTCATTTTCAGAGATGATATATTCCCATCCTGGATGTTGTTGAAGCCATTTATACAAATAACGTAGCAATGGGGCTTCATCGCCTGAAAGAATTTTTCCACTGTTCGATTCCATAACACGAACACGACAATCAATCGCTTCACAATTCTCATCAAGCATAAGAATTTCTCCACTCTTTAAAATGTCACGCTTCGTTTGCTTCTTACGAACTTCATCATCAGCTTTCTTTTTCCGTTGTTCAGCTTTATGCGCTTTGACCATTTCAGTGACACTCGCAATATATTCATCGGTTTGTGACAATAACAAAGCCAAACGTTTATCTTTCTTCTGATCAATAAGCTTTCTGTACCCTTCTTCATCTTCAGCAATCAGACGACGCATTCGCTCTTTCTCGATACGTTCCTGTTCCTTCTTTTGTTCACGCTCAGCATTTGCATGATAGTTAATAATCGCTTTGTTAAGACGTCCAAGTTTTGCCAAATTATTTCGATGATATTCACGAAAATCTTTTCCATGTTGTAGCACAAGTGTTAAGAACTCCTGATGCTTCTGACGACGTTTCCTTTCTGCTTCCAACTTTTGTTGTTTCTCAAGCTTTTCCGTTGCACGAGCTTCACGTAATCCTTGACGTTTTGTTCGCTTATAGGCTTTAACATTAACAGCTGTCTCCAATGTTGTGTCACGTCGAATACATTGAACAATTTCACTTCGCAATTGTCTTTGAAAATTCAGAACGCGCAATGCACGTAATTCAATCTGAGCTTGAATTCTTAAATCTTCTGACATATTTGATGGGAGATTCTTCAATTGTTCCATTCGAAGTGCAATTCTCGCAGCCATACGATTTTCTCTCTCATTTAAGATAAGAATTGGATCTAAACCAACCGGCTTAGCAACTGTTGTGACACGATTTTTATTTGGCATTTGTTGTTGCTGCTGCTGCTGTTGTTGATGTTGCTGATGTTGTTGATGCTGCTGATGTGGTTGACCAATTGGACCAGGCGGCCCACCGCCAGTTCTTGGCGATTGTGGTGGCTGTGGATTTGGCCTTGCTGGTTGAATTACTCCACCTCCTTGTTGATGTTGCTGCTGCTGCTGTTGTTGCTTTGATGGATCCATCGGTATTTGTTGATTCATGATGGGATTCATTGGAAGATTTCCAACTTTATTTGGACCTGACGAAGGTGCTGATGGTGGTTGTTGTTGTAAAGGTTGCTGTTGATGGCCATTACTTGGCGGCTGTTGCGATTGCATTTGAGGTGGTTGCTGTTGCTGCTGTGGTGGTTGATCACCTTGACTTGTTGGTGTTTCTGGACGCTGTTGTCCACCAACACCACTACGAATAAGCGTCACAAGATTCTTACTCAATGGTTGATTACGAGCAAGTTGACGATAAGCCATAATTTGATTACGAAGCTGATCAAGTTGTGGCGTACTTAAGTTTGATTGTTTTGAATTCGCACGAATTGCGAGTAATTGCGAATATCTTGGATCTTCTTGTAATCCTTTTTCTTCCATCGAATCGATTGCCTTTTGAAGCGCATTCAAATTCTCTTGACCAGGAACTTGTTGTTGTGGCGGTATCTGCTGTTGCGGTGGTGGAAGTGGCATCGGCACACCAACAGGAGGTTGTTGTTGCTGCTGCATTGGTGGTTGTTGAACGTTAGGTGGCGGTCCAGTGACTGCACCAGGTGAGCCCTGAAATTTGGAAATATTAAAGAAACAACAATCAAACCACAATTGCTGGATAAAATAATTGAAAAGCTGCGTTATCAACAGAGCTTGGAATCTTAAACCATGAAATTTCATTTCAATTTCAATTTAAGAATTTCTTCAATTCCAAACTCTGCTTATCAGTTATCAATTGATAGTTGAAATTTTATTTTCGTAGCGATATAATGAGAAGTACTTGAAAAGGAATCAGTTATCTATCACCGTTTGAAGAGTTCGCACAGCTTTTATTGAGTTGTTCATTGTCATTACTTTTTGGAACGAAATTGCATAATTACGATCACAATGACGGCACAGAAAAGCGTCTTTTCAAGACACAAATATTTAACTGCATTAGGATTTATTGTGGTGATTGGTGTTGTTGTTGGAATGGGTAAGTGCGTGAGTGTAATAAATTTGTACATTTCAAATGATGAATATTTTTCTTTCTTTAGTTTTTGCGGTTGTATTGACAGCTTCATCAAGTGATGAATCAGAAGCCGAGGAAAGTATTTCGACAATCAAGTTTAATGACCTTTTTTAATAATAAAACCTTTAATTAATTACAGCCAAGAACATTCACCATTGATCATGAAAATGACGTTTTTCTCAAAGACGGAAAACCTTTTCGATTTGTTGCCGGAAGTTTTCATTATTTCCGTGCTTTACCGGAAACATGGAGAGAGAAAATGAAAACGTTTCGTGCTGGAGGTTTAAATGCTGTTGACTTGTACATTCAATGGTCGCTTCATAATCCAAAGGACGGCGAATATCATTGGGATGGAATAGCGAATGTTGAACAAGTTGTACAAATAGCAACAGAAGAAGATCTTTACGTCATTCTTAGACCTGGTCCTTACATCTGTGGAGAAATTGACAACGGTGGTCTTCCTTACTGGTTAGCAACAAAATATCCAAACATTAAAGTTCGAACTTATGATCCAGACTATATAAGAGAAGTCGAGAAATGGTATTCGAAGTTAATGCCACAATTTACAAAACATTTCTATGGCAATGGCGGCAACATTATCATGGTTCAACTTGAAAACGAATATGGAGCGTTCGGTGCGTGCGATGTTGAATACAAGAACTATTTACGTGTTGAAACTTTCAAATATACTGGCAACAACGCAGTTTTGTTTACAACTGATCGACCAATCGACGATGAACTGACATGTGGATTCACTGAAGGTGCTTTCGCCACAACTGACTTTGGAATTGCAAATTTAAGTCAAATTGAGTACAATTTTGGGAAGCTTCGTGAAGTTCAACCAACTGGACCATTGATGAACACAGAATTCTATACTGGATGGTTGACACATTGGCAAGAACCAAATGCAAGACGAAGTGCAAAAGATTTAGCTGACACTTTAAATATTATGTTGACAATGAAAGCAAATGTTGACTTTTATATGTTCTTTGGTGGAACAAATTTCGGCTTTTGGGCTGGTGCAAATGATTGGGGAATTGGACGATACATGGCTGACATTACCAGCTATGATTATGACGCTCCAATGGATGAAGCTGGAAATCCAACTGAAAAATATATGATGTTCCGCGACGTCATTGCAAAGGTTTAATTATTAAACAAAAAATGATTTCACAACTTAAATTAAAAGCATTGAAAATATTTTACAGCACATTGAAGTTCCTGACATATCGACTGTTCCAACAATGAAACGAACAATGGCATTGACAGCTATCACTATGAAACCAATTGTATCGATCTTATCAACAGTTGGAAGAGATCAGTTAGGAACACGTCCATTCACTTCAAATCGTTTATGGACATTTGAACAACTTGATCAATTCTCTGGATTTGTTTTATATGAAACGGAATTGCCAGAATTTACAAGAGATCCAGCGAATCTTGTTGTGACAAATTTAAGAGATCGTGCATTAATCTACATCGACGATGAGTTTGTTGGTGCTTTGTCACGTGAGAATTACATCAACACAATTCCTATAAGTGCTGGTTATGGATCGAAACTTTCAATTCTTGTTGAGAATCAAGGACGAATTAATTTCCAAATTGCTGATGATTATAAGGTTGAGCTTTCCATCAACACTTTGATTTTTTAATCATTTAATTTCTATTACAGGGAATTTTGGGAAGTGTTCGTATTCAAAATTTCCATCCAACACAATCAACATACACAACACTCAACAGTTGGACAATTACAGGTTTTCCATTTGAAACTTCTGTAAAGTTGGAACATCTCGCAAGAACTGTCGGTGAATCTTACAATATAAATGCTGATGGTAATCTATACGATGGGCCAGTAATATTCGATGGTGAATTTGAAATATCATCAAATGAAGTAATTCACGACACTTATTGGGACGCCAAAGGATGGGGAAAGGGTTTTGTCTTTATAAATGGATTTAATTTAGGACGTTATTGGCCATTGATGGGACCACAAATAACCATGTACATTCCAGGACATTTACTACATCATGGTTGGAATCAAATTCAAATTGTTGAATTACAAAAAGTTCCAGCAAATCTTAAAATGAATTTTGTCAACGGACCCATTTTTATTAATGACGAGAAAGTTTAAAAGTCAAAATTTGTCACTTAATTAATCGTATCTAAGCCACTTGAGAAATTTCGTTAAGTAACAAATAATCAGAAGATAAAATTTGTAATTTATTGTTTTAAACTTTATTTATCTTATATGATTATTTTATCAATTTTCATTTGAAATGTTTTAAGTGTGTTGTTGTTAACTCCTATTAAAGCTTCACATAATGCAAAATAAATTAAAATAAAAGTGAATAAAGTGGCAAATTTGAATTTAATCAGGAAATCCTTGATCGTCTTTGATTTCAAAAAATGTTTAAGCAGATAATCTTGGGATGATTCTCCAAATGTCATTATAATAGATGTTTCAAATAGTGTGAGAAAGCCTTCAATATGCTTGAAAGTAATTAAGTTAGAAGCTATAACGAGTCATAAAATTTGTAAGTACAAAAAACTTTTTGTCTATCTTATCGAAAAGCAATACAATTTTTTTTTATTTTTGTGGAAAGATTAAATCACGAGAAGCTCTCAAGTTCAGTTTCATTTCAACTTAGGAAGAGTATTGTCGTGAAAATGAAGCGTTCAGAAGCTTTAATTTTGGTTAGCTTATCATTAATATTCAGCTCATGTTGGGCGCAGGTGAGTTCTGCTTTTGTCTCTTTCACTCTTTCGAAAGTATTTTTATCTCACTTCAATATTCAGAGTTGTACACCGATCAATGATCTGTGACCTATCACAATATTTACATTTCATTACACTTTAAATTGACATTCAACAGCTCTGAAATTCCTACGTATTCACTTTTATTGACATAAATATAAAATCGATTAATAGAAAAAGTCAAGTGTAGGATGAAAATTTACAACTTTATCATTATAAAATGAATGAAAATTTATAAATCTTCTTTCAGATGAGAAAATTTGAGATCGATTATGAAAGAAACACTTTTGTTAAAGATGGAGAAGATTTTCGTTATGTTGCTGGAAGTTTTCATTATTTTCGTGCTCTACCTGAGACATGGGCTGATAAATTAAGAATATTACGTGCTGGTGGATTAAATGCTGTTGATATGTAAGTGCTGATTGTTAAGTAAACTTAAACAATTGATATAATAATAATAATTTCAGTTACATTCAATGGTCGCTTCATAATCCAAAAGATGGAGTTTATAACTGGGAGGGAATTGCCGATATTGAAGAATTTGTTCGTCTTGCAACAGAAGAAGGACTTTACATAATTCTACGGCCCGGTCCTTACATCTGTGCAGAAATTGACAACGGTGGACTTCCTTACTGGTTAGAGACTAAATATCCAGGAATTCAAGTGAGAACTGATGATGAAAACTACTTTGATGAAGTCCGCAAATGGTATGAAGCATTAATGCCAAAGTTTGACAAAGATCTTTATGGAAATGGTGGCAACATTATCATGGTTCAAGTTGAGAATGAATATGGAGCTTATAAAGTGTGCAATCAAAGATATAAAGAATTTTTAAGAGATGAAACTCTGAAGTATACTGGCGATAATGCACTTTTATTCACAACTGATCGACCAATTGACAATGAACTCCAATGTGGATTAATTGAAAACGTTTTCGCTACAACAGATTTTGGCATTGCAAATCCAGATGAAGTTGCGTATAATTTCGGGAAATTAAGAGAAGTTCAACCAACTGGGCCACTTGTTAATTCAGAATTCTATACTGGATGGTTGACACATTGGCAAGAACCAAATGCAAGACGAAGTGGTTACGAGTTAGCAACAACAATGCGAACAATGCTTGAAGCACCTTACAATGCAAATGTTAATTTTTATATGTACTTTGGTGGAACAAATTTCGGATTTTGGGCTGGTGCAAATGATTGGGGAATTGGAAAGTACATGGCTGATATTACAAGCTATGATTACGACGCTCCAATGGATGAGCGTGGTGAAGCTACTACAAAATATTACTTATTTAGGAATGTGATTGGAGAGGTGCGTATTAAAAATTGAGATTTGTGAGTAAAAACTGTTGATTGAAATAATTTTTTACAGTATTTACCATTGACTCCTGTCGCTCTACCTGATCCATCTAAAAAGACAAAATATTCGTCATTCAGTGTCAAAGGAACAAGCAACATATTCACAGAAACAGCAAGAACTCAATTAGCATCAGAAAAGATTGAATCGGGAGGAAAGCTTTTAACATTTGAAGAACTTGATCAATTTTCCGGATTTGTTCTTTACGAAGCAAATTTGCCGTCATTAACACGAGATCCATCAAATTTGTATGTTGCAAAACTCAGAGATCGAGCACAAATTTATATTGATGGAAAATATGCTGGTGTACTTTCAAGAGAAAATAATATTTATTCGATGCCAATTTCAGCTAGTTATGGCAAAAGAATTCATATTTTTGTTGAGAATCAAGGAAGAATCAACTTCCAAGAGAACTTTGACCTTAAAGGAATATTAGGAAACGTTACAGTGCAGACTTTTGATGAGCCTTACTATGAAGAGTTGACTGATTGGACAATCACTGGATATCCGTTTGATGATTATTCTAAAATTGAAAACTTTATAGCATCTGATGAGTCAGCGCCTCAGATATACAAAAATGGGTGGTTAAGAGAAGGCCCAGCACTTTATCACGGTGATTGGATTATCCCTGAAGGAACTGAAATTGCTGATACATGGTGGGATACCGTAGGGTGGGGAAAAGGAGTTTTGTTTGTTAATGGATTTAACTTGGGCCGCTACTGGCCTTTGGCAGGACCACAAATGACAATGTATATTCCTAAAGTTCTTTTACGAGAAGGTGTCAACTCTTTTGTCATTCTTGAACAACAAAAAGCACCAGCTGATTTAAGCATTAACTTTGTTGATGAACCAAGTTTTTCGGAAGATTAGATAATGAAGAATTCCTTCTTATTAATGTTCGCCATATTTTAGCTGGTTAGAAAATTGAATGAAATTTGGTATAATTTGAAATAGATAATGTTGGTTCAATAAAATTTAAAAGTTTGAAACACTTTTGCACAATAAAACGTTTTACTATCATCACAGTCACAATTTTTTCACTTTTTACTTACAGCGTTTTGCGGACTCGACATAGTTTTTATTCTTCCTCTCCTCGAGTGAATATTATGCTTCTAAAATGTTTCTTGATTACACAACACTTAAACAAATGGTTTACTATGCTTTTTAACCATTAAAATATCTTATTTATTCTATTTTTTATAATTTTAAATTTAAGAATTTTTCTTTTACTTCTTTTCGAAGTCGAATGTAATTGAAAAAGCCTAAAGTTTGGTACCCCCTAAATAATTCGAGAAATTCAATTTTCGAAATTATAATTTAAATTTTCGTTAACCGTTAAATCGTAGCATAGATGATCAGTCAAGTGAAATTAATTTACGGATACTAATCTTAAAAAGTAAACAATGTTAAATATTTATTAATGGTCATTTTGAAAAACAGAAAATAAATTTAAATTTCAAACTAGTAATTCTTTTATTATTCTCCTTGATTTCTTCTTTTCACTAACTGTTGCTAACAAAAATCATGAACCATATTTGAATAAATTGAAATTCAAAGATTTCTTTTTTTCTCAGTTTTTAAACCATTAAATATTAGTTAAGATTAATTTCGCTTTTAAACTACATCATCATGGGAACAACAAATTTATTGATAATATTTTTTTAATGCAAACAGTGCGAACGAGAAAAATTAATTTAGTTAAAAGTTTAATTCAAGTGGAAACCGCGCTCTTTGGTTGCACTCAATAAACGTTCTCTTAAGATTTCTTCAGTTGGATAATCGGGTAATTTCAAATAGTGCACGCATGTGTTGACCGACGGATAACTTCCAGCGCCAGCATCTACTTTCCTAACGACTGTTAAACGTGGATGAAGATTAGCAAGGCCACCAGGTGGCAATGAACTACAACCAGTTGTAAACTGTAGAAATGCTTTCTTCTCTTCACCGTTCATATTCATGAGAACGTTGATGAACCGTATAAAACCAGGACTAAAAATAGATAAAAATGAATGAATAAATTTCGATTTAAATAGGAAATTTCATCCTCACCTGTCTTTACTGTATCCTAACTTCGGTTCAGTATAATTCAATAATTCTTCTCGTGTCCATTCAGGCTGCTGTTCACCACAAATCATTTTTCGTGCCTCTTCAGGTGAGAAAGCTGCCAATTTACTCAATGAAAACACTTCACAGAAACCTTTATGGAAAGCGTTAAGTTGTTTTGCGAGACCATCTTGAAGACAGAACTTTATGGTCAGATCACAGTATTCTTCAACATTATTAATATCGACATCAATGTTAGAACCATTTGCTGTTAATTCAGCAGCTTCGTATCCATAAACTTTGGAGCTTGGCAAATATGTGAATGTTAAAGCAAGATCTTCAAGTGCAACTTGACCACCGCCAGATTTAACATTCAATCGAAGTTGAGAAATTCTCTCCAACTTTTCTGCTGCTGATAAATTGTCATTCTGTTCGATTGTTTGTTTTTGTTGAACAAGCTCCATAAGTTCCTGAATAAATTGAGCGCGAATTGGATCGATTTCGTGAAGATTATCTTGATTCATGACACCTTCATACCAAGCTTTCTCATTCTGATATTCATTCAAAAGTCTTAAATAAGCATCCACTGCCATATCACTTTCCTCTGACATGATACTTGACGTCATTGGATCTTCGATTGGCTTTAATGTGATGATGGGCACACGAGCTTTAGAAAGTGACTTGTTGTGACATAAAAGTTGAAGAAAACTGTTACTGAGAGGTAAATCAACCAGGCGACCATCTTGGAGAACTTTCGCGAGAAAAACTCCCAAGAACCAGAAATATTCAGCAACTTTATCACAAACGTCAGAATCCTGAGGTAGAGGAGCTGGAAATAATCCAGATGAACGGCGAACATAATATCCAATTGGCTTCAACAATTCCGCTCCTGATATGTCATCGATTTCTTCAGCAATGACATCGTGATCTTCACACAACCACATTTTAAGATCAGAACGTTGCAACTCATTTGCAACTAAAGCATAAAATTCCAATGTTGGACCCAAACCTGTTCCTTCTTCATTCTGAAATTCAATCTCTAATACTGACTTGCGATTGCAATGAATCTTCATCACTTCCATAGCCCATGATAAAAGTTCATTTGATCGCGGAACTTTCACGCGTTCATGCTTCAAACGACCAACACGAAACTCATGTTGATCGGCATGTCTTGGACTTAAACCAGGCGTTCTCTGTCGTTCCAATGTCACATCTTTTTGTGATTGAAGCCAAACAATGCTGCGTGATGCACCAAAAGCAGTACAATTGAAATAAACTTGACGTGTTTCAAATGGAAATAAGAATGGACAGCTTTGATTGTAATCTTCACACCATGACGGTAAACTGTTGCTCGACAACACCAATGGATCTTGAATTTGTTGAAGCAATTTATTTGTTATCTTCTTGCTCATGTAAAGTTCTTGCTGTGTTGAAACTGTTCGTTGTTGATCTTCAATTCTCTTTGTTTTCATCACAACTGAACTGTCAATTGAATTAATTTGAGCGAGAAGTTGAAGAACGTCATCAACTGAACATTGCATGTTGTTATTATTTGTCGTAGTTGTGGTTGTCGTCGTTGTCGGTGTTGTGATGGGCGTTGGAAGTGGTGAACTTGGTGATAATGTTGAGCCAGCACTTCTTGTTGCAACCGAAATGACGGGAGTGTTACGTCCATCATCAACACCACCACTTATTTCATCTTTATTCGTTGCTTCACGATAAATTAATGTATAAGTCGGCTCCCAAATCTTCTTCATCTTATCTTGCTTCATCATATTCGTCATTTGAATGAGTTCTTGAACAGCACGGAAAATTGTCCAATCACGATTTGTTAGAGGTATTTCAACGTCATTGACGCCTGTTATGTTTGGTCCACGTAACACAAGATGCAATGAAGGTTGAACAACAGCAGATTGCTGTGCTGCTGCTTGTTGCTTTTGCCATGACGTGCCACCACTTCCCGGTGCTGGTACTTCAATATCACTTGTTTGATTAACATTTGTACGTCCGGGACGAGGATCAAAAGCAGGAATTAAAGCTGAAAATGTTCGCTTCAAAACATATTCATCATCCCATGACTTACGTTTGCCAGCAACTAAACGATTCTCTAATGTTTCTTCATCCATAAACGAGAGAAGATTGCGTGACACCATAACTTGTAACAAAGTATTTCCAACTTCTTCGTATTCATCTTCATTTTCATCGTCAACTGTTTCATCTTCTAAATCATCGAAATCATCAGATTCACCTAAAAGTGTTGGTGGACGACATGATTCGAGGAAGTCTTCAAGTGAAACTTGTTCACTGTCACTTGATGTTGATGTTAAGCTCATTGTTAATGATGGATTAACGCCGCCACCAGATGTCGGTGGATTATTTGAAGATGTCATCAAAGTTGTATTGCTGGAATTATTTTGAGCTGTACTTAATAAACCTGGATGGAAGTTACTTGATAATGCAAGCTTTACTAAACTTGTCACTGAGTTGCTGCCTCTTGGGAAATAATTTCCACTCAAACTATTATTTGTTGACTCTCCAGCATTATTCATACTTCCACCAGCAATTCCTGTCATTGAATTGTTATTATTATTGTTGTTATTATTGTTTGATGAATCACGTCGTCTTGTCATCAAAGCCATACTTTCAAGTAAACTTGTTGCTGCTGATGTTTCACTTCCTGCTGCTGCTGCTGCTGCTGCTGCAACACAACTTCCTGTCGATGATGCTTCTGTTACAACTGGAACAGAATTTTGATCTGCAATTTCCATTAAAGTATCAGTTAAATTTGTCGCGATATTTTTAATGTTAAACGATTGATTATTCTTACTTATGTTGCATGTTGTTGACGTTGCTGTTGTTGATGATGACGATGTTGATGATGCTCCATCATCATTTGATTGTATTTGAAGATATTTCTCAAATTCATTGAAAGCTTTCTTAAATCTTGAATCATGATCATCTGGATTTATGTTGTTTTTAATGTTATTGTTATTATTGTTGTTATTATTAGATGATTGACCATCACTCTGTTGCTGCTGTTGATTCTTCGGTAATGAAAGTTTAACTGAAGATAAAAGATTTGATTGAGAAAGAATGCCTGATGATAAAAGGCTATTCGTGTTGTTCCTCAACATGTCAATTTTATCCAACATTTCAAGTTTTGTGTTAAGAAGTGTTTTGCTGATGCTGCTATTCGATGATTGACTTAAATTCAATTTATTATTAGCTTCATTAATATTTGAAGCTTTATCTTCGCATTCACTTGTTGATGCTTCACCAATCTCATGTGATTGTTGCAATGGTAGCGACGGTTGTTGCTGTGTGCCTTCTTTCTCGACTTCAGTACTCAATGTAAGATTCTCGGTAATTGTTGCGAGATCAGAAAGTGAGAAGCTTGATGAGTTGATGGTTGATAAGTCAGGAAGATGAAGAGAATGTGAAACATGTGACACAACATCAGCTGATGTTTGTGAATCTGACGATGTTACAATTTCTGATATATTTTCCACTTGGTTCCATCTAAGATTATCAACTGACGCTGCTTGATCAGTTGATGCGACAGATGTTTTGATTGATGCGCCACAACTGTCAGTTGCTTCTGGTAAGCTTGGAGTTGAGCTTGACTTTCGATTGTTTAAACTACTTCCAGTTGTTGATTTCTTTGTTGAAGATGATGAAGTTGCTGATGAAAGATCAAAGTTTGGTAAATTGTCGCTGTTTGCAAGTTTCAAATCATATTTTCCTTCCGTTCCCATTCGATATGAATTTCTCAAGCCATGATCCCATTTCACATCAATCCATCCATTGTGAATGTCGCCAGTAACGACGCCTTCACAAGGTGGATTTCCATCTTGATCATCCCAACGCCAATCAGGTCCACGAACAACTCTCGCACCTTGTGCAATCATCTTAAGTTGTGAACGAATCAAGCGACGTTCTCGACGTAATTTTGCTTCATTTTCTTTCGCAACTGTTCGCTGCATATCATCACAAACTGCCACAACTTTACCATAAATTTCAAATCCAGATATGCTCAAATAATGTGTTTGTCCCGAAGCATTTCGTCCATTCTGTTGGATTCTCACATGACGAAAGCTTTCATCGTCATTACAATCAATCGACCATGTGTGAGTACTTCCCGGTTCTGACAGATTTTTATCGTCACTATGTGTAACAAGTGTCGTCCAATTGACGCCATCTTTAGACATCTGAAAAAGCCAATTTCTTAAAGCTGATCGCCCATAGCCTCGTGCATGTCGCAATGTGTAAGCATTCGGCGTGATATTCATCCCCAAATCAATTGCAAACCAGGCTTTCTTGTTATCTTTCGTATGACAATTAACACTGATACTGTCACGTGATAAAATGTCTTCCAACTTTCCATATGGTAATTGACGGCCTTCCGAACTTGTGACAGTGACGAGACCATATTGTCCAGGATTCACCCAATCAGTGGTCTTTCCGTTACTTCCAATGAAGTAAATTATTCCATTCTCATCAAAGTCTTGTTGATGCTTAAACATCGTCGGTTGTTTGTTTTCTTTGAGTTTCTTCAAGAAGTAAAAGCTTGATCGATCCATGTCGTACCATTGTTTAGCGACCATTTTCAAAAGGAATTTATTGAGTTGTCCAATCGTTGTGAGTGGTTCCATCTTTAATGTTCGTCCACTGCGATCAAACAGTGTCGCTTCACAAGGTGCACGTTCTAAACGGAATCGAAGACGTTTTGTTAAGATTTGAATTCCATAACCACCAATTGGAGAATCGTAAAGATAAACTGGAAGTTTCTCGATACTCTCCAATACTGAAACAAGTTTCTGAACGAGAATACTTGCCGTGCTTTTCTCTTTACCATCGCCACTCATAAAAATGCATTCCTTAAAGATGGCAATGCGCTGTTTTTGATATTTACTCGCTCGATTACGATTTATACCCAATTCCCAATAATTCTTTGATAAAACAGCGACAAGTGCTTGAACAAGACCGGAGCTGTACATTTCATAAGCACTGATGACGCCATCATTGTTGAGCAATTGTGTAAGATCAGTCAATGCTGAACGTAACTTCTCTTGCCATAATGTTCGACTGTTTGTCGTTGTTATTACATCAATTTGCTCTTCCAAAGCTTCTTCAATCTTTCTCACAATATTTGATAATTTAGCAACAACACCACGTGGGATTGCTTGTGCCGCTTTAAAGTAACGATTGTAAAGATCACGAGCGATGTTCTTAACTTGAAACTTTTGTGCTTCAACTTTCGATCGAAGCTTTTTCTTTCGGATGTTTGTCCATCCCGAAGCAAAGTCAGGTCCAAGATTTGTTTCAGCTGTAAATGTGTGTTTAGTGCCGCGATTGCTTTCAAAGATGAAACCAGGAAGTTCGTCCTGAAGAATCGTCACTTGATGTCCTTCAGAATTGTTTATATGAAGATGTTGTTCCTTTTGACTATTCAACACCCAATTGCCAACAACAATTCTTAAACTTCCTGGCGTTGATAGAATCGGCTGACTTGTTGTTCCCTGTCTTACTGCAGCTCGTGCTCGTTGAAGTTTCTCCAAGAATTCTCCACGATTTTCTGTAATTTTTAAATATTTCATTTAATTCATTTATATTAATCATAAAAATTTATTTGAGAAAGATAGTAACAGACAAAGAATGACTTACCTTCACTTGATAATGCATCTGATGTTCGTGTCTTACCTTTATATACAACAAATGTCGATGTTAGTTAAAAATTATCACTCAACAGTAAATTTTTCTCATTTATTCAACTCACCCGAACTATCATTGCCATTTTCTGGACTTCCACTTGAATACATTGTCGCCAATTTTCCATCGAGAATGAAACGAAACCAGCCATTGCTGCCATTAGAAAGTTCAAGTGCAGCGGAATCGCTCCAGATGTAAAGGCAATCACGTCCCCGACAAATACTCCAGTCATGCCAGTGATAAGCTTTTCCAGGTAGAATCTCTTTAGCATCTTCTTGAGGTTCAGTCGTTGATGTTGAGGTTGATGATGTTGGAGTATCTGTTAAGTAACCGTTTAATAATTACTACTGAGTTAGAGAGTAGATTAAGTTAAATTTACCTTTCACAACTCGACTACATGTTGCATCATCTTGAGATTTAATCACATCACTTTCAGTGTCACTTCCTGATCCCATCAATGCTTGAACTTTCGAGAACACACCAAGACGTGCAAAATGATCCAAGAACTCTTCTTGTCGCTTACTCATCAATTCCTCAATGATTGTCAGAACAACAAGATGACCATCTTCGTCATCCTAAATATTTAATCGAAGAAGAGAAAAATTTTTGTTAAATAAATAAAATAGTTTAATTAAAAAAAATCTTTCAGAAGAAATTCTCAAAGAGAAAATGAAAATTTAGTTAGTCATCATTATAAAAATAATAAATAAACAAAAGCAAAACAATTCAAAAGAAGCATCACGCACAAAAATTGTTAAAAAGAAGTTTCTTTGAATCCATAAAACGGAAGTTTTTCTTTTTTAATATTCCTAAACAATTGGAATGTCTTTGGATTGGATAGAAACAACAAATAATAACAATTGGTCGATGTTACTTTGCTTTATACGGTGACTAATTAAATAAATGAAGAATTATGTTTATCTTGAGTGGATGGAACGAAATTTTAAATGTCAGTAACATAATTTAATGATTTATCATCGGAGAGTTTATTATTATTTGATTATGAAATATCAAGCTGGATAAATATTTAGACAAATGACACATTCGCTAAAGAAAGAAATGAAATGAAATTGTTCAAATGTTAATTAACTTTAATTATTGATTAATATTATGTGAGAAGAGTACGTAAGCAGACTTCGAAGTCAATCAACATCGAAATCTGGAATGGAAGAAACGCCAGTTCATGCACTGTTTGCTTTGTTATCAGTTAGACATTGTTAAGGATTAAGAAAAACAACAACAGGGTCAAATCAAAAATTGTATTTTTCTTTTCTTTTCTCTTTCTGTCAAACTATCAAACTTTACCGAACTGCATGAATTTATAGACCAATTGTTATTGTTAGTTGTTGGTGGTATTATATAACGCCATTGGCGTTGTTTGAAAGTTTGGACAATAGCACCTTTGGGCCCATTACAACCAAGCTTCTTAACAAACATTGAATTGAGTTTAGGGGGAGAAGAGGTGATGGGTGGCCAACTGTAGCTAATCTGCAAAAGTTTTGGTCGTCAACGAAAGATAAATTTTAATTAAAAACATAACTAAAATTTTTATATGAAAAATGAGATGTTTTTGCACTTATTTTGTATTTAAACTCAATTCCAAGACATTTAATGCGCTTATTTGATTTATTAATAAATAAAGATTCTTTTTTTTCTTTGCTTTTCATATTTATTTTAAATAAAAACTCACCTCGTTGTCCAAAACACTTGCGACGACTTCAACAAGTAAAGTTCCGAGATTTGGTTCCATCGTTTCAGCACACAAGTTTGCCAAGACATCAGGTTGAACATATTGGACCATTTTTTTGATCAAACCTAAATTGAATGAAATTCATTTTATTATTTCCACCCACGCATAAAAACAAACACTTATTAAAAACTCACCTAAACTTGATCTTCTCACACTTGGCAACATTGTGCTTTGAAATGTTTTACAAAAGACTGGTAAGAAGAACTTCAAATAAATGGGCGCCATAACGGGATCACCTCGTGGCTCGGAACTTTCATTTGGATCAGTTGGATCTCTTGTTATTGAAGTCATCCATTCACCAGGTGATTGAAGAATAGCAGCAACTTCACGATGTCCTTCTTCAGGCCTTTCTCTTGCCTTATCCAAAGGAGTCTTCCCATCTTCATCACGTAAATCAGGATTCGCTCCATGTTTAAGTAAAACTTTTGCAATTCCTGGACGTCCAAAGCATGAAGCATAATGTAATGATGAACTTCGTTGACCTTTATTAACATCAGCTCCTTTCTCGCATAAAAACTCAACCATCTCAAGTGTACCAAAAGCAGATGCCCAATTTAATAATGTTTGTCCAACATCATCCATACAATTGACATCAATTCCACCAGTTTCAATTGCTTCAATTAAAGCTTCCGTATCCTTACTTCGAATACAATCGATGAGTTGACGATGTATTCTTTCAGCACTTGAATCAGCACGTCGAATTCTTGGAACAAGTCCGGAACCGCCGATTCGTCCTAAAGCTTGTCGTCCCTCAAAAAGCAGCAATAAAATGAGATCAGCTAATCTCATGCAATCCAAAATGCATCGTTCATCTTCAGCTTTTAAAGCTCGTTCCATAGCGTCGGGCAATTTTGAACGAAGCAAATCGTGAGTGATGCTTGGTGAACCACGACAAAGTGTCGATAAAAGTGAAATCGTTGTTGCAATTGATTGAGCAGATTTGTTTGATTCTGTTGCTTGTTTTGCTGGTGCATTTGTTGATGTACCAACACTTAATTTGCTTTGTGTTTGTGTGTTGCCTCCTGATGTGCTTGGAATTTGTGAACCTGCCGCATTACTCAATCGACTTATAAGTTGATCAACTAAGCCATATTCAGCTAATGGAGCTGGATCGACGCCTTTTCTTGTGTAACGATCAGCAACTGAAGCAAAACATTTTAATGCGCCATCAGCGACAAGAACATCTTCATGTTGAAGCAGTCGACTTAAACTTTCGACACAAGCTTGAATATTTGCTCCTTGCGGCTCAACTTTACTGCACAATCTCGACACAACAATCATGGCTGAGTGAAGCGTGTCTTTGTGAATTTGCGAGCCATTTTCACGAATGTATGAAAGTACGCAATTCAATCCTCCACCTTCAAAAACAGCTCCAGCTTCACGAGAACAAATCAATTCAAGAACTTTAATGCATTGTTCAGCTAAATCGCGACTTGTTCGATTTGAAAGATCAACAATTATCAATCGATTGCAGATTGCTTTGATTGCTCCATCAATTGCAATGATTCGACGCGTACATTCAGCAGACACATCCAAATAATAAGTTATCGCTCTTGCTGTCACTTCCAAAACATTCTCCGGTGCCATGTCATCTAAAAAGATTTTACACAGTGCTGGAAGGAAAGTACGCGGTGGACAACTTTCAAAGCATCGATCGACATTATCACTCATCAACAAAAGCATACAAAGTTGTTCGAGTGCAATTAATTGCATTTCTCTTTCGTCGCCTTGCCCCATTGACAGCCATTCTAAAAGTGTTTCTGGATCCACTTCACTCATCTGAAATGATAATTTACGAGATAAAAAAAAACATTAGATAACTTAAATTAATTTTATTCTGAATTCTTCTTTTTTTTATAAATCGAAATGGACGAGTTAAATTATAATTTTTAAACGAACTTCCATGGTTACATTAAATGTTTATCGAAAATCTTTTTCTCTTTTATTTAATTTAATTAATTTCAAGGTCAAGGTTCAGTGACTTTTTTAATCTTCAAAGTCCTTTGCATTCTTCCAAACAATAAGAAATTCTGCGAGTGCGCTTTGACATGCGACAGCATTTGAAATGACAGCGAAATTTTCTCGGTTACGCATCAATCCCTCATTTGTCCAATTCATTGAACCATTGATAATGATACCATTGTCAGGGATTTGAATAGTCTCTTCCTTCATAAACTTCTTACTAATTTTATTGTCATTCTTCTTCTTATTCTTATCATCATCATAATTCGGAACATCGATCAAACACATTTTATGGTGCATTGTATCAATATCAAAAACCTTCACAGGAATTCCAACTTTTGACAGTAAAGAAAGTTTGCCTTGACTTGAAATTCTCATCGAGTTGTCAACAACAACAAACACCTCGATACCATTATTGTGAGCTTTTATCAAAGCCTGTGACAAAATGTTATTTGTGAGAATGTACATCATGACATAAATAGACTTTCTTGATGACAATATTAAATTTTCCACGAATTCAGTTGAACGTTGTAATTTTTCTCGTTGAAAACGAATGTTTTGTACAAGTTGTGAATTTTTATCCAAGTCATGACGAGTAAAAAATATTTCGCAAATATCCTTTCTTTGATTAAAATCCATTCGCTTCTCGTTCAACTTCGATGCAATCATTGTTGATATGTAGCTATAAAGCTCACCAAAGCATATCGCGCCAATTAAACAAAGGCACGGGTTTATGTATTTTGACAAGACCATGACACCCTTTGAAAAATAAAGAAACGTAACTGCACTACTTGAATATAGATATATAAAAGTATTTTTATAACAGAAATAAACTAACGGACAGAGACAGTAAAGAAAGAAGAGGAAAGAGAGATGGAAGTTTGTCTTGTCTTGAAACGAGAAAAAGATTTGTCCTCAAGTTCATAAACGTTTGTCGCAGTGAGAATTTAATTTAATCTCGAAACCTTAACCATGAGCCGTTTTTAAAATTTTAACTCCCGAGTCTATTACGAATAATAATTAAAGAATAACTCTCATGAAGAGATTCACGGTTCAATTTAAATTGATATTCAATTAAATATAATTGAACTTACTTCTTAATTCTGTTGTTTCACAAGAGGGAAGAAGATGATGTTGAAGTGTATTCGTTTAATTTATATTAGAACATCTGGAATTAAATAGAAATTTTTATGAGAAAAAGAAGAAGAAAACTGAGTAATAAATCAAACATCTCTCAATTAAAATTATTTTTGTTTTTGGATAAATGCGGTTTCACTTCCGGGTGAACATTTTCATGCATCATTGTTTGCTCACAAGTTGCTATAAACGAAATTAAAATTATTCACCAACAGACATAAGCCAATCTTTTGATTTTTTGCGCCTTTTCTTTGTCTGAAAAAAGCACATCGTACGCATAAAAATAAAAACTTGCTTGTGTATAAATAAAATATATATACACAAATTTCCTCCAACTTCCACAGCGGTAATGTATTGTAAGAAAGTTACTAAAATTATAGTCATGAAGCTACAATCGCATTTATTTCTTTCACCTAGAAAACTATTAATTTTAGAGTTCAATGTTTTATCACATTCCATGATTATCACTTTTAGTGAAATTATATCTTCACGACGATTAAAAAAATACACACAAGACTTTCGCTTACTGACAATTCAAGCAAAAAAATAATAAAAATTTAACTTCCTGAGCAACAGAGTAATTAGTTATAACTTATTTCTTTATATATTCACCAAAGCATAATGCATAGATGCGATTATGAGAAAAAAAATGCTGCGAAATCAATACTCAAAGCAAGCTCGTGTCATTTGTTTCATGACGATCAGATGTTGAAATGTTTTGTTACAGTCTAATAATTAATTATACATAGACAGGAATATTTAGCGATTTTTTTTCTTCGCTGATTTTCAATCTATATTCTTAAAACTAAAATTGACTTTGAACTCATTTCGATTCTTATTCATCTTATAAGACATTGAGGAAAAGAGAGCGCCAATGAGAAAAGAGTACGTCTGGCCATTTTTGTTATTTCATAATTTTCAATTGATAATTTTCCACACATAAATCCAATAATTTGAAACTCACCATCTATATTATTGTTTTATAGTTCTTATTAATCAATTCTAAGATGTTTTTATTTTATTTATCACAAGTTTTACCACTAATATTTATTTCAACAAAAATCGAAGTGAACCAAATGGAAAATAATGAATTCGCCCTCAGACTTTTAACGCGGGGAAGATAAGTGAAGAAACTTTTCAATTTGAATTTTAAATAATTAAAACCCGTTAATGCCTAAAACATAATTTTTATTTCATTTCTTTTTATTAATACAGAGAATATGATTTTTTAATATAAAAATAAACTTAGAACATAAAACACTGAATTAATGTGAGAATGTAACGAAATATGTGATGATGAACTCATTTATAGTCTAAATATGACGAAATGTGCATTTACATACATTTAATTAATTATCAGTCCGCAATTATGATCATAGAAAAATCATTTTTAACGACAGAAGTGCTGAGGTGTTCCCGGAAGCTGGTTATCTTTACTTTCAGTCATATTTCTAAAAAAGCGGTGGATGTCTTCTTCTTGAACAATTTGATTGTTCACAACAAATGTCTAAAAGAAATTCATATAAGGTTGAAAGAAATTAAAAGCTTTAAAGAAAAAGAATATTTACTTGTAAGAATTCAAAGAGTTTCTCTTTCATATTATTGTATGAAGAAATAGCATCAATTTGCTGTACTCTAGGCAAGGAACTTAGAGCAGCTTCCATCGATGACATAGCACTTGCTGGTTGTTCCTTTTCCTTAGCTTTTTCTTCATAAAAGTGAGTTGTATCTCTCATGTCAGTTAGAAATGAAATATTCAATGATTCATATATTTTCAAACATTTTTCACATTTGCAAAGCTTTTCACGCCAAGGTCCTTTCCAAAATGCAGCTGATCCATGGGTTAAAGAAGATTTCGTATTTTCCTTATTCTTTGGACGATGACAAATGTCATCTGATAATTTCATTCTCTTAGTTACGACACTTTTATCGAAGCTCTCGTCATCTTCTTTCTTTTCAGTGTTCGAGCTAGTTGAAGGTTTTGTTGCTGCTTGTTCTTTAGAAGCATTAGTATCTGCATCGGAAGAAGGATCATTTGTTGCAGTTACTGTAAATTCAGAATAGTCATAAAGAAAATCGTTTTGCTTCATGCACTCTTCACAAATCATTTCAGAATAACTTTCAGCAGCTGGTGGTATCTGTCCTGCAAGTTCAAGATGAAGAGAGTGAAACCAATCTTCACAAATCACACACTGTATCATTTCATCAGAAGAAGAGCTTTCTGGATCTGGATAAGGTCTTTTACATTTACAGTAAATGCCTGAGAAATTCTGATTGTATTTATTATTTGAGTTTCCGTGTGCTCCATTCTTTGTTTTTGTAGGATCCAAGTGACAGGTTACACTTCCATCTTTCATACCACAATCACAATGAAAATTACGCTTTGTATATAATTCCACAAGCTCATGTTTATCATGACAGTTGAGAGAGCATGCCAAGCAAATTCCTTAATTAAATAATTAAACATTAAAAGAAATAAGATAAAAAAGTAAAAAATCAAAATTACCAATCGCTTTTGAAGAATCTTCTTTTACGTCGCTAGCACATGTAAGACATGAATACAGTGCTTGTCGCTGTTTGAAACCATTACAATTTTTTTCATCACTCCCAGCAAATACAGCATACGCTTGATCTGACAGCTCTAAGAAAAATTGAAAAACACAGAAATAAAAATAATATCGTGAGTATTGATACAAATTTGAAGGTATTAGAACTTACCTTTTTCGTCATTAAGCAAATCAATCATTGTAACAACATCTGTGTTATCCGATGAAGATTCCATGATGAAAATATGTTTTGAACTTCTAGTTTTATTCGAACAAATGAATTTTGTATTTTTGTGAAAAGCGAATATTTAATGCGCGCGCGAAGAAAATATTTGGAAGGGTAGACAAATATGCACTGAATGGTACCTAGTTTAAAATTGCAAAGTTTGTTACAATTTCTTAAGCACTAACTTCTGACTTCTTTCCTTCTTTTTTAAAATATTTCCCAAATTTGCGAGCTTTTAAAAGCTTTTTTATTTATTAAAATATCTACATGAATTCAAAAGCAGAAATAAACGCCTAAAATATCATTTTGTGAAGACGACTTAATTTCCACAATTATTTCTTCTCAGAATTAATTTCTGTTAATAAGAAAAATAAACTTTTTCCTAAAAACAAAAAAATGAAAACAAAGTGATCTTTTCTCAAATATATTTGGTATCTGCATTGATCATGTTATCCATGTTAATTTTTTTTCATTTTATATTGAGCTATTTTGTCATAAAATTTTCTATGTTGAAAATAGAATTCCAGCTGTAACTGATGATTGTTAGTCCATTCAATGATAATTACCCATAAAAACCAACAAAAACGTAAATCGAATTAGTAAACAAACGCGTAAAATATTTTTATTGAGAATAAATTGAAAACAAGACAGTTTAATAAATGTATTGACAGCAGCAAATATACATAAAATTTCTGATTAATTATCAGTTGGAATATGAATCAAGTTTGCTGTTGGATGCATTTGCAATTCATAAAAATTGTCGTCATATGTCGGTCATTTTGTGGTGCGATAGTGTGTTACTCTTGTAATCGTTGAGACATTTGGCTCGATACATGGATATCAACACATGCCTTTTTATTCAGCATTCTTCATTAAACATTGTTGATCGTTAATGTATGATTATTCTACAATTAAGATCGATAAAAATGATCACTTAACACGGAGAACTATTGCATCAGCTTTTGAAAGCTATGTAAGCACGAATCATAAACAGGTCTGAAGGAAACTTAAGATTACATAAAAAGGTATATACAGTGTAATTTAAAACAAGTTTATTCAAAGGAATTGTGTGATAGATATGACTGAAAATTTGTTTCAAGTTCATGTAACAGTTATCAAGTTTCTTTCAAGATTTGTTCTGATTTCTTTTATAATGATCATCAATATAATTTATTCCTTATCAGCTTAATGACCATTCTTATCAAAAGGGATTACAAACTTGTATCTTCTACTATTTATTTAAAGTGGGTCAACTATCAATGAACACTTCCTTAAACTTCTCGAACGTCAATGTAGGATAGGGAGAAGCACAACGTCTACTAAGTCTATAGAGAGTTGAAATTAAAAAGAAAAAAGTTTTCTTAAGTGTGTTGGTTTCTTGAATCTACATGTCAGTTTCATGAGAAATGATTGAATTAAATCAGAATCAACTAAACACTCGACGTGTTTAGACGTGAGTTTAAGAGGTATAATTTATAAGATCGTCAAGCATAACAATTTGAATTTTGAGCTTATTGACGGTCAAAGACATTACCTTTTGTCTTCTTCATCTTCACGTGAACTTTAAAAACGATCAAGTTGTCTTATTACCAAAAGAAGTAAATTTTAAAGCATAGAAAATCTGTGAAAGTGAATTTTTGCCATAAAATTGTACAACGACGAAATAATATAAAATAAAGTATTTACTTAAAAAGACAAAAGCATCGCAATGTCGTTTTTAAAAGCAATGTGGAATAACAACACGAAGCATAAAAGTAAGTTTTGGAATCAATTGAAATTAAATTACATTTGCAATCGTTAATTTTAATGATATAATGAAAATTTTTGTGACTATACTTTACCGTTTTCTGAACATTTGTTATTCGAATACATTGATTATATTTGATACTGTAATTAATAAGACGTATTTTAGATAAGTTATCTAAGAAAACTTTTGGAGTGATTTTAAAAGCGATCTCTGATTATAGAATTTTTTCTTGACCTGACACTGAACATTATCCTTACACTTTGCATTATGCATGTTGGCATTAATTACCTTAAATTGGTTTCAATATAAGTTAATGTCTCGTTTGATAGTTAAACACAGTGATTATCAGTTATAAAAATCAAAAGTCGCGACAACTAAATTTTTAATGTAAAAAATATATTTTGCATTTAAATTGAGTTCAACTTTTTTAATTAATCAACTCGACATAGATATTGGTACTAGATTTAATAATAAATCACCTGGAAGGTAATAATTTAAAATGAAATGCCTTTATAAATGTTACAGAGCTTAATGATAGTATGGCATTGGCGAGTAGTGCCAGAAATTATGTAGAAAGTCCGCTTGATTTCAATGATGAAGAACTCACTGATGATGTAATAACTTTCAACTTGAAATATCTTGGAACAACCGCCATGGCGCCAGTTGAAGAAATAAAAGGCAATAAAATTGCAAGTTGCGATAAAAAAACTCAAATGATTTCAAATGCTATAAAGACATTAATTAGCACATCAAAAAGTCAAAAGTTGCTCAACGATGTACGTGTTGAAGTATCGCCGAAAGGAATTGAAACATTTGATTGTGTAACAGATGAACAAATCCTGCAAATTCCAATTTATAAAATTTCTTACTGTTCTATCGATGCAGCACATGGCACAATTTTTTCCTTCGTGAGTTCAACGAGCGATAAAGAAGAGAGTTCATTTGATTGGAATACTACACATAAAGATGGAGAGGAAGAACATTTAGTTCTACACGGGTTTCAATGTCAAAAGAAAAAAATTGCGTTCAATGTAACATTGACCGTGGCAAGGTGAGTTGTGTTCTTCATTTCAAAAGAATAAATATTTAAAAAGAATGATCGACAATATCTTTATACGTTTGTCTTGTTTCAGAACTTTTGAGCGAGCTTTTCAAATCTATCAAAATGAAAAATTCCTTGAAGAAATTCGTAATAGGAAGTCGAAACACAAGGAAAGCCTTGAATCGCAAAAGAACGCTGTGAACATTAAGAAGTTGATAACAAATGACGATGAGAATTTAAATTGCTTAATTGATCTGGGATCTGAAAATGGACCTGAATTGAATAATCTCTGCTCAAAAGACTACACTCGAGATTATTTTCAAACAACTTGGGTTTCCTTTGATTAATTTATTTTATTTTATTTCATTGACAGTCGAATAATGTTCAAAATTTCTTTCAATAAATAGTTTACTCCTTAATATCATTTGAAAAATTTTAATTGTTCAATCAACATCAGGAAAAATCAAATACTTTGTTATACCGCATCTGTCAACACCTCTCCTTAATTTCATATATCCATTTTCACCTGTTGATTATATTGAAAAATTCCCATTACGCCAGAAACAAATTAAACTTGAAAGACATTAAATATTTACCCCATTCACTTGACCAAGAATTCTTTAAAATCCAATAATCCTATTAAAAAAATAAATAAAGAAACCATTTTAAAAGTTTTATGCATAGCCGTGACAAATTTTAGTTTAACTATCATGTTCAAATTATTAAAAATTGAATAACGTGACTCTCATTACTACTCACAACTCCATTCTCTGTTCCATATCCAACGAGAAGAACACTATGTGCTGTATTGTTAGGGCATTCAGGGTCATCATATATTCCTTGGAAATAATAAAAGAACGAATTTATTGAACCTCCAATTGCAGCACTGACTGGTCCTAAATTAGCTATAACATCTTTAAGTACGTCTTCATTAAAAGGTCGCATTCTGTAGTACCCAGTAGTTGTTGCCACTTTTCTTGATACATTATAACGACATGGAAATGGATCTTCGTGTTCTACTAATTCATCATAAGGATAAGTTGCATCGCTTTCAATTCCGTTGTTCATGATGTAATAATATGCTAGTTTGTTATGAAAGATAATTTAAACTTATAAATATTTTTAAGAAAATATATGATTTGTGTCATACCTGAAGATTGAATACCAGCTGAAACCAAAATATATTCCATTAATTATTTCTTAAAAGATTTTTAATGATACAAAAGTCACAAACGTGCACATCCAAAGTTTCCATATCTTGGATGTCTATTGCAATCAATTAATTGCTGTTCTGATAATGAAACAGATTCATTCCTATATATGCACCAATGAGCTTCTAATGCAGCAATTCCCGAGAAAGCCCAACAGCTATCACAATGATATCCTTGATCTTTAACACGAGTTATACAATTGGTTGAGGTTGACCAATCGACTGATGGAGGTCCTGGGGGAAGATCGCCTGGATTAATTATTCCAGTTGCTTTCCCAAAAAGTGGTGTAATATTTCCAGTAGAAAATTGTGCCAGTTCATCTTTGTTTAAATCACAAAATTTATTCTCTTTTAGAACAAAAGTTTCTAAACCAATGGCATATCTTTCATTATGTTCTTTGATTAATTCGCGACATTTAAAGTAAAGTTCTCGTCTGTATATTTCTTCTTCTTCATTTTTATAAACTTTTTTAAATTCTCTCTTGAAGCTTTCAAAAGCTTCTTCATCAGTTGAAAAAGTTTTGCTGAGCACCACAAATGTAGCAACTAAAATAAATATTCGCGGGATTCTCATTGCAACTTTTAAGTAAACTGTAGGAAAATTTTGAAATCTTACTCTTTTTATAAGTATTGAAAATTTATTTGTCACGAATTTACAATACTTAAAATTATATTAACGACGTTGGATTACTTGTATAAGAACTATTTAAATTTTAATTTAAAGTGATGTAAATGAACTTCTAACAAAGGAAAGCAGGCAAATGAAAGAAATCTCATGAAAAAACTCCAAAAATAGAATAATACTGGGTGAAACGACATAATGTTGTCAATCAAAATAATCAAGTCTTTATTATTATTCTTTACTTAAAGCTGTTGCAAAATTTTATGAACATATTATACAAATACATATTTATGAAAAATTCAATAAGTAGGTAAGTGTATCGGCTTATTTCATATGGCTATCAAATACAAATACTGCATTACAAATTTTGCGCAACTTCTTATATTTCAAAATCATTATAAAAATCAACTGTTTTATTTCGTTATCACAAATGCATTTACTTAACTACTTTTTATTGTTCATTCAAAAATTAAATATTATACGAAGTAGTTTGGTTCTGTTAATATTAATTAATTAAGAATTAAAATCTATCAAAAAAGAGAGAAGTTACTCATTTCAATGTTACGTGGCACTAACAAACGTTTGTTTAAAAGCAGTTCATTGCGTCGGAAACAATTTCTCTGGTGCTTTATATTTTTTCTTCTTTTAATTGGGATTGTTAACGTGTCAATAAAATATGAAAACCTTAAGAATGAGTTGCATCAAGAAAATGTTTCATTAGAACTCGATGATGGAATCACTGACGAAGCTAGAAAATATATTGAAGAACTGGGCTTGATAAATCCTGGGGAAAATGGTGAAGCAGTAATTATTCCAGAAACTGCATCTGATGAAATCAAAAAGCTTGTCAACGAGAGTTTCGAGGCAAACGGCTTCACTGCTTTTATTTCAAACATGGTGAGCCTCAATCGAAACATTCCAGATTTTAGGAGTGATATATGCAAGAATAAAGTTTACCACAAAAATCTCCCCAAGTGAGTAAAATCTTTGAACAGAATATGACGTGATTTTTATTATTGTTGTATCTTCATCCAAGGTGTTCTATAATGATTCCATTTCACAATGAAGATTGGATGCTGTTGATGAGAACTGTTCATTCAGTTTTACTTCGAACGCCCCCTGAATTATATGTAGAAATTTTGCTAGTTGATGATGCGTCCGATAAGGGTAAATTAAAATACACATAAATAAATAATCAGTTTGATAAATATCATAACATTCAGAATGGCTTCAGAAACCTCTCGAAGATTATGTCAAAAAAATTCCAAAGATGAAGCTTATTAGATCTCACAGGCGATTAGGAATAACAAATACTCGCAATCTTGGAGCAATCAATGCCATCGGTCCAATCCTCGTATGCGTAAGTTTATACAAATTGCGTTGCTTCTGAGTGTTTAAGTTTTTCATTATTTGAAGCTTGACTGTCATGTTGAAGTAGCTCCTGGATGGCTTGAACCGCTTTTGGATCGCTTCGTTGATAACAAAAAACTGCTTGTTGGCCCGAGACTGAAATCTATAAATAGCGAAACAATGGAAACAACTTTCAATGACAACCTTCCTTATGAAATTGGTGGTGTTCAATGGGATTTAGGATTCAGTTGGTACTTTATTAAAAATAAATTTAGGGAAAAGGATTCAAAAATTGTGTTTCTACTTCCACTAGGATTCCTTACAACAAAATCATAGGATTCACTTCCAGAGAATCTTTTGAACCAATGAAAAGTGCACCAGCCATGGGACCAACACGTGCTGTTTATAAGGATTTCTTTCTAGAGCTTGGAATGCATGATCCCGATTTTGGCACATGGGGTGGAGAAGATGTTGAGTAAGCTTGGTGAAATTTTTAATAAAAGAACTAGAACAGAGGGTACATTTACAAATCTTACAGATTGAGTTTAAAAGTGTGGCTTTGTGGAGGAAGAGTTGAAATAGTTCCATGTTCACAAACCGCACACATGTATAAAGCGCATAAATATAAAGTAAGATTTTGTAATAATTTATAATTGACAACTGAAAAAATTTATAAATTCATTTAGAATGCTTCGGATAAAACTTATCGATGGAATACCAACCGGATTGCTGAAGTTTTACTCGATCACTACAAACGTTTCTACTATCGTGCAACAAAAAATGCTCCCAAAGAATTTGGAAACGTAACAGAAAGGATTGAAATCAAAAAAAGAAATCAATGCAAACCATTTAAATGGTTTTTAGATAATGTTTATAACATTCCCATGCCAGATGATATTAAAGATCCATGAGTTACATACACATAAATTTATGAAAAATGAATTTATGGGCAATAAATGAAAACACAATTTCAAATAGTTTTGCAAGTTTTATTCAGTTCCATTACTTTACTCAAGTATGATTTATGTTTTTAAAACTACTAATCGGTTGGTATGTCAGGTCAATGACTTCATGCCACATATATTTAGAATCCCTGTTATGCAAATTTTCAGAAGAATAAGAAATTCATGAAGTTAAGGAAAATGGTTTCGAAGATTCAATTAATCGTTTTACTCTATTTTCAAGAATGGAATTTTTTCCGCTTAATGTTTGCTGCTTTGAAACTGTAAGGAAGAAATGTGCTGAGTAGTATTTGTCATTGTAAAATAATTGTAAATATAAAATATTTACTTTCGTTAAAAGTTCTCCACAGATCACCTATTAGTTCCAAAAATTCTTCAGGGAATTTTCCATGCAATTGTGAAATTAAATTTTCTTGAGATGTAACACAAAAGGCTTCAATAATTAGGGTAAAAAAAATTATCAACTTCAACATTTTTATTTCTTCAAACTTATACAAAATTGAAATATTTTTGAAAGCTAACTCAATGCAGATGAAAACCCAACTAACTTTAGAATGTTGCAACGACTCTCTTTAAATATCTTGAAGTAAATTTCTTGACACAAACTAGTTTTTTCTCTTCTGAATACAGATCCTAACTTTTTTAGTGGTTCAAATTATTTTGGCATCAAAAACTGGTTTCTTTAATTGCCTTTCATTAGATTTCGCGTAAGGATTTTCACCCTGCGCCTATGTATGTGAATTTGTAATATGTAGATAAAAACTTTATCATAGAGTTGTTATTTCCTACTTTCTCTATTGTACCTCAAAAATAAAATTAGATGAGATTGTTCTGTCTTCAAATTAATATTTATTTAAAAGAAAACACATAGAAAAGAATAAACCTGTTGGTGCTCTAGTTGATGCTGCTGCTGCCTGTGTTGGTGTTGATAAAAAATATAATTTATCAAATTGACTTGTAGATAATCCTTAAACATTCAAATCCATGACAAGAATGAAGAAGAGTAAGGATCGCTTGGGAATTATGAAAAAAAATTGAAAGAAGTCGAAGTATTTAAACGATGTTTCAATTGATGTTTAAATGTTTCAATTTTTTAGGACATGATTAGATTTTATTGTGAATTTTAGTATCAATAAAAAGAATAACTGACCATTGATGACATTACCAGGGAATAAAAATGATACTGCAAAATGGTTTATGACAACTCAAGCATTTATTACATCTATTCATATAATTAGCTTTTCTACCGTTATTTATAATTTAAAATTATCAGTGTAATCCGAAAATATATCAGCGTAATCCAAAAAATGAGAAAACGAACCAAACTAATTCCCCTTGCTTAAATCAAAACAATTCGCTCTCTGACATCTCAAATTTTTTCATTCAAAATAAAAAAGAATGTTTCCTAATACCACGTAAAATAGCATTAGAAAAGAGATGTTTAAAAATTATCATCAAGTAGTTTTCCTCACTGTTCGTGTGAGAAAAGCATAAATATTGATAATAATAAAAATTGTTAAGTAATCGAGTGGGAAACAAAGAAATTTAAAAAAAAATAATTCAGCACCCACACGGGATTTTAAGTTTCCATATACAGTGATCATAAATAAGTCAAGTAATATTTGAACACCGTTTCGCTGAAGAAAAAACTGAATTCTTCAAAAGTTTGATCAATATAAAATATCAAATTTTAAATTGCAACCATGGTAAGTTGCGCCAAATTTCAAACATGTGGGATGAGAGTGATTTATAATTTAGATATACATGAACTACCTAATTTGTGAAATTTCAAATATATAGAATGTTATGGCTACTGACAATCAAAAATATTAACACATGTTTTATTGCGTTTGATAGAATTTTAAAATAAAGTTCATAAAAACATAAAAATCACTGAAAAAGTAATAAATTCATTAACAGTTATTTATAAATCATTGCTTCCATTGTTTCTTCTAATGTTATATATGTAAAGCAGAAAACTGTGATTACACGCAAAGATGCTCAAGAAGCGAAAATAAAGACAAGAGCAATGGCAAAAGGAACGGAACGAAAAATAACATTGAGTGAAGCAAAACAAAAGAGTAGACAGAGAATGGTTAAAACAACAGCTGATAAAGTCAATGATATCTATGGAAATGTTAGCGAACCAGATTAGATTTTATTACGCAATTGAAATTCATTTTCATTTCTGTGTTTTAGGCTTTAAGCTCAATGATGTCGATTCGTAGTGAAACTGGGGTAGTTTATGATGAATCGATGGCTTTACATTGTTGTCTTTGGGACAAATCGTATCCAGAATGTCCCGAACGCTTTACATCTGTTATAAATCGTTGTCGCGAAATGAAGTTAATTGAAAGATGTAAAGAAATAAAGCCAAGATTAGCAACGAAAAGTGAAGTGTTAACGATTCATACAACCGACCATTACAATCTCCTCGAGTCTACAAAAAATTGTCTCAATGAAGATTTGTTGGAAGAAATTAGTTCAAACTATGATGCAATTTACATTCATCCAACGACTTTCAATTTGTCCCTTCTCGCTTGTGGCTCGACAATAGAACTTGTTGATAATATTTTAGATGGAAAAGTTCAAAATGGAATGGCAATCATACGCCCTCCAGGTCATCATGCTATGAAAGCAGAATTCAATGGATACTGCTTCTTTAACAACGTTGCTGTCGCTGCTCAACATGCATTGGATAATAAATCTGTCAATAAAATTCTTATCGTTGATTGGGATGTTCATCACGGTCAAGGAACGCAAAGAGCTTTTTACAATGATCCACGAGTTGTTTATTTCTCAATTCATCGCTTCGAACATGGAACATTTTGGCCTAATCTTCGTGAATCGGATTTTGATTATGTGGGAAGTGAAAGTGGAGAAGGAACAAATATCAACGTACCTTTAAATAAAGTTGGCATGACAAATGCTGATTACTTAGCAATTTTTCAACAACTTTTAATGCCGATTGCTGTAGAGGTGAGTAAAGATCTTGTTCAATTATCTTTTCAAATTATTCGATATTTTGTGCAACGTAAAAAAATTCGTGTTCATGTTTAGTTTCAGCCAGAATTAATTCTCATCTCTGCTGGTTATGATGCAGCTTTGGGCTGTATGGAAGTAAGTTATAGGATCAATTTTCTAATCTTTTTTTTTCATTTAAATTTTCAGTTTCAACCTGATCTGATAATTGTGTCATGTGGTTTTGATTCGGGTTTGATGAAATTTTTTTCATTAATTTTTGCTGTGTTTTTTATTTCAGTAATATTTTTGCATTTATTCGTTTCAATACTTAAAAAAATCTTTGAATCGAATAATATCAAAATATGCATAATATCAGCAAAAATTTAGTAAATAAAATTTTATCTTTCCTTTATGCACTTTTCTGTGCTCTTAGCATTGGGAGATGAAAAGGTAGAAAATTTCGCTATCAGCTTCGCATTCGCTTTTTTATTTTTCATAAATTCATAACCACATGCACAAAATGCTTTCATTTCTTATCATTTTTGAATCCGAATTTTCACCTGCTTTAACATAAATAAAAACGTAAATATTTTGCATATGATGTTCAATTATAAAATTTATTGCATGTGAAGGGTGAGATGGAAGTGACGCCAGCATGCTATGCTCATCTTTTATCACCGCTTCTTTCATTGGCATCTGGACGTGTGGCTGTTGTGCTTGAAGGTGGATATTGTTTAGAATCGCTTGCTGAAGGTGCAGCTTTAACGCTCAAAACACTGCTTGGTGATCCATGTCCACGAATGCAGCCGCTTGAAGTTCCTTCCGTCAGGTTTGATTAAAGCATTCATAGGCTTTTAATTTAATTTTATAAATTTACTCTTTTGCAGCATTCAAGAAACTATTTTGAACTGCATTTATGTTCATCGAAGTCATTGGCGAAATTTATGTCTTCAAAACGTTTACAATATTGAAGAGCTCAATAATATAAATCCCCAACCAAACCTGCACAAAGTTCCTCACGAAAGCTTCATTGGCGGACCATCAAATCCAATAAAATTCGAAACGAGAAATTGTTATCCAATACAAAGTGAAACTTTTAAGAAAGAAGTCGCTGAGAAATTGGAAAAACTAAAATTCTTCACAAATTTAACTTTCCCTACCAATCGTGTTTGTTTTGTCTACGATGAGCTCATGATGAAACATGAGAACATTCACGAAAGGTGAGTGAGTCATTTTTATTTACTTTTTTATTCGTAACAAACGATCTCTGAAGACAAATAATTATTTTTTTGTCGCTTTATACGGAGTTGCTTCTTCTTCAATATGATGAGGTGGCCATGGGTTATTGGGGTCATGAGGGTAATGGGGATTTCTGGGATCACCCGGTGGGAATTGTGGTGGCAAATGATCACCAGGATAATGGGGATAATGAGGATTTCTTGGATCACCTGGTGGAAATTGTGGTGGCAAATGATCACCGGGATAGTTCGGATAATGAGGATTTCTAGGATCACCCGGCGGGAATTGTGGCGGTAAATGATCGCCATGACCTGGCCAATTCGGATGATTAGGATTCCATTGATTCGGTGGATTATTCCAATTAGGATTATGTTGCCAATTCGACATTTTTGCTTAAAATATAACTAAATTCATAAATATTTATCTTTGTAAGACAACTTTAATCTTGTCACTCACCAAAAATACTTTTTTACTTGTTGCTGCAAGTTTTAAAGCTCTCACAAATTGAACTGATAAATGAAATTGATTAAATTTTCCTTATATCAGTAGATTCTTATCTGAGCTTCTTCTAAATGTTTATTGATAAGACAGAAATCTTTTCTTTTAATTATTTGATAATAAAAGCACGTCATTAATGATGTCATTGATATTGTTTTCCAGCGGTCATCCCGAACAACCAGAAAGAATCAAAAAAATATTTTCAACATTCGATGAATATAAATTATTGAATCGAATGAAATCAATTGCGTCCAGAATTGCAACCGAAGAAGAAATTTCGCTCGTTCATTCTGCATCTCATATTGAACACATGAAAGAAATTGTTGCTGGTGACGATTTGAATGAAGCTGGAAGACGATTTAATTCAGTTTATTTCCATCCATCGACTTATGAATGTGCGACTACAGCTGTTGGTTCGGTTCTTCAGGTAGTCGACGATGTTTTGAATGGAGAATCACGAAGTGGAGTTTGTGTTGTCAGACCACCGGGACATCATGCAGAGTCAGATGAACCTCATGGCTTTTGCATCTTTAACAACGTTTCAATTGCTACTCAATATGCACTCAATAATTACGGGTTGAAAAGAATTCTTATTATTGATTGGGATGTTCATCACGGTCAAGGGACTCAACACATTTTCGAAAACGATCCGAAAGTGCTTTACATCTCAATCCATCGCTATGACAATGGAAATTTCTTTCCAAACAGCACTGATGCTAACTTCACTGAAGTCGGTGAAGGTATTGGAAAAGGATTCAATGTGAATATTCCTTGGAACAAGAAAGGAATGGGAGACATGGAATATATTTTGACATTCCAATCAATCATAATGCCAATCGCTTATGAGTTTGATCCTGAACTTGTTATAGTATCAGCAGGATTTGATGCTTGCATTGGAGATCAACTTGGCGGTTGCAAAGTCACACCTGAAGCTTATGGTCACTTGACTCATTGGTTGTCAGCTTTGGCGAATGGAAAAATAATTTTATGTCTTGAAGGCGGTTACAATGTTAACTCAATTTCACATTCAATGACTCTTTGTACTAAATCACTTCTTGGTGATCCACTTCCAATGCTTTATGTATCACCACGATGGGACGGCATCAATGCAAGTGCTTTGGAAACATTAAAAAATGTCATCGACATTCAAAGTAAATTCTGGAAATGTTTAAAGTTTAATAAAAAGTTGCCTGACTTTGATGTGACCGATACAAAAATGGACAAAGTTGATTTGGTGAAAGAAATGGAAACTTTGACAATAAATTCACCATCAGATGATGGCGATAACGATAATGACAAAAGTAAACAAATTAAGAGTGCAGGAATTGAGTCATCAAATTTGCCAGGAACGTCAGGAAATTCTGCTGACTCTGCTGAAAATAAACAAACATTAACCGAGTTTTTGAAGGAGAATTTAGAAGTAAATTGCTTGAAAGTATTTAATGAATTCATTAAAATTATTTTATTTATTTTTAAGGCACTTAATAATGAAGAAATGTTTGCAATTGTACCTTTGAAATTCTGTCCACACCTTGCTTTGAACCAGATGAAGCTCCTGAAAGTAAGTTGGATATCATCACATTGGCTCAATGTTGTAAAGATTAAACTTTTATTTTTCATTTTAAAGCAATTGATCATCGAAGTGAAGCTTACATTGACAATCCACAACTGCACAAGTTCAAAGATTTAGTACATCGCAGTAAATTTAATGGTGAGCCGCTTGTGTGGAGCTACGGAAACCTGGAGCTTCAAATGGTTGACGACGACAGCGAATGACATTTGTTTAAACTTTTTCCGATATTATTAATCATTCTTCTCTTTCTTATAAAACTGGTAACGATAGGATTTCGTGACTTTTATGCTCGGTTTATGCCACCGCTTCATTAATTATTCCACTTATTTACATCTCTTTAAATTCGCATTTGTCTTCAAATTTCTTTGACATCTTTCTAAGTAATCTTAATTAACGATCGATTTTATTTATAACAAAGAAAAGAAAATTGAAGGGAATCAAAGTATTATTGTTAACCAAAGCTAATAAAAAGAAAATAGAAAAAAAAACATCATCCTTGCTCGACTAAAAAGGAGAATTAACCAAAGTTTGTACTATAACTTAATAAAAGAAATTTGTTTGAATTTTAAGAATTTAAATAAAATTTGTTAAAATCGTAAATGAAGTTTTGTGTTTTAATTTTTATTAACTTAATTTCCTAATTTTAAATCTTAAGTCATAATTAGTCTCATTATAAAAATAATTTTGGGAAGTGTATTAGAGAATTGAAAATTGGAAAATCATTGCAGAACGCTTCGCTTCTTCTTCTCTTCATCGTCAATAATTTTAGCAACGACTTGCTCGAGATTTGCTGTGGTTTTTGCCAGTTCAACGTTGTCACTGTATGAATCTAAAGACTAAAAATTACAAACCAGTCTTTAAAAGAAATTGTTTTAGTCTCACCATCAATTATTTCCTTAACTTTCAGCAGTAAATTACGAAAGTTTGCAACTTTTGTTTCAAATGTTTCATCAGCTAGATTTTTTCTGTCGTCTTTGGACTTTGCAACACCATTTGCAATTTTAGTTTGAAACCAAGACGAAACATCACCAATTGAATAATCAGCGTTATCTGCTACGTAAGACTTGTTGAGCTCTTGGCCATTAACTTTAAAAGAATTGTTAATTAACAATATGAAATATTAATTATTTAAAATCATTTTCATTTACTTGACTTGCAAAGTACTTGATTGCTGTCCGTTAAATTATCTTTCGTGCTACGATAAGGCGTTGATGAATGAGGAAGAAATAATGAAGTTGTTGGAGATACAAACCCTGACTTTATGGTTTTATTGTTCATTGAAGAGGCAAATGAACCAACCATTGCTTCGTGAATGATTTTTAATTGATCAATTTGATCCATTAAGAAACTTTGTTGATTTTCAATGATTTTTCCTAGATCCGGATCAATTGAGACAAGTTTTTCATTCGTTTCAGTTGTTTTCTGATAATTTCCAACTTCTTTCTTCATATTTTCTACGATCACGAAAAATTTTTCCATCAACTCGCGTTGTTTTGTTAATACATTCTCGGAATTGTTAAAAACTTCTGAACGAATCGTTCCACGTCTTCTTCCTTGTCTTTCATATGTTCCACCTTCCATATCTTCATCAACTTGCATCAACTCAACATGTTCATTCTCAATCAATTTGTTGTTTTTTTCATGATGCTTCTGATCACTTTCAAAGACCGAAGAGATTGATGAATGGTTTTGACTGATAGTCGTGTTTGGTTTGCGATGAAAGAGTTGCAGGAAATTTGATAGAAATGCAAGAAATTTGTTTTGTTCTTTCTCATTTGTACTGAGCTCCAACATTCGATGAGCAAGTGAATGGCGCTGATTTACAAATCCTTTACTGAAACATCCAAAACAAAGTGACAATCCCTTGCACTTCTGACACTTAAATCGCATTCCAACAATCGGAAACTTATGACATCCATTACATTGAGTTTGATGGACAATGTGCTCGGATTTCTTAAACCGAATCAACAGTAAAAAAAGATTTGTGTAGCTTGAGAATTTTGTGCTGTCATGTGAAGTCCATAAATTTGTGAATGTAAATTGAGACATTCCATTTATACCTGGATAATTGACAAAAGCTTCGCACACAATTTCGTTGATTGTTTTACGTTCGAAATAAATTGGCTCTCCAAGATACGATAAAAACTTTCCAACAATGTTAACGAATTCATCGAAACGAGATCGAGTAATACAATTGTTATGATCTTTGACTATGTCAAAATGATCATCAATTAGCTGACGATAAGTGTTCATTGGTGACAATTCACAAAGTAAGAGAGTCAAGAGTTTCAACTCCATAAGTGAAATATTTTGCTGACGCTTTTGGTCAAACACGTTCCAAAACAAGTTGGAAAGAATCGAAACTGCATTTTGTAAATTGAAACTTTTAAAATCAATGTAGAGTCCAGCTTTTTCAGCCGCAAAGAAAATGTCATGAATTATGTTTGTAAGTTGAGATGGACTAACACTTTCCTGTGACGAGCCCGCCTTGTGTTTATGAATGATCGCGAATGCCCAACGAAAAGGAATACAGAAAGCTGTAATGAATGACAAAGCGGATGTTTATTTTAGTAATCGGCATAACAAATCGTAATGTGTTATTGTTTGTAAACTGATATTAGAGGAATGTTTAATTTTATATTATTATGATGATGCTTCGAAAATAGCCTGTAACAAAAGATAATTTTAAAAGACTGTAAAATGAATACTTACTAAATAAGGCTTTCTTAAGTTGAATTATTTTTACAGCTGATCTATAACAAGAATATTTTACATCACCGAGGTTCGTCTTAATATTTTTGATAATAAGGATAAGTGACGGATTTTCCTTGTATCTAACTTTCGTTGTTGGATTGAGATAAAAACGATAACCACGTTCGTCTTCAATTTCCTCTAAACTTTCGTGCATGCTTTTGTGTTGAATATTGGAATACTTGTTGATCCTTTTATTTTGAGGTAAGAAGATGTCCTTAAATTTGTATACCTATATATCACTACTGTTCTTCGATGAAATGTGAAAATTTGTTATTTATAGAAGAACTTCAACGATTTAAACGTGCTTTAATGTCGTAATGGAACAAGGTTAAAAGCGAAATTAAGAATACTTCCTCGTAAAATGTTCTTTAAGTATCTGATTGAAAACTTTCAATGTTTTAATCATTGGCGGCGCTGTCATCGAAATGTTCACACGGAAAAAAATGTTCGCACGGAATCAAAACCTATGGGTTTTTTGTATGGAAGGTCAAATCCGCGCGAACCGTCGGGGCACGAGGCAATTATCTCGAGACATCATAAACAAAAACCCTGTGCATTTCTGAAAGGAACGGAAGGGGTGCGCCGTTAAAAACAATGTGGGTGCGAAACTCGTAAATGAGAGAGAGTGATCAGCAAACATTCAGCAAGCATTCAAAAACATTGGAGAGAAACGATCATTAATCGCTGACCATAACGATCATCATGTTGATCGTGGTTAATGTATTAATATTTTCTTAAGAGCTTCAGTTGTCATGTAAATTCCAATAGTCGATGACACAATATTTTAACTATGAGTAAGAAATTGATTATTCCACAGCATGACAGGAATTAATAAAAGAGATCATATCATAACAAAATTTCTTTTGGAAAGCGAACATGAATAGCTAGCTAGTTATTTTTTACTAATACGACAACATATATTACTGCCTAGCCGCAACAGAAAAAAACCAATATACCTGAACGAAACATTTTAATAATCAATAAATTCAAAATTTTACATTCATGATTATGCATTTTGCGCACATTTTATGGCTGTGAAATTGTGCAAAAATTGCAAGTTCCTTTAAAATTATTTATGAATAGGTAAACAAATTTAAATTGTTTTTATTTAAACGAAATAACAATTTATCAACAAGCGGGATAATGTTTAATGCAAGATTTGCGAGAAAATTGAGCTATGGCTGTGAGCTCAAAGTTCTCATATCTCAAATTATTAAAAATTAAAGAACAAAAATATATCTAATACATTTTAACCTTTTAAAAATCATTCGAGACGTGGGATCTCTGATGCTTCAGCGACTTTAGAATTATTGTTTCATATTTCAGCAGTATGGCATCTTATTATTTTAAGGACAAAGCATGAATCAACATATGTTTTTATAGAATCTAAATACCACGCGATAAACATTTTATAACTTCAATTTCCACTGCTTAGCAGGAGTTTTCTCTTCTATAACAAAACGATTTTGCTTTAAAAATCTCTCAAACATTAATTCAAATTTATACTTAAATCTTCTACTTTCATAGGAACACGATGATTGGGGGCTAAATAACATTAATTAATAGCCGGTAATTTCTCTTTAATTTTTTTAAATGTTGAATCGGGAACGTTAGTATTAAAAAAGTTTTTAAAAGATGTAGTTGTTGCTGGTCTACAGCATGTAATCCTTACTGCTGTTTGATGAAACATTTTGTCAAACGGTGCTTATCATTGTGCTGATTTGGCCTGGAAGGGCAGTTGGCACAAGTGGCTCCGGTTTGAACATCGTTCGCAATTTCTGAGAAAAAGTCATAACGTATGTAAAGTCATAAAGTATACGTTTATCATAAAAAAGAATTAAACTTACCCTCTTGAAACTACCTCGAGTCCTATCAAATTTGTAGATCATATAAAGTGGAATGCAAATCACAGATGATCCCGTTAATACCCAACCAAGTGGAATGGCCCAATCAGGGTAATAATATTCTTCTCCAAGCATATGCTCGTTGTTAAGTACAGAGAAAATCAAAATTACCTTAAATTATCCAAATATACAAATTTAATAAATTTTTTTAAGAATTTTCAATTTAACTTACAAAAAGGAAGGTTGGTGAAATGTATCGCCAGCAAACCCTCCAAAATATATTTGGTTTTTCACCCAACATTTGTTCGATATCAGCTGAGAAGTTATCGACGCCATAGATCCAAAAGACGCCAGCAGCTTCAACAAACACAACGAATAAAATTGCAAGTCCTATAAAAAGGGAAAATGGTTAAAGGAATCAATTTACAAATGTATTCGATTTATTTCTATTTATTATTCCTTACCTGGACCGTAAACATTCAAAAAATTGACCAAATAAACGCCACCCTTTAATTGGAACAGAATAAATATGACATAAGTGCTTGTACAAGTAAACATTTGTGTCGGTTTGATGATTTGAAGAATCCTCAACACTTTTTTCTTCTTTTCAAGCGTCTTTACTTTTTCTTTTACTAGATAATAATGGAAAACATTTTCCATTTCAGTAACATGTGAAGAATCAGCCTCTAAAGCTGATGTTTTATTTATTAATGCTTGCAAGTTTATTTATCTTTCACACATTTCTCTTTTTCACACAACAATCATTTGTGGTCGTCTATCGTATTTCTTTTGGTTTAGAGTAAATTAAATTTGTAAGTCTAATGAGAAATAGAAAATGTTTAGGAATTCGATAAGAACCTAAACGAAGACGAAGAAGAAGAAACATTCTGATAAATGGGAAGCAATTTCTCGGATTTTTTTTTGAAAACATTACCGTCCGTTGTTTGGAGAATCATTGATTAATTCAATGAGATCTTTGAGGATGTTTCGATTCACTGCTCAGACTAAACGAGCAATGATATAACAAAAGAGATTATCTTGAAAGAATTGTTTTCCTAAAGATCAAATCGAAGAATAACATTCGCCCACGAATTATTTGATTGCATTTAATGATGAGTGAAATGGAAACACTATCAAACTAATTGAGATTGACTATTGAAAGAGATGGAATATTTCTTCCTTTCAATTAAATGTGTCACTGTACTCACAAAAGTCATCGTTGGAAGAGCGCAGATGTAAATGAACGCCAACAATACAAGAACGAAAACTTCACGTCGTTTCCCAATGAAGTTTGGAAATTCATCACAAAGTGCTGTGATCATAGCTTCAAGTCCACCAAATGTTGAATCAAGACCAAGTGTTATTAACATAAGAAAGAAAATGATTGACCAGAAAGTACTTCCACTCATTAGAGATATCGCTTCAGGATAAACAATGAAGACAAGTCCAGGTCCCTGTTTACAAATGAAGAATTTTAATAAATCCTATCAGAAGATGAACAATTTCTCACCTCCAATCCCACTTTATCAATGTCCACTTTTTGAACTTCCGCCATGTAACCCAAAACAGAAAAGATAACAAAACCAGCTAAAAAGCTTGTCAAACAATTGATGGAACTTGTAAGCAAGGCGTCTCGATAACAATTGTTATTAAATTTATTATAACTTGAAAGTGCTAAAAGTGTCCCAAAGCCAGGTCCAAGAGAAAAGAAAATCTGACTAGCAGCATCAATCCAAACTTTTGTGTTTTTCAATTTCTCCCATTCTGGTGTTAAATAGTAACGAATTCCATTACCAGCACCTGGTAAAGTAACACCACGGAAGAGTAGAACTATTAGTACAAAGTATGGTGCAAGTGCAGTAACCCAAACAGCTTTTCCAGTACTCTTCACGCCTTTCCAAAGAGAAAAATATACAAGAACGAAAACTCCAAACACGCAAATGGCTAACGTCGGCTTAATCGGTCCCATGTATTCCAATCCCTCTGATTTATACTGTTCAAGCACGTTGCGTCTGTTAATTAAAAGAAAGCGATTAGTTTCACCCAATTAGTAGCTGAAGATTGACATTAATCTCACTCAAAGTATTCTCTAGCTGGACTCGTTGTATTGGTTAAGTTTGTTGGCGTATCGACAGATAAACATGAATCTGTGTTCCATGGATTTCCACATTTCTCCCATGGCAGTTCATAGCTAAACGAAGCAAAGAAATAATAAACCGCCCATCCGATAATCCTTTAAAAAGATATTAAGATAATTAGTTTTAATTGCAGCTTTAGCAAATTATTAAATAATTACGTATTGTAGTACATTCCCATATAGATATCGATGATACAAATCGCCATTCCAACGCCTTAAAAATTGATTAAGAAACATTTCATTAGATCTTCCTATTGAGATAACACAATTTTATGAACGCTCTGAAACTCCCACACCTAACAGAAGCATTTAAACACAAATCGATACGAAATTCTCGCAAGTTATCCTTCAAAGGTTTTTTTCCGACAAACGGCCGGTGATAACGAATGCATTACATTAATTTTCTATCATTTTAACGAGCTTGTATGTATAAGGAGAATCGCACAGCTTTCAGCTTCTAATTTATAAATTTATTCATTGGCTGCCAACACACATGTGAAATGGACAAACATAAACCACACTGAAAGTCGAGTGTTTAATGTATTGAAAAAGACGAAGGAAAAGAGTAAATAAACATTTAACGGATACGTTTTAATATTTATTCACTTCGAGCGATAAGTTTTTCCTTTCTTTTATCCTTTCTCTACTTGACACATAATTAAGTTTCTATTTCATGCTCCACTTTCGCAACGAAATGTTCTCAACTGCATCAGGAAGAAAAGCAACTTGTTGAGTTGAGATTTTGTTCAACTGACATCAGTTTTTGATTTCAGCTTTTATGTTTTTGTATGAAGGTTAAGTAGATGAAAAAAAAGGATTTTCATTGACTTTTATTTATTTATTTATTCAGTGAAGTGAATATCTTAAGGATTAACTTATTGTCTTGAGAAAAACAATTTATTTCTAAGCATGTTTTCCTTCAAACTGAAATTCAATCTGCACTTCTTGTGGACAAGGAAAACTTTTTCCTTTTAAATCTATCAAGTGGATAGTAAGTAACATTCTAAAGTTCCTACGGTCTAAGCTTAAATACTCAAATTGAAATAACTTGAGATGAGACATTTTAGATATCAGATAACATGATAAACCCAAAGTCACCAACAATGAGAAAGTTTCTTCACTCCAATAATCTCTCATCGGCTTTCACATCAATCATCAAGATTGTTTCATGTGAAATGGATAATTAAATCTCCTGAATTGAAAAGTTCTTCTTAGTATATGAAGCTAGGATTATTTTATTTCACAATATTTTCATAACTAAAAAATGAAGCATGAAAACAGCAAGGAGTGTGTATAAATCTGATTACATTAAGTGCAATCAACACAAATAAATTCATTTTGCAATTCCCTATTCATCAACAAATTTAAGCTCCATTCATTGAGCATTTCTAGGAAAATTAAACGTTTTATATAGAACAAATGTAAAATATTTATATAAATAATTAAATGTGACGTACATTCTTTAAACCTTAAGAAAGGGTAAAAGAAAATGATGCTGAAATGAGGTCATTGCAGATATAAGACTTCAGTCAAACCCGTATTTGATCTTTAATTGTTACCGACTCGCCTTTGACCATCAACTTGCCATTCTCATCGATTATTATCAGCATCAGAATGTAACAATTGTTGGTGACATTTTGGGTCGAATTTTAACAATTTTTTAAAGCTTCCGAGCATTAAATTTTCATCTTTTTATTCTTGGCGTAAATCAATAAATGTTGAGTGTTAAATAACACGATGATACTGTGTATAAAAAAACGACTTTTCTGTCATCAAACATTATACGAAGGTAATAAAGCACGTTTCATAGGACAAATCAATTTTTACGTTGTTCGATGTAGCTCTAGATTTTTTCTTTCTTTCTTTTACAGTTTTCATGTTGAAACCTTCGATTTTATTCATCATGATGATGACAGAAAACTTTTTTATAGAAAACTATACATATCTAATATTTTATGACTAAAATCACATCTCGTCTTATATTGATTACTATGGTCATTACACATTCAATGGAAGAATTTTTCTCACCTTTCAAAGCCGGACATATGCGATTCCAGATGCTTAAACATCCACAGCGATGAAATTGGCCGAGAGCAAGTTCCATGTAAAAGAGTGGCTGATTGAAATGTAAACATTTTCATCAGTTTTAATATTATTTTCTCAATTATTGTTAAGTTACCAGTCCACCCAATAGTAACATAATGCAATATGGAATAAGGAAAGCTCCACCACCATTCTGGTAACAAATATAAGGAAACCTCCAAACGTTGCCAAGATCCACAGCGAACCCAATGACAGCTAACAAAAACTCCACTTTTTGATTCCATGTTTCACGATGTCTTCCCTGTGTTATTGAAACAATTAAAGCGCGCTCTTTATCCTTAGCGCTCGAACCATTTGGATTCAGTGGATTCTTTTCTTTTTCAAGTTCATCATTTACTCCAAAGTCATCTACATTCGAGTCTTCAGCCGCGTCTTCATGATTTATTTGTTGAATTTTCCCTTTCGCTGGTGATGTTAAATTGGTGGTAGAATCAGCGAGAATTGAATTTTCATTTGTCATCTTTCTCTTGATGGGTCCACATCAATAGTAGTTTTAGATTCTTGGGCGTTGCAAATTGTTATTCAATTGGAAATATGCTTAAAGTTTAGCACCCAAAAAGGATAACAAAAAAAATGTTCTGTGCGATTAATTTTTATTCCTTCTACTATGAAATTCGCTATTGATGGTTCTTAGGTTGTCGATTTAAAATGCGGCGGTGCTATTCATTTTCGATCATCGTGAACTCTCTGAGAACAAATAAAAAAGAACAAATTGTTTTTACAATGAATTTAACCACAGAATTGTAATATTTAATTAACGGAGAAACGAAAAGATCAAAAGGTTGTAGGAGGAGTGAGTTTGAAAACCGTAACAAAATCTTTTTCCATTAAACCTCAAATTCGAAGGTTCTTGGGTCAGATTTTGAAGAAAAAGAAAATAGAATACTAAAAAAGTAAGGCTTCAACAGAAGTCAGTAAAACATGTTAAGCAATGCACTTGAATTGAAAGATTTCTCTTTCTGCAATGGGAATAGATTTTAATTCCCCACAAGTGCTTTTCAAATAATGAATAAAAATCGGAATTGCGACAAAGTGGAAGCGTAATGAAAAGCTTTAAAGCTCCACTCTCTATCTCCAGAGTAAATTTGATTAACAACAACGTTTAAAAGATTGTGTAAAGATAATAATATGTTTGACAACAGCATTTATTTCATGATTTAATATTCGAATGAACATAAAAAGTGTCAGCTGGTCAAAACTTAAAAATACGTTTATTAAATGCAGTTGAGAAATCAAAAAGAAAATAAAATGTTAAATATTATTTACGACATTTATTAACACTGTTAACATTTTCACGATATAATTTCTAATCTACATCAATAATCGTGACTTGATAGTAGTAAAATCAACATAATGATGGTTAAACACTACACATTATAATTATAAACTTTGCCTGCCTCAACTTCATATCTATGTAGCATAAAATCTATTAACGGCGTAATGTTTCCCATCAATAAACTCACACAAAAAAGTTGTTTGATTTAGAAATGTTAAATTTGCGTAACACAACAGAATTATACTTCATCACACAAACAAGTAAAAGCGAATATTAATTGATTTTCCAAAGCTGAAATCTATCCGTAAAAATATAAAAACGAGCAGCAACAAACAACAAAAAAAATTATTTCCGGATTCCTAAGGCCGGGTTGGACAAACGAAAGTGATTTCACGACAAGTTTACACGCGCTAATTGATCAATTTCGACTTTTTTCAAGATTCATGGAGGACAAAGTTTTTCACAATGATTTGAAATTTTTATTTTTAGATGTATTAATGACCACAAAGCACATGTGTTGACAAAAAATACTTAATACATAGATTAAAAATCAAGTTAAGTAAATAAACAAAAAGAATCATTAATAAAATTGATTGAAATAGCTTTGAGAGATTCTTTTTTCTTATACATAAATATCAAAATTGACTTCTAGGAACAATTGACATAATAATATTTATTTCGTTGAATCGGTGAGAAAGTTTGAGAATTACCTTGAAATTAAATATCTAGATAATAAATCGAATGAATGCAAGGATCTTAATTTACATCTTTGAAAAATCTTGATTGAAAAATAGAATTTCTGATCAATTCCTTACAAGCAAACCCATTGAATTGCTTTATTTAGTATTTAACATTGAATGATAATTACGTCCAATATTTCAATAAACAATTTAAAACCAATAATTAAATTATCAGTTCATATTTTTACTATTTCAAGTTTTTTAATACTCAGAAAATAATTTATATTGAAAAAGTTTCGTCATATTAATGACAGATTAATTTAGATACAAATTATATTGATGACCGTTTTATCAAATTTTTTTTTGTTATTTCGCCAGTAGAAACAATGGAATCATCTGCAGAAAATCAATTAGAAAAACTTTCTCTCACTTTCAAGTCATTTAACATGTTAGCGGTTAAAATAAATTAATTTGACAAAATGATTTTTAATCCATAGTTTCACACAAAGAAAGAATAACATTTTCGATGAAAATGAAAGAAAAATCAACATGAACATATCATTTTTTTTTTAAATGAAATATTTTACATTGGGAGCATCATTTTCCCTCGTTTGATAATCTCACAATGCCACAGCCAATCCTTTTTCCTTTTTAATTGTTCTTCTTTTACTTCTCTTTCACTTTCAAACTTCCACTTTCATCTCCTTCCTTCTTTAACTCTTGATAACAACACACCGACTGATCATTTTCATGCAACGACATCCTATTTATACAGTTTTCCATGCAGATATGGCAAACTTTGTTCTTGCGCAGACTATAATTGAAGAACTCTTTTTCAAACTTTTCCATACTATATTTTCGAATTAATAATTATTAACAAATAACTTTTGGATAGGTTTGAAATTTGCATTAATAATACTTATGATATATAGAAATATATATATGTTCATTCATAGATAATGTAATTTTCTATTTTATATCTCACGAGATATCTATCGTAGTGAAGACACAAACCCATGATTCTCATCATACATTGCATGCGACATGATAACGCGCCAACAAACAAAATAACTGACAAAATACACATTTAGGAAAATATCAACAAACAAAGGTTCAAAGTTGCATTTAATTGCATAGCGCTTCGTCATCGATGATTATTAATCACAAGAGTTTCTATATGTAATTACTCATAAACTTGTGATGAATTATCAAAAAATGTTTAGAACGTTGAACGTTGACTCATTTAATATCATAATAAGTTGAAAATTTGTAAACAAATCAGGAAAAAAAGTTTCCGTAGAAATCGCTGATTAAATACATGAATTAATGATCTAATGATCTCAGCATGAGAACATATTGAGAACATCAGGAAAGTTTATTTTATTTATCAAATGTTAAAATTCCGCGTCGCTGATTTTCATCAATTGGTTTTTATTCGACTTTATTTATTCAAAATATGTTTTAATTGATTGTAGGTACAAGTTGAATCTGTGTATCATAAAACACTATCGCATCAGAATCAAATACATAACATCAAGAGTTGATTGTCTCTCAAATGGAAGAAATTTCTCTCTCATTTGTTCATGTTGTTTCTACACGGAGCGAAAACATGTTTTTGTTTATTTGCGACGCATATCATCACCTGAATGAGTTTAATTATTGTCAACAAAAGTGAGTGATTGCTTAAAAGGATGATTCATCAATTAGAGTTTGTTTTAAAGTTTACATCAAAGATCACACAGATAATCTATATGTGTCTCAAAAAACATTTTCTCTCCGTTCAAAACGTAGTCACTCTGCTGTAGTTTTTTTTCCTTTTCATTCGGAGCGTCTCATGCCGCGATTGCTCATTCGTATGTGAGACGTTGAACAAAACAGTCGTTCGTTTTTATTTTAGAAAATATAAATCAACCTATAATAATAGAGAAAAAAGAAAAAAATATTGACTCTATCTGAACGTTTTAAAAATTGAATTAACATCAAATTGTGTTGTTTCGATTTTGAAAGAAAAATTTGCTTTGGCTGTTAAATATATCGATGAGGTTATTCAGCCGACAGTTTTTTAATAAGTGATTATTAGTTAATAAGCAAGCAAGAAGTTCAATGCCAAAAAGAATATTTTAAATAAGATTTTTCTTGTGCCGATTACAAATAACAACGAGTTTGGTTTAAGTTTTTAGTGAAATATTTTATGACATAAGACCCCAAATAGATATCAATAAAAAAAAGTGAGACGAGAAGAGGAAAAATTATTTAGCTACACAAATCTTGTATGCTTAACTAACACCATAAAAGTCAATTAAGAGGCAAAATACGAAAAAAAGTATTCTATTTTATTTATGAAAACTTTATCCATAAGAGTGCAGTGAAGTATCATCCGAAGTTTCGCGCATTTTTAAATTACTCGACAAAAGCGCAAACAAACTTTACAATTTTGGATTATCACAGCAGATCAAAAGTCACCAACAAGCAAATGAGGATTAAACGTGAAAGTCCTTGCTTGGGCCTCCGCTTTATGCCCATCAAACTCAGTAAGTTTAAAGTTATTTCTATTCACTTTTCGTGACGTCATGAAGTTGGGGCGAGATTCGTTTGTGTGCGTTTCCGCTCGTGTAATTAGAAAACTCGCTTTACGGACTTTTCTCCGTTAACTTCAATCAAACTGCGAGACGAAACTAAAAATTTCATATTTATTTACTATAATTACATAAAAAGAATCTCATCGGCTGTTAAATTTAGCAAATTTTTTTTAGATCATTTTTCTTCTTTTCCCTCGTACACCCCGAATGAGAGTTTCGGAATATTTTTTATTTCTTCTATATTTTTAGTCTGTGTGTTGAGCGTGAGTCATCGCATCGCAGTTTCTCGTTGTGTTGTTGTTATACGTTACACAGACATAATGTATAGATTTTGGATGAGTGTGAAAGAGAGAGAACGATTGCCTACCTAAGCGGTATTCACTCGGCACTCCATAAGAAAGAATGCGACAGAAAATTCAATCAATTGCTTGAAGGAAAAACTTTTCAAGTCGTGCTTTGAGGTGCACGAGTGAAATCTACCTAATTCCTTTTTTACTTATTCGAGTTTTCCTTTCTTTCTTACTTATTAAAGGGCAATTCAATAAAATAATTCATAGTAAAATCTTCTATTTTAGACTGCAACCCTATGAAATGTAAACAAATGTTAAATTTCCTTCAAAGTTTCATGAGCAAAAGTTTTATTGCATTGATAAATATATCAAACAGCAGTTCATCATAAAACTGCATATCTTTCTACTTAATTGAAGTCAACTTGGACATTTACAGTTTCTTTCTTATCACAACACAAACGTCTGAAGAATAATTAAATTATTTGCTATCAAAATTTTGACTTCGAATATGCGTGATTATAAATTGATAAGACGTCTCAATTTAGCTGCTTATTTGTCATGAGTATGAAAAACCTTGTGCAGTATGTGTCACTCATTTAAACTCTTTTCAAGGGCCGCAATTTAAGCGCTCGTGTGAACTCTCAACCGGTGCTTATCAACTCTAACAAATCGTTATAATCTCCCAAGTAAACAACTGCATTATAAGTGATTAAATATCTGATAAGTTTGACGTCAACCCATTTTTTTCTTTTGCTTATATCAAACTCACATCTTATTCGTAATGTGATGATCATCTTTGAATTATCTGCGCAAGAAACGTAATAAAATATTTAAGAAAAAGGAATTGAAAAAACAGACGTGCGATGACGTTTACATTCGATTTCCAGCTTTGCTATAGCGTCATCAATATTCTCTATCGAGAGAACTTGTTTCATAATTTTTTTTCCTCGATTTACTAAGAGCGCCTATGAAAAGGTTATCACGACAACGCAAAAAAAGAAATATGACTCAAGATAACAATTAAACTCAACCAAACAAAAAAAAATGTTGTCAAATGTTTCAAAGCTTTCAAGCCTTCTTTTTTTGCGTTTTCAGAGAAAGATGAGACAGCTCAACTGTTGCGTCAAATAAATTTATTTACCACGTTCAGATTTCGTTTGAATTTATAACATTCATTTCTGGTATCAAATATAACTAATTGCGCAATTGACTTTAAAATCAGAAGCCAATCATTTATACTTCGAATGATTAATTTTTAAACACGTTTCAACATTTCTATTAAATTTTTCTCAACAATTTTATTTGAATAGACAATAACAACAACAATGCATCATCCACCTCAAATTGCGGCAGTAGCACGACAACAACATCCAGCAGTATGAACAAAAGACATTGTGATGATTCGACGCTAGCGCCAGGCAGCTCAAGGATACCTCTCACACGTAGTTGCTCTAGTCCAGCTGTTTCACATGGTAAGTTTGATGATTCAATCGAGGAAAATTCACTTCCGAAAGAGGAAATAGTTTTAGGATCATTTCATAAACTTCTCGGTAACTGAATAACTTGTTGCCGATGATTCCACTGGTCTCCACCGTAAAGAAGAAAAAGAAGAAACATTATGAATGAAATGTTATAAATATTTGAGTCACTGCTCGTAAATGTTACATAGCGACAACATAAATAATTTAATTTAGAATATTTTCCAGCCATATGGTTGAATTATTTGTTGTGTAGGGCGGGCGCGTCTTTCATAACTTTTCTAGAAATATTTCATTCATGATTAAAAAAGCTTTCTGTCGAATTCCATGACAAAACCAAATCGGATTTCTAAAAACAAAAATCCATGCAAAAATAATATAAACAAGAATAAATCATCCTGTAAGCCCACAACTTAAGCGTAAAAGTCCATTAAAGATTATTTAAAACAAACAATGACAATTCGATGATGTCATCGTGTTTTGCTTTCGAGAATCGTTAAGATTAAAAGCGAAGATGTCCGGTAATGATTTTGTTTCAAGGATATTTTAAAAGCTCTCACAATACAAAGAAGCATGAATAACATAAAACATGAATTGAACGTTGAACTTTGCATTCATTTTAATTTAAATAGAAATATTTATCGATAGAAATTGCTTCACCAGCAGACCACAAAGAAAAGTAACAGAAAATAATTTTTAAAGTCGCTTCACAAAGCGTTTCTCATTAACATCTGACCTAATATCCGTCACCTCACCGTTGAGTGAAGAATCCGTTCACGTATTAACATCTATTTTTATCGTCCCAAAAGCTTCAAGTAAATTTTCAACTTATAAGTGTCGCAAATAAAGTCATTGAGATGAGATTCACTGATCTTTACATGATCATTGATTGGACCTTCAACGCAAGTGAAAAGATCCTTGAAGCTTCCGCAAATATATCTTTGAATTACATTTCGCACCAACTCGTTTCATTTATCTTGTACGCCATTGACTCTTGCGATTGAGTGAGTCATCACGCAAAAACTTCTTACATCGCTAACTTTAATACAAATCTTTGTATGCGTGCTACAAAACTATTTCTTAAATCATTTTATTTCTTTGTCGCATTTTCCATCTGACAAGACATGCCCAAAACAGTTTAAATTGAGCCAAATAAGTTGTTTGTTTTATTATTATTCAATTTTGCTGTGACCTCCACTGAGATTCTTAACCTATTGTTGATTATATTTATAGACTTCTTCAGGTTTCTTCACTTCGTGTGTGCGTTTTTTTCCGATCGCACATAAAGTTGTAAATAAATTTTCTTTGAAATTGATGAATATAAAATGATTTCGTCTGTCTTCTCACAAATAACTAAACTTAGAACAAGATCTACTTAAAATCTTTCTTTTTTTGGATGTTCAAAATAATCATTTCCTTCTGTCATCACTCCAGAACTAAAAAATCTTTGAAACATTGCGTTGGCTTTTGACTTTCCACTCAAATAAAAAATAAATTTCTTCTTTCTTGTCTTCTTCATTCATTTCATGGCACTTTGTTGTACATATCCATGAAGTCAGCGCTTTGAGTATTTTTATATTTTGGATTTATAATTACTTTGTCATTCATGCGAACACATGACCATTTTAAGAAAATCTATTAGAAGAAAGGGAAGGAAACACGGACAGAAAGTCTACAGCTACCCATGTGATAATGTTTCGTTGTTAAATATTCAAACATCACACCTCGTGCTCTGAACTCAGCGATGACTAATACGACAAACACGGCTAAGAATAAATCGGCGGTATGCGGAGACAAAATTGAGTCCTCGAAACTACGCATAAAATATCTTCACATGCATGTAAATTTAATTAAACGAAGAACGAATTTTCCCAGTTGGCACATTCGAAGCATTTCAAAGATATTTTTATTTGGCGGCAGCGGTCCCTGAATGACTTGAAGTATTCGACTGCTGTGTTTGTAGATTGAGTGTAAATAAACCTCGAGGAAAATGACTCATCGTCGTCTTATAATTGTTTTATTTAAGTATACACGCGAGAGAAAGAGAATCATAAACAAGCATCAGCAGTGTCTTTGATGAAAACTCACACTTTTCAGTTTTCGTTGCCCCGAAAGTTAAATTTAAAGAAAAAAAAAACGAGATTTTCTTACTTTTTCATCTTCCCGCGCACTTTTTACTCTTTTTTTTCAATTTCGTTTTTATTTTTAAATAATCATTTTTTTTTTAATTTTGTTTTGGTTTCGGTTGAGAGTGAAAAAGAAGGAAAAGTCAGTTTCGGACGATATTTTTAGCAACGGGGATCGCGGTGAAGGAAAATCACCTCGTGACAAATAAATTCGCTGAAAATTTAAATCATTTGAATCATTTTCTACGCTGCAAGTAAGTGAGAGAAAATCTGCGAAAAAAAATTGGCACAATTTGAAAACACCGACGGTGTGTCTGTCTGATGGAGAAATGAAATGAAAAACTTTTTATTAATGTCATATTCCCTCGCTATTAATTCAACATCTTGAGTCGTTTTTTCAACGACTTCCTGGTTTTCATCAGACGCTTAATCGTTTGATAAGGAAAACTTCTGGAAGTGGAGCAAGGAAATTGATTGTTTAATTCGATTTATTGTCACAATCGTTCACGTTCAACATGGACGTGGGGTAAATAAAATTTATTTCCTATTTCCAAACATATCATGGAAGCTCCGGGCACATCATCGAAGCAAGAAGAAGATAAACGGGAAAACAATGAAATAATATTTACTTCCGTTATGGAGTTTTCTGACGAGAACTTCCGGTATTTTGTTTTGAAAGCTTTTGTTTTGTTTTCATTTTTGGGAATATCAAATTCGACTCAAAGAAAAAAAAAATTTATGAAGAATTCTCAAAGAATTCATTGACTTTAGCAGCTGTGTTATGAATTTCATTGTATTTTGTCAATAAGCAACTTTACATAGTCTTTAAAATCATAAACAGCGCACTAAAGCTGATATGAAGCAATAAAATCGTCAATCAAATGCAACAAAAATTACGATTATAAAACATTCAATTGCATCAGAGATTCTAAATGAGCGAATAAACAAATGTTGATGAGTCATGATTCAGAATATCTCGAACGTAGCAGTTGCATATGAATTTATTGCGCAAGAAACAGAAGAAGATTTCTCTGTTTGTTCATTTGGTATTTTTCTCATCGTAGCAAAGCAAAATAACTGAAACAAAATTTTATCGAGTGCCGAATTCTAAAAATAATTAAGACTTTAACTGCGTAGAAAGTTGTTTGTTTAATTGATGTTGATAGAAATAATGATCGAGTCTTGGGGTCGAATTATATTTGATGCCCGGAATCTCCCTCAGCTTTTAGCTGACTCATTCGCCCGCATTGCCATAATACTTATGAAATTCTTCTTTTTTATTAAAAGAACACAGTGTCGAATCGTGAATAACTTACTCATTTCAACTTATTGATTGATCTTTCATGTAACTCGAGAACGATTGGCGACACTTTCTACTTAAAATCTTAATTGTTATTTAAAACATCACATCCACCCTCGCATTGTGGTTCACCACTTGTGATATCGAAATACAATAAAAAGCAGTTGATATTAGATTAATGTAAGTTTCACTGGTCATAGAAAATGTAGGGAATTTTTTGATGGGAAAGCGATGACTCACTTCTATATAAATTCACTGTCGAACCACCATCATAGTGGGTGCTGTTGTTCAATTGAATTCAATTTAATGTCGCACTGTGAGTGCGTTTAATATCGTTGACAAGACGTCAATTACAGACGTCGAAACATGAAGAAAGGGGGAGGGTTATCTATAAAAAGAGAAATTAAATATTTCATTAACTAATCAAGTTGTATCGTTAAAATTTCTTATAGATATTGAGACACATCCAGCATCTCCGGTTTTCCCTCATCTGCTTCTTGGCAATGGTCGTGACGCAATTGATCCATCAAGTGTCGGTGCCAACTGCGTTCTCAACGTCACCTGTCAGCCCTCTACGACACAAAACAAACCAGGCGTTAAATATAAACAGATACCAGCTAATGATACACTGCACCAGAATATCAAACAATATTTTCAAGAGGCATTTGAGTTTATCGGTGAGTTTAAAGTTTCTTTTTCTTTGTTCAACTCTCAATTTTCCATGCTTAAAATGAAAGAAAGTCGGGTTAAAAATCAATCAGAAAATTTTCTATTCCTCCGTTCTCGTAAATATAAATCAGCGCAGGTTACAGAGCGCGGTAATGTTCCATTGAATATAATTCTTCATGTATTTACATTATTTCCAGACGTTTCTTTGTGTTTGTTTACTTGTTGGTGTTTGCTATTCATTTTTATTTTTTGTGTTTGCCAACGACTTGATGAGTCATACCCTTCCAGCCTGTAAAATGTGTTTCTTTTTTTTTCGCTTCCATTAAATGTGGTTGAAACAGACCGGGTCATATAAAAATTATGCGGCCCCGAAAAGAACAAAACAAAAAAACTGAAAATAAATCTGTTGCAATTAAGAAGCAAGCTTAGAGATTGCTTTTAATAGTTTTTCTTTTCCGGGACCGGGACAAGCGATTTGGGGAGAGGATTAGTTCAAGTAAACAGTTTAAGATGCCTGATGGGTGAATAAGCATGCTGTTCGACATGATATTTAGATAAAGGTTTATAATTGGCTTAGAAGATGAAGGTATTAAATGTCACGTTGTCATCGTCGTCATCGTCGTCGTTGTTAAAGTGTTTTCAGTAAACGAACTCGTCGCTTTTGTCAATAACGATTTTAAATGCTTTATCGGCTGCTTAAAGTTTCATTATTCTTTCTTCACTTTATGACTCATCTCAATTTTTCTTCTAGTTTAAATATGCCTTGCGCAAAGCTTCTTGTGTGTGTGTGTGAGTGATTTTATTTATTCAATTCGTTATCAAATTGGATACATAAAGGTTTTTCAAAAAGTACTCATTAAAAGCAATGTAAAGTTTCCAATTCAGAGCACTGATAAGAATTGACATGAAACTAGTGAATCGTGACATGTTGATTGTAGTGAATCATCATGTACATCATGTTGTTTAGATTATTAAAACACAAAAGTTTTCCATGAAAATTATTTAGAAAGATAATTTTAAGTGAACGATCTAACATAATCTTGTGAATTGCATCAACCTTGGCTGAAATAGTGCTAATCAGCTTTAAAGTCAATTTACACAATCAAGCTACGAAAAAGTCGTTCATCACTTCGTGCAAATCACGCAAAAAACAAAAAAAAATAAGAATGAAAATATCAACAAAAGACGAAGGCAAATGGGGAGCTTTTAAAACGATTGGTGTCATCAACTGACACGTGACTCAATGGCTTTATGTGAAAATGAAGGAAAATTTATTATATCTACAATGGCGATAATGCGTTTGGTTTATTGACGTGACAAAACATATAACATGAAGTAAGAATTTCGTTGTTGATTCTTTTTCTTTCTCTTTTTTTATTTTTTTGGCTCGTCTTTCCGTTGATAAGAAAACCGCTTTTTGGTTGTTTTACAAAGCACCAACTTCCGTCACGGAAATTTGATTCTGATAAAGGTTTACTTCTCAAAAAAAAAGAATTTCTACATCGTGCATATGAATAAAGGTTTAAACTTCAACCATTATGTTGACATTTCTTATCTTAAACTTCGTGTGAAATATGCAACGAAGCGTATTAACGATAAAGTGAATGGAAAGTAGCTTAAATTAGTCGGGGGAATCTTACTGCATGACGCATTGCATTCATATTTGGAGTTGGAATGTTTGAATGCCTTTGAAAATTATTCACTCACATTCTCTGAAACTTCTCATCTTTCTTTTTTCAACTCCCCCCCCACACATGAAAACATCACACAGAAATATGCTTGAGAATAGAATTATTTCTCATCATCATCCAACGCATGATGAAATTATTAGCAGAAGAAGAGAAATTTGTTTTATGATCTAAAGCAACGATAGACCTCATCACCAGGGAAAATATGAGTCAGAAAATATGGCTATTAAATGATGTTTCGTGGGGTTTGCCTTTATGAAGCATCACATCTCTAAATAGGGGTTGCTTGCAATATATTGCAAGTGAAGGAGAGTGAGAAAGTTTAAGTCGTAAAAAAAGTAAAACGCATAAGAATCGTTACCTTAAATATCCTCCCCTGTTTCTTTTTTCCCATCCGATGACTCATCTTTCATTCTTCAGAAGAGTTTACATCCCTTTCAGAGTTTTTCTCTGAATAAATGAATCAACCCATATTTGCCAGTGCACTAAACCCACGACAAGCTTAAAATAACAAACAAAAATAATCAGAAAAGGGGTTCGTTCTTTAAGTTGGTTGGTATGTTCATGAACATCATAAATTCACTGCATTCTCTTGATCTGATCCCGTTCAACAAACAGCAAATGAGGGATGTAGACTTGAAAATCCTTATTTACTCTGAACGGATGAATCAGCGACGAGGACAATGTTTTGTGTTTAATTTAATCTCTTGAAAATGTTGTTTCTGAATAAATATTTGGTTGAAAATTAATCGGGGACTGAAGATGACTTCCTTTCGACAAATTGGCTCCGATCCTTGTTTGAAAATGTTTTGCGAGTGATTCATGTCAATCTAGACGACAATAAAAAAAATTTCTTCTTACTTATGTTGACCAGGATGAGATTTGAAAAATATGGCTTGATGACTATGACTCATAGTGATCATAATGGCCAGACAGGTAGCAAGTTAGAATTAGAGTTGTTGTTGTTGATTGAAATTAGAGATGAAATTAAGATACGAATGAACAAATGTCTGGAAATTTTTTACTCCTTGTCAGGTCATATTTTCAAGGAATCATTAAATGAATACCATAATTAAATGTGTAACGAATTTTCTCCCGAAACTAATCACATTATACGTAAAGTTCTTAGAAATTAAAAGCAACATTTACACGTAAGTAATAAACATTTAAAAATGTGCAAACAACAGAGTGAAACAAACAAGTCCAATTCCAAATTATTCTCGCCGTTTTCGTCATAAAAATTCCCAATAATCTTTGAAAGATTTCCGCGACTCTTCCAAAGACCAGCGACTTCATTAAAATCCCCAAAAATCTCAATGATGATCATCAAAAATTTGGCAAAATAATATTTCTCGATTTCAAGTCACAGGCAAGACAATCTTCCAAACCATTAAGCGAGCGAAAAAAATATCAAGCAGAAATTATTCATCCGCAAGAAATTGAAACCAGTTTTCGTTGAATGCTTGAATGGATATTTCTTTTCTCGACAAAATCTTAGAGTTATGCTTCCCAATGCTGGTTCACTGTGTTGTGTTGTGTTGTGGTACATGCTGAAATATCTTCAAATCGTGTGTACATTGATCGAGAAAACCAGTCAAACCACATTCATTCCAGTTTGCAGTAAATTGTTTTATAAAGTTTTTGTGTGTGTTTGTGTTAAAACGAGAGAGAGAAGCAAAAGAAACAACAACTGCCGCGGCCTTTACATGACGTCACTTTTATTGAAAGGTCATTCTGAATGAATGCTGTATGGTTGTGAGCGATGACTTTGAATGTAGTTGAGTGCTTCAACCAGCCGTTTTTGCTGGTGACTGTGGTGAATTGTGTCTCAAGAGATTTTTTTTCCTTCAAACTCACTTTGCAATGAAACGAAAGTTAAGACAACGATCACTGTTTTAAAACATCAATTGATAGCTTCAAAGTTTGAACGGTTTTTATTTTATTTCATGAGCATTTGACGCTTTCTCTGACTTCATTTTCTACTCCATTAGGTTTAAAATTTTGCTTATGCTTAGTTTGATGGTCTGAAGCTAACGAAAACATAAAGAAATTGTCAAAATTGTTGTTCCGTAAAAATGAAATGTCCTTCGATGTTGTTTTGTATTGTAATCGATCGTAACTAACATGTTCGTTCAAAAAGGTTGTTGAATGGATCGGAAATGGCCTCAGCTGTGCTTCACTTCCGAAGCAGATGCAAATAATGTTTTTATTTCAAGTATTAGTCATCAATGGATAAAAAAGCCAAAGGGGAAGAATGCATCACGTACGCAGTAGGAAATTAAATTCTCTGTGATTTTATTACAAATAATTTCTGTTAAGTCTTCTGGGTTGATGTTTTTAACACCTTAAATGGCATACATTTACATTTATTTATTGAAAAGTTAAAAACATTTCACTCATTCTAGAAAGTTGAAAGATCTTTGATTGATTTAAAATAATTTTATGTACATTTAGATAATGTAAATTGACGCAATTCAATTATCTTCATGCAAAAAAGAAAGAGAAAAATAACAAAGAAAATGCAATTTCCCCTCTAATATTTCCTGAAAAGTTTCAACAGTTGAACCACACTCGAAATTGAATTTAATCGGAAATCTTTCTCGTCAAAAACTGTTTTGAGAGGAAAATCATCTGACAACATTTGCAATTTTATGTTTTTCTTTAATTTTCTTGACACTCGACAATGTTCACCCTCTATGAAGTTGATGATATTAATCACTTAAGATCAGCAACATACTGCACCAGATGCTGCTACGTATATACACTTCTTGGAAATATTGTTTATGATTTAGTTAATTCCACCGGGGGTAACTAAGGACAAAAGAAACATCAACTGAATACGAATCGGCTCATTAAGAACCCCAGTGACTCATTTAAAGTCATTTGCTTGAATCTACCTGAAAAATGGAAAAAAATGAATTTTAAATGTTAGAGCTTTACCGATCGATTGCAGATAATTAGTCGCTTCGAGTAATGCGGTCGATGCGAATTTTAATTATAAGTTATCAATATAATTGTATCTGATTCATTGTGTGCAATTTTCATTGTTTGCAAGAAGTTATGAAATCTGTAAAATTCCCTCTGACTTCATGAGCATGCGTAAACTATTTTCAGAACCCTTGTAAACGGAAATTCATTAAATTTATTCGATAGAAAAGTTTCTCGCGCGAAGTTTTCTCTTTGTAAAGGTGTGCGATATAACTCATGAAAATGTAAATAATGAGCACGCTGCAACGATGAATCATAAGCCGCATTACTTTACCCTGAACCTAAACCGTGACGCCTTACGTCACCTATCGCGATAAATGTTTCTTTTTTTCCTTTTTGGCGACAATAGCAAGCAATTTGGTAGCTTATGATTAATGAAAAATTGTACAGAAAATATTTATGTGAATTGAATAAAATGAAATTCCAGTAGCCGAAAAATAGAATCAAATGTTAAAGACAAAAACGTGACGGCGCTACCGAAAATAAAATGAAAATTCTCCAACATTGTTTTATTGATTGAAGAAGTCGGTGCGAGGCACTCAAAATGATGTGATTCAAACAAACGTGTAAAAATAAATTCCATCAATGTTTTCAATAGAAAGTAAAGATATTTACACTTCTTCGGAACAGAAATTAATTTTGTCTTAGTTGGAAAACTTTTTCTTCTCAAACTTATCATTTCATCTTAAAATGGAAATTTTCATAAGTTTCTGAAAAACTATTCTTGATGATTTATGCAACAATGATTCTAAGGCAAAAAATGTCGTACAACAATTTTATAGCTGAACATGTTGATTTTGGTTTACGTTGAATTTAAGTCAACATTTTTTTTCTCTATGAATTACTAATTAAAGTTTTCAAGAATTGTTTGTGTGATCGAGGAGCTCACATTTCGCCATTTGTCGGTTGAATTACTGTGGTTTTTGGAAGATTGACATTAGATACGATTGAATCATACTTTGTCATGTCTAGAAGTGAAATTAAAAAATATCAAAAGCTCAGGTTGAATTGTTATTTTTTGCAATTTGACAAAATAAACTTTTAACTTTTAAGTGTTGTCTTTATAAATTCAATTGTACTGATGATATCATTAACACTTTAAGCTATTAGTTGACGACAATTGAAAGCTAAAAAAGTGTTGAGTCGTGGTTAATTCGATCATTAAAAGAGAGAAAAATAAAATTGCTTTTACGTTCGAATCGTTTCTTTTTTCTTTATTTGCGACTCAAAGAACTTCGTCAATGACGATTGCTATTTTTTGCTGAGTTAACAAGAAGACACTTTGAAGCAACGAATCTCAGACGATGAGTCATTTGGTCTGATGATGAAACCTCGGATAGTTTCTTGTGCTTTGTTGTTGATTGTTTATGTGTTTCATTTCGTAGACTATGTGAGTACAACGGCATTAAGTTCGAAGGTGTTCATTCTTGTTCACACGAGGTCTTCAATCTTTTAAGTACTGTGACTAATCGATTCAGAATGTCATTTATTATTTCGTTGCTTCTATAATTGTTACATGATGTAAAAGTACTGTCGTAATGTGTGAACTATTTCAATGTATACCAAAAGAATCTCTCTAGGAATCGCTCGACTTCTCGCTAATTGATTCATCCAAGATATTTATCTTCACACTGCTGCTTATGAAGTGAAATCGTGCGAAAATACTTTTTTTAGCAACCAAAGGTTTCTTCTCAGTAATTTAGATGAGACAATTTGACTTGACTATTGTCGGAAAGTAAAATCTCTTAAGGTTCGTGACGAGAATCGTGAACTTTGAAGCGTGATTCTGCAGGTTGATGGAATACTGTAATGTCTGTTGACATCACGACTTATTCATGTTCATCTCGCTTTGTCCATAATTTCACAAACAACAATCTTTTATTTTTTAAAACATTCACATTCTCAATCAGAAAAATTCTTGCGTTGCTTTTTTTGATTTTATGGCACAACTTCCACATAAATATTACATTTTCTGTGTTGAGTTTCACAGCGAACTTTCTATTCTTCAAAGCTGCATAAAGGAAAGAAAGAGAGCGCAACAATAAATTTTATGCAAATGAAACACAAACAAAGTGTAAATAGTTTCGCATAAAAAAAATGTTGAAAACCAAACGACCTTTAAAAGTCGTTGAGATATGTCTGTCGTTGTTTGGCTTCTTGGGCTTGCAAGTGGTTTTTAATGAGACAATTTCAAGCATGGATAATTGCGAATGTAAATCATTTGAATCTACACGATGGAATTAATTTAAATATTTACTAATGTTTTGTCTTTTTTTTTTTTGTTTTCTTGCAGAAGAAGCACGTCAAAAAGGATCGACAGTGCTTTTACATTGTCAAGCTGGCATTTCACGATCAGCAACCATCGCAATCGCTTACGTAATGCGCTATAAATGCTTTTCACTCTTCCAAGCTTACCAACTAGTGAAGGAAGTTCGACCAATCATATCACCAAATCTTAACTTCATGGGTCAATTGTATGAGTTGGAGCAGAGTCTCATTGCTGAAGGCACGTTGCTTCCTGCACCTGTTATTCAACCATCACCTCCAAGCCAGCATTCTTTCCTCGTTCACCACGTGGAGCATCCGAAGCCATCGAGTCAGCCACTTTTTCCACTTACACTTCCTTGTCGGAATCGTAAAAATCTTTTTAATAAAAATAAACTGACGTTAAAAGTGTCGAGTGATGACAACAATAACATGCGATCATCGGACGGTAGTTCCGAAGAAGATGTTGAAATGGTGTCATCGCCACGATCGAACATGATAATCATTAACGAAGTCGATTGTGAGAGTGAAAATGCATCAAACAATAACCGCGAAGAGTCGGAATGCTCATCGCCATCGAGTTTAACTTCGAGCCTTTCTTCGAGCTTATCTCCAGTACCATCATTGACCAATTCACCTACAAGCCTCACGCCAGACGTATCAAAATCGTCATCGCAGTTTGAATGAAGCAGGAAAAACTTTCCTGACGAAGAAAGGAAAATAACGCCTCGTGATTATGGAGGCTGCCGTAGAACTTTCCTAAGCACAAAAAGAAAAAATTATTTATTGCTGTGGTAGCTGAGCTTTGGGAAATTCTCGTAAGGAAACGTGTAGCTAATTCTATAGGAAACAGGCATGAAAGATTATTGATAAGAAGTCACATATTATAGAATACACACATAATCATAAAAAAAAGGTTTTTTCTTTCTTATAAACACTTTTCATTGCTGCGAGATAAAAAATATGTTAAGTCATTAGTCGATGATAAGGTAATTTTTTTTGTCATTCAAATCAATCATATTTTTGCCTCCCACGCAATCTTTCACTTTTGTTCTTGAAGAAAATAATTAATTATGGGTTTTAACATGGAAAAGAAAGAAATGAGAAAGAAAGATGCTAAATAGAAAGCTTGTGATTTTCCTGCCATTAATTAAACATCTCTGACCGAAGTATGAACATCGAAAATGTATCCAAAAAACAATAATCTTGTGTAACTTTGAAAAGAAAGAACATTTCTTGTTATTTGTGTTGCAATAAAATGCAAAATTAAAAAGAATGTTTGATCATGTGCAGCTGTTGCTATTGTCATACTGAAGGGATGAAAATTATTTTTCTGTTAGGAAACTTTTTTTTGCCTGTTCTTTTTCTTCTTTGAACTGATGATTTTACTAAATTTTTGTATGTATGTTAGACTTTACGTTTTATTAATTATTTGTAGATAGCTCTTGCTAATTGTAAAGCGGATTTATAAAATTTAAGAGAATTGAAATGTTTTTGACGCCACACCACTTGATATCATAGAAAGTTTTTTCTTTTTTTTGTGTTTGGAGTGAAATCGGAAGTGGAAGAAAATATGTTCAGATGATATCTAATCAAACGGTGAAAAGCGAATAAAAATAGTTAAATAAAATTTTTATTTCAAGCAGTTAAACTTCTATTATACACAACAACACAACATGCAAACCAACAAAATAAAAATCTAGTCTAAAATTATAATTTTAAAGGAAAAAAAAAACAAGTAAAAATGAGAATAAAATGAAAATTGATTGCTATAGAGATTAAAAAATTTCTTTTATTTATTGTTTTTCAGATCATTTACTTTTTTCCAAAGAATAAAACTTGTTCCTCTTCTTGTCTTTGTTGTACTTAAATTTGTGAGATAAGATTCTTCTGAAGTTTGAGAAATTGAAACATAAATTCATAAAATTTTAACGCTTTTTATATTTTTAAATAATTTCCTTGAACAGTTGAATGGTTTACAATAACATTTGTGTTGCTTTAAAGTTCTATAAATTACCTGCGGCCCAATGCGATTTTCATACAAAACGCTCACGAGCAACGTTCAGTGCGTGAAGAAAATTCCCGTGCGTGAGAATTACACTCTCCACCTGAAACTAGACTTTGGGGAGACGAGTTTTAGGTGGAGAGTGTATTTTGCACAAGTGCAAAAAAACACGTATAGTTAAACAAATTGACTGAAATTATATAAATAACGGTAATTATAAGAATTTTAGATAGACCTAAAATTAGGTCTAAATTCGAAAAGTTGCTTGCAAAAGTTGTCGCCAAAGCTTTCGATGCATCTGATGAAGAGATTTTTTTATTGAAAATGCAACATGCACATGAAATGAAAACTTCATAATAAAGATCGTTCTGGTTTTGGCAACATGAAGCAGAATAAGGATCCACTTCCAATAACAACAACATAAACATCAACAAAGTTTTGTTATTTATATAATCTAAAACCACCAGTAGGATATTAAAACCGTTGAATACAATGTATTGTATGAATTCTTCTGATGTTCTCTTCAATGAACTTTGAAATTGAGTGCATCAAAAATAAGGATTTAATGTAAATGGAATATTTTTTTTTATTTTCTGTTCTGCCATTTTTGTGATTATATGAAAGTCATTAAAAATATAATTTTAATTCATTTGTCTGACACATAGCACAATACTGTTCGTAATTTTGTTCTTCAAGATATTTTTCTTAGACGTCTTTGATATCATAAACTTCTTCTTCGAATTTCAAATCCAAATCAAATAAACTTTCTTATTTTAATTTTTTATATACATATTTTTATAATTCATCTTATTTTAATTAGGAATGTAAAATCTTATATTTAATCAGTTAATGTTCATTAAATTTTTTCAGACTCATGGTGGATATTTTCATTTTTTACAGCAACTCTTAAAAGAGTGATTGAAAAATTTGTAAACTTAATTTTTGTTTGTTCTCTTTGGTTGTTTATAAAGAATTTCGATTTTTGATGATTTTTAAAGCTTCTAGTTTTGTAAGTAGAATACAAATAAACCTAAGGCACATAAAATGTCAATATTTTTTTGTCTTCTTCGCCGGGCGGAGGTTGAGATATAGTTGGATTATAAGGAATTATTTCCTGTTCTTCAGAATCTCCGTCACTGTCAGACTCCAACGTAATAAGGCCGACATCATTTGGACTTGATGGTGAAGCTTCATAGTTAAGAACCGACAGTTGATTGTCCTCCTTTTCTTGTTTTATTTCTTCGAACAATCCATTGCTTCCTATAGATCTAGAAGCTAAATTGAAATAAAAAATTATTTTTATGCAAACAAATTATGATCGTATAATTTATTACATACCTATGAGATCATTAATATTTCGACATCGTATAATACTCTGGAGTCTTTCGTCTTCTTTTTCGATGATATCGCCTTGTGGATCATCGCGTTCTTGTTTAATTATTTTCAATACTTCTGAATCCTTGTTTGTTCCTGGAATCATATTTAAAGTTGAGATCAAAGTATTGACATCTTCATTTGCCTCATATTCATTTTCAGTGTCAGAATCATGATCGGGCGGCTCTGTTTTGATTATAATTTCGATTTCAAATTGTTTGTTGTTATTTTCTTCATTGTCATCAGTTTTTTCAACAGTTTTGTTACTTGATTCATTTGAGTTGCTTTGATTTTCCTTTTCTAATTGTTCCTGTTGACCCTGTTGTTGTTTTTGTTGATCTTTTTGTTGTTGCGTTGACACTTGATTATTTATTAAAACCGTTGATCCAACCTCCGCGAGAACTTGAGATGCTGTCGTACTTCCGATCTTTTCAACACGAGATTCATTACATTTATTTTCACTGATTGTTTTTACACGACTTCCCGATGATCCTTTCACAGTTTCTTTGGCACAATTTTCCGATGATTCTTTTTGAGTTTCTTTGGCTCTACTTTGACTTTTATTGTCTTTTCTTGAAATGGGTTGAGTGGAAATCGGTAAACCATTGTCACTATTCATTTTAATTTTTTTATTTTGGAAAAAAGTTTTCGTTTCATGAGAAATTCGTTTATAACGATTCTGTTCTGAAGACCAGCGAGATCTTTTTTGCTGATTATCTGGATCCTCATGATTTATGTTATTATTGTTGTTAAAATCTGGACGTTTCAATGTTTCTTCTGCTTTTTTTTCTCTTTTACGATGATCTTTATTCAATGAATTTTGTGAATCAGAATTTGATTGGGATAGACGATTGTGCGGAAGTCTTGGATCTCTTGATCTTGAAGATGTATTTGCTGATGAAGCTGAACTTGGCATATCACGGGAGCTATGAGGTTGATTATTATTCATAGCTCGCCTATTGTTTGAGGAAACTCCACTTTGTCCATTACGTCCAGAATTGTAAGAACATCCCTGGGGATTTTTTAAATTTCGATTTTGATTATGGTTCATAGGTCGCCAATTGTTTGAGGGAGCTCCACTGTGTCCATTGCGTCCAAAACTTTGCGAAGATCCTTGAGAATTATTTATATTTTGGGATGGAGTGGTAAATCCTCCTTGAGTGGGGTTTTGAATAGGACCAATGAAATTCTGATTTTGAAAATTTTGAAACATTGGAGGCATCATTGGATGCATAGGAAAATAATAGTTATTGACGTTAACCACTGATTGTGCTTGATTATTCGAAGTGCTTGGCTGTAGTGCTGCTGTATAATTGTCATGTTGATGTTCTTGACGAGTATAATCTCGTTGCAGCCGTTGCTGTTCATGTGATGATGGTTTCCGATTTTCAGGAGCAAAAATAAGTTTTGGTTTTCTCCAAGGAATTGGATCATTATTAATCACATATTCTTCATCTTCGGAAGAATCTATCTCGGCCACAGTTTTAATTGGGAAACAATCTGCTAACTTTCTCTTTGAATTTTTTGTCTAAAAAAGTAAATAGCATAAGTTATTGAATTACTCAAAAATTTGTCTTTACATACTTTGTAATAACATTTTTCTAACTGTGTAATAACATATTCATATGCTTTATACAGTTCAAGAGTCATCATTTTCCCCTTATTGTTTCTCCAAAAATCAAGTGTTTTATAAGCATCTATAATATAAAAACAAAAAAGTGTTTTAATTGATAAAAAACGAAATACTTTACTAACTTGATACATTTTCCGGTTGTAAAACGTTTTTGAGATCAGGTTTTTTCAACAAATTTTCATATTTCTGTATAATAATAGCTTTCCACTTGTTGGATTCTCTTTCATTTAATTCTCCATCACTATCTGATTCTGAAGGCATCTCTATTATTTATTTATATTTCTTTTTACACTGAAGACTAGGAATGTTTAGATATTGTGTTTATCGCCTCTATATTTTGATATTTCCATTAGAAACTTTTCATTCGATCTATGTTCGGCCAAAGAGGCTGTTTTAAGTACAGTGACTTCTCTAAGTTTCCAATCGGTTTTTTAGGTACAATTCATAAATAAAAAAGCTGTTAAAAAAATCTTCTACGTATTTCATATATAGAATAAGAAAATTGAAAAAAAAATAAATTGATCGCGATTCATCTACTTTAAGAAAACACTGAAAATATAAATAATTTAATTAAAAGTATGTGCATATTTTTGAAAATTTAAAATTTCTTCCAATATGATTGTTAAAAATCACACAGTTACCATCCATCTAATCTTAGCTATTTAAAACTGAAGAAATATTCGTAAATGCTTGAAGATTACTGATAAATTCATAAGTTATATTCGGCATTATATAGAACAATTATTGTAAAATATTTCAAATAATTATTATCATGAAAAATTTATTGTACCATGAATAGTTCAGCAATATGTATGTATTCAGAAAAAGATTAATGTGAACTTGAATGAGAACAAGTATTCTCAAAAGTGAGATTAAGGAAATGCCACCCTTCTTGTCATTCATCTTCATTCTGTCTGCAGATAATATTAGAAAATTCTCATATCAAATATCCTTTCCATTTCTTTTCTTTTAATCAAAATAATATGTAGATATATGTTAATGTAAAATAAAAATCAAATGTACATAAAAGCTTTGCTCTTTTTTCTCTCTTCAGTTTTGAGTAAAATTTCAATTTTGAGCTTGAAATTGAGAGCCAACTGAAGAGCTTGTGTTTTTTTTTTGCATCGTACACAGCACGGAAAAACGGTAGTCAATGCTCAGTCTCGAATGAACCTTATGTGAGTGTACACTTCGCTGCTTTAGTCAATAAGTATAGTAAATGTGAGATAACAATATATTGGAGAGTATAAAAAGTCATCTCAGACTTCGGATTTAAAAAAATAATAGTCCAAAGATTTATTTAGTCTGCGCAATTACTCACGCGCCAAAGAACAAATGTGAAAATAAATATTCAATGGATGATTATTCAATCAATGAAATTTGATAGATTCTAATCATTGTGGACATTTGATTAGTGTAAAAGTTTACATTTTTATCTTTGAAAGTATACAATATTTTGGAGGAAATTAAATTGAAAGATTCAATATAGGTATTTGAGTAAAAATAAAATAAAAGTTTTGTTATGACTCGAAAAATGTAGAAAAATATTTCGCTCATCGTAAAAGATTCAAGCGCGGAATAATTTATACTAAAGTAAAATATTGTTCACGGTCGTGCGTGTGTAGGTGTTATCAACAAATGAGCTGCTAATTTTTGTTGTAATGATTGAATTAAGTGAAATGTGATTCTGATTAGGTCAAAAGATAAGGAGAGAGAATAAAAGAAGTGAGTAATAAATAAAAAGAACAGTTTTATAATTTAAATATTGCTACATATGTGGACATCAAAAATGTCACAAAGTTTGACAAATTAACAATATTTTTTCCATTTCTGCGGCGAATTGTGTGAAGTAAAACTTCAAACACTTGTTGAATGCTTCGAAATACGATTTCGTTAATGCAAAGTAACACCAAAACCTAATATAGTTGCAAACAAACTGTTGAATGTGAAAGGAAGGAACAAAGTGGTATGAAAATAAAATTACTTTTTTATCGCTTTGTTTGTTGAAAGGATCCCCCTAGCACGAACTTTTCTTCTTTGTTAAAGTGATGCTGTACATTAACATCTTATGTGGATTAGTATCGCAATATAAATATCTTGCTTTCACATCTTTTCTGATATCGATGGAAGATTTTCCTTGACTTATGCAAATATTTAATTTTTATATTTGTGTCGGTAATTTACATGACGTTCATTGCTATATGAATGTGAAAGTATCTAAAATTAAACGTATCTACACATTCTAAGATGGTGATGAAGATGTTCACCAGTTTTATTTTCTGAAAAATATTGCGGCTTCGAAAATATTCCACTTCAATATGTAGATATCAACATCAAATAAGCAGGAAAAGATTTGCACGCAGCCTTGTTTGTTGTGCTGCTTGAGTACAAGCATTAAACGCGTTTGTGCTGGCATTCAGAATGTGTAATTTATGTATGAAGTTCAAGGTATTCATCTCGAAATATGAAAAAGCGATTGATTCAAAGATACTACTACTTTTTCGATTCTGCCTGTAGGCTTTGAAATTATCAAAATGTTTACATATCTTGTTGTGAGTCCAAATTAATATTTCATATATAATAATAATAGTAAAAAGTACCTGTTCGTCTAAAGTAATGGAAACAAATTCATAGTGCAAATTTATGACATATGTATGTAGGTAATCTGATGTTGATTTATTTTCATTAATAATATAAAAAAGACTGCTATTTATTCATTTATTTCTCCTGAAAAATAATAACGAATGATAAATAAAATAAAATTAAGCTATCACTGCTGTTCGAAATTGTGTAATAATCTTAAATTAACCGAATTTCTCGGTTATTAAACCTTACGCTTACTTGAATGTTTTTCTCGCAAATTTGTGTTAATCTTATCGATTAAAACATAAGAAAAAAGTAGTTGCTAAATCAGAAGGGCAAACTCATGAAGCGATAAAAGCTCAACAGGTGACTAGGTGAAACGATTTCTACAGTAAAGTAATTTAAGACTTGTTGCAAGTTGATGTTGATTTAAATACATAATGAATACATTTCCCTACCCTCCTTCAATGAAAGATAACATAATTCATGTAACATTAAGATGGGGAATGTCTCAATTAGGAGCCTACCGTTTTGTGTGCAGATTTTGTTTGGGAAACTTTTCAAAGATTCTGGTTCTCTTCTCGCAATAAGAAGTTTAAATTTATTTACTGTTTAAGCTTTTTGAGTTCTTACTTTTCTTTTGCGTTTTCATTAAAAAGATCTGTACCCTAAGAAGGATTTATTCAGTGACTTTTAGTCGAAAAACATTACGAAAGTAAACATTGCATTGAGTTAAGACTGTTACACCCGCCCTCAGATGAAAAGTAGCGAGAAAAATCGATAAAATATGAAGCAAGAAAAGAGCAAAAACGAAAATTATTCTAACTTTGAATACACATTGAGGCGGGAAAAGAAATGGGTCAAAAATGCTGATGATTGTGATGAAAATGATGATGATCTTTGTAATTTAAAAACTTTTCTTGGCTCAACAAAAAGTAAATTATCCTTTTTTTTAAGAAAACAACCCTAACACAAATTAATAATATTTTGTTGTTTTCAGAAACCCATAAATAATAATAAGATCCTCCAAGGACAAAACATTTCATAAGCTTTCTCTTCGATATTGAAATATGTTGCTTTTAAGGCATGGCATAAAATTATTGATATGGTAAAAGGAGATCGAAGGTTAATTTTCATTCTTATTGATATTATAATGAAAGTCTAAAAATAACACAAACCAGTGGCATGGATTCAATTGTGTTTGAATATCACAAAAAGTAAACATGATAATGCCATCGTTAGATTCATTGAAAATTCAATTGAGCAGTGACGAGTGAAATTCAACAAAAAATTTAGCAGAAACAGAAGCCTAAAATATTTCGAATGGAAACGCTCAGAACTGTCTATTTTGACGTCTTCTGAACAGTATTGAAACCTGGAAATTTTAAGAAGACTTTTATTAAGCTGACAATGCTTAATCCCTTGAAAGCGCTCTTAGAAGTTGAACCCAAATCAAAAAAAAAAATCTTTCTAAATTTCTTTTTTTTCTTCAATATTAGGAATAAAAGTGAAGATGTTCAATTTCGTAGATACAGTGGTCTCTTGATTATATGATTTTCTCGACAGTACGATATTGTATTACGCCTCTTCCTTATAGTACTATCGAGAGTCCACTGTATTATCTTTTGTGCTTGTATAAAGTTAATATTTGTGAAAAAACTTGTGAATTTACCTGCTTTTTCATCATCACTGCAAATCCCAAATGGTTCAATGATCCAAATGCCTTAGAAAAAATTCTGGTCAAAAGTCCAACAGATATTTTCCTTTAAGCTTAATAGCTGTCGACGAGAAGAACGAGCACTCATTTAATGTATCTAAATTCAAAAATTCCAAATACAAAACCTTTTCACATTTTTTTCTTCCGAAAACCTGTAAATAAATTAACGAAAATTCAATTCTAATCTAATTTATCTCGTTTCAGTATCATAAACAAATTGAAAACCACAGTGATGAAATGTACAGAAATGAAGTCATGTGTTGTTAACTGAGCTTTCTAAATGTTAACACTCATTAAATCATTGGATAAAGTTCATAATGATATACTTTCTGAATTACCACCAAATTATTCTTGTATGAAAACCGTGCGCTGCTAAAATCCACAAGAAAAATTATCTCAATTTGCATTCAAAATTTCACAAACGTTCATTGTGGCTTCATGTTGTTTCGGGATGGGTTGTTCGCCCTCAATACTCTCATCACTCTCCAATAACAATAATCGAAAGGATAGCGGATTATACTGTAGTAATAATAGTGAAACGAATAGTGCTAATAATAAAAATGACATTAACATTGATTCGAACACGTCCACTGCATTAGCAAACCAAATTTTGGTTCAATCCTCAGTTACTGGAAAGGATGCAATGAACAAGGTAAGACTTTGAAGCATCTACTTAAAGCAATTGATTTCTATTTTACCGTTAAGGAGATATTTAAATCATAAATTTATATGAGCGAGTTATAAGAAGCTTATAAAATTTCTTTAAAATAAATACAGACAGAGATAAATGTCCCTTTATGATGCTCTTGGTTTAATGTCACTCTATCTATCTTTAAATATTTTAAAAACGAAATTATAAATCAATGTTTTTGTTGATTCAACAAGCGTGTTTTTTCTATTGCGCTTATTATTTATGAAGAAACATTCTCATTGAATCAAGATACAAACTATTCAAAACATATTATCATACATTTTCTTAGTAACTTTTATTTGTAGCTAATATCTCAAGTGTTTTGTCTTCTTTTATTTATTGTTATTATTTGTGTCATACTAGGATTACATAAAAAAGGATTCGATTGTATCGGTCGGACACATGGCTCATGGATTCACAATTATTCCATCAACAATTAGGCGAGCTACAATTGGAAGTAAGTTGAAAATTACCTTTTTAAAACCATTGTTTGAATAAAACTTTTATTTCAAATAATAAACAAAAATGTATTCAAATAAATTTTCTGAACCTTTCTCTGTTATAAAGTGAATGGTTTGCTACATTTCTTTCTGCATTGTTTTCTAAACCTGAGAAAATTTTTTATTATTTGTTGAGTCTACTCTTCGTGTAGACACAAGATTTTTCATATTTTCTTCTTCATTTTTTGATAAGAAAAGGTTATAAAAAATTCCATTACTAAGTAATATATTTATACCTAATATAATTCACATTTTCTTCCGAGGAAATCTCAAGTCCCATCTTTCAAAAGGAAGTGCTTTCAATAAAAGGCACTCGGCTTAACACAACTTATTGCTCAATCTTGTTTATGAAAGGACAATAAAAAAATAAGAGCCAATGTGTGTCTATGTACTATAGTTGTTTGACTGTTTCTCCTTTTTGGAAGCTTCAAAATAAATGATCTAATGTATATCTGTATGTATTTGGATGATGCCACAAAAAGTAAAATTTTATGACAAGTAAATCGGCAATAAGCTGAACACACAGAACATTCTATTGTCTGAAAAACTCTATACTGAAAATATTCATTTCCTTCATATCCCATTCATAGCAATTACTCACTTTCAACATTAATTGAAACAAATTATCGCCAGACATCAAATTCAAAAGGTCTATCAATAGACTAAACATTTTCTATGCTTTTTTCTGGAGTATCACGACATTTTCAGTAAATCTTTTTATTCTGGACAAAGAGATAATTTGTGAACTCTTGTGATGGCACGCGCTACAAGCTTTGCTCTCAGCCTATGTCTCATTGCTTATAATCGCACTTACGTCAGTCACAAACTTTTGATGGAATCCTATATTATCAGTTTACTTCAGCAACACCTTTTGAGTACATAAACCATCACGTTTCCTTGATTCTAATAAATAATATTAAAGGAAAAACTTTTTCAAAAAGCGACTTTTCATAAATAATGAAACAATAAGTCTTTTCATTGTTTTTTTTGATTTTCTTTCCTAAACTTTTTGAATCATGTTCTTGTAGCTTTCTTATGAAATTTCATTCTGGGCATTTTTTGTATCACCTTTTTATTCATTAAAATCCCAAAAATTATTATGCTTATATCTTAAAACAAACTTGAATTCTAAGAATGTTACGATTTTCTTGAGAGGTTTCATGATGTATCACATTTTCTAGGTAGGAAGGGATAATTTTTAGAGCTTGTCAAATTCCCTGAGTTATGAAAAATCAGGAAAATGAAAAAAAAAACATCACTCCCTACTAGGGAGAAGTATTTTCATTAAGTATACAAAAAAATCGCCTGATTTTTCCCTAGAGAGTTTTGAGACGTTCCCAAGAGAATCTCTGATTTATTTTGTCTCATCGAAACCATTTGCTTTTAGTCAGTCAGCCCGAATTCGAACCTTCACTTCACCATAAAGAAGATTTGAAATTTAGATACTTTCAGCTCCTACACAAGAAAGTGGTACATCAATTTTAAAGACTGAATCATAATAAATAAATTAAATAAAAAATAGGATATTTCTTAAAATTTACTGATTTTTGAACTAGTTACACAATTTTTAAGATGTCACTTCTACTACATAGCAGACATTTGAGAAAAAAATATAAACCGATATACATTTCAACAAAATAAATAAATCATTGTGAAGGAACGAAAATACTACTAAAAATATTTCAAACATGGATTTATTTATTTTCGAAGAGCTTTTTTCATTTCTTCAGAGAATGTAAAATCAACATACATGTTGTCAAACGTAATGAAAAAATTCTGTCTCTTATTTGAAAATCTTTCTTGAAATATTTGAAGATTATGTTTATCGTGATTCAGTGATTTGATGAATGCGTATTTCCGAAAACGAATAAGATATAATTTAGATAGCAACAAGTTTGGAATTTTTTACATTACACATGAGTAGTATAATTGATGAGAACCGATTTTCATTGTTAAGGGACGAGAAGCTTTCAAGGGCAATCGTTATCAAAAACAAAAGTGCTGTATGTAGGTAAATATTGTTCAACCCTAATAAAAAATATATCGTTATCATACTTATGCTGGATTTAAATGATTTTCAATAAATTCAAAATAAAATGTGATAATCTAAATATTCATTGTTGAAATTTTTAAAATGTTTCAGACACCTTCTTCTTAATTTTGTTTAAGTATTCAATTATTATTATTTACAATAGTATTATTCACCAATATAGAATAATTTATTTATCTTAAAAGTTGTGCAAAGTGAAAGTACGAACAAATAATTTTATTCGAAATTTAAATAATTCAAAAATATTGAAAGCAATGACGACATAACAATATAAAAAATAATAAAAAGCTTTATCGTAATTCATAGCACACAAAAGTAATCATGCAGTTCAGTTCGTAGGGTAAAAACAGGCAACACAAACAGATGGAAGTAAGCGCAATAACTAGTGAAAGCAATTCTTTTTTGATAAATTTTTTGCCCGACGTCATAAATTAAATAATTTTTTTTTGTACGTTGTTGTTGCCTTTGACTAAAACTTTATGCATATCGATTTGGAGTGACTTTACCTCTTCCTCTCTCTCGCTCCATTTTTCTCCGCTATTTATTTGTATTTATAACTGGAGAAGTGTTGTCTGATAGACAACAAATATTTAAATGTTTACGCTATAACTTATAAAACTTGAACCATATCTAGATATTCGAAAAAAGATACAATAAAATCACATTTGCCATATCTGTCTACTTTTTTTATTCGTCACCTTTCTTGACTTTTTTTCATAAGGCAACACATATAAATGTTTGAGAAGAGATAAATTTTTGTAATAATAATGAAATAAAAAAATACACCTTTGAATAGTGAGAGAATGAAGCTCAACCATAGAGCTTCATGACGGAATTTTAAATTTGGTGTTAAAATCTTAAATATTGTTTTTTTCTTTTACTTTAAGTCTGAAATTATTTAATTACATTTTGGTGTTTCTGTTATCTTTCGTAAATTGAATAAGTTCGTTGTAACTTGATTCAAAAATAAAAGTTAAATGCGCCACAAAAGAAATATTGTGAGGTTGACGAGAAACGTGATTTAATTTCTTTGTGTAAGAAATGATAAAAGCTATACGGAATTTGACAAATGATTTTTGAAAAAAAATGAAAGAAAATCGTGTGTAGTGCCAAGAAATAAATAATTTAATTTTTTGCTGTCATCATAAAAAAGAAAGAAAAAAGAATCAACCTACTCGAATTGTCATCAACTTGAGTAAAAACTTAAATTTCATCTCAAAAAAGACTTGATTAAATGTAGCGGCTTTCAAATTTGTAGATAATCATGAAATTAGAGAACATGTGAGAATCCGTCGAATCATTTAAGTTACATTTTTTAGCAACTCCAGATAACTCTAATTATTTCGCGCTGATTTTCTCTCCCCTACCACTATAGAAATATTCATTTCTGTTTACATTTTGTTTCGTTGCTGCTCATGTGACTGTGGTTGAAAATGACTGAGATTTATTTTCTAGACCTTAATGGTGTCAAATATACAGCGTAACCGAAACTTAAACTACCTATGAAAGAAACGCAAACAGAGCGGGAGTAGTATGTGGAAAAATTAACAAACAAATCTGAATTCGTTTTATCTTTTCGTCACACTTTTTACCGATTATTCTTTATATTTAGTATGTTATGAATCGGAAAGATAGAAAATAATAAAAGTTTAGCTAGTTGGCTAGTTAGTATTCTTTTAACGTTATAATAAGTGTTATTTGTATGATAAGTGATGAGATTAAGATATTATCTACTTAATAATACCTAAAACAATAACATTTTTAGGTAGATCTGTTTTCTTTTGATAAATAATCTTAGTTGCAATGTCAATCTTAAAAGACCTTCTTTCATTTTGTCAATATCTATTAATGCATTTAAGGATAGATTAAAAATCATTATGTAGATTTATGAAAAAAAAATAAATTAGTAAATATGTCAATGCCTTCTCATATATGTATCTTGAAATGAACGGCTATTCGTTTATTATTGTTTATTTATTTGTTTAGATATTTCACCAAATAATATAAAAAAGAAAATTCAAGATTTTCTCGCTAAAGTTTTAAAAAGCTATAATTTTGAATTTAAATAATCACAAAGGTGTTTACAGTTCAATATACCTACATTTTCTATTAACGTTTATTAAACTTAAAGAGTATATTGCGTATATCTAAGGTCATTTTCTTTATTTAGTATACAAATAACACAAATCAAAGCAAATATCAAATATTTCCAAAAATTAACAACCACTTTCAATTTGTCACTAATTGAAATTTTCAGTCTACTCATGGAGGAAAAGCTATTGTTAATGATGTAAATAGCGTAGTAAAACCATAAATTCTTATGACACTTTAACAAAACTACATTTATTGACTTTTAAATAAATTGTCGAGGTTAACAATTGTTTATTTGATTAAAACTTCAACCATATAAATAAAGTAATGTGTCGAGAACGTCGTAAAAATGCAACTCAAGCAGTCAAGCAAGAAGTTTTGATTAAATGCATTTCTGTAATACAACATTTATCTAACGCAAAATATTTATGGTTTGCTTTATTGTTATTCGATTTTAATGAGGGAAATCAAATAAATATATAAACTAGATATATTTACAGTAAATTAAGTATACAAAGTACTCAAATAATGAGACTTTTCTCTTTAATCTCTTAAACGCGCAAAAAGTTGATGGCAATTTTATGTTATAGATGCTTTATTGTAAGCTTAGTGAAATAGCAACGCAAAAGTCGTAGGACTAATTGAATAACTTAGGTTGATTAAAAATGTCATCGAATAAATTGTTTCCATTAAATCGCCGAGAGCTTGAACATCCAGGTAAATTCAATAATTATTTATTCCGACGTAGAAACATTTATAAATGTAAAAATCCTGTGGCTAGGGAAAGTTGACTGTTGGAGTTTGAATATTTCAGCTGATTGATTGATATGAAAACATATCTATCCATATAACAGTGAAGCTGCAATTGAAAACTTCTAAATTGAATCTGGGTAGCATATGCTTCGAAAATTATTAGAGCGAAAAGAGAAATCAATTTAAACTTTGGTTTTATTCGCATGCTACACCTGTGAGAATTTTCAACAGGTTGTAGATTATCTATCTCGGGTCAATTCTCTTTATTTTTCGTGGCATTTGAATATTTATAGCACTATCAGCATTTGATAATTCTTTAGTTGAAGCATGCAATGATCTAAATTAATTGAATAACCAAAATGAAAAATTTATTCTCGTTGTTGATAAAAGAAGTAATGAGAGAGAACATTAAAATATCACATTAATTCTAATAATGTACATTTAAATTACTTCCAATATTAAATGGCAAGGTTAAGTAAAGATTTAAAACACTTTTTTCTCTACCGAGATATTAATAAACATCCGTTAACATAAATGAGTTTAAGGAAAGAAGTAGATAGATAAAACTTTTGATTATTTTTATTTCCATCTCACTTTGATTCTTATAGTACTCATTTCATTAATGCAACAAGTAAGAAATAAAAACGTCTACAGATATTTAGTCCTTTTATTAAAAAAAGTTTTAAGAAAAGCAACCAACAAACCCATAAATTCTCTGCTTGAATCCTGAAACTTTGCGGTTGCTGTGTTGTATTTTCTTCCGTCACGAATCTCCTGAAGATTAAAAGTTTTTTTGCTGACAACTTTCGTAGAATGAGAAAGTTTTCGCTAGAAAAAGCGACGATTAAGAGCAGGATTAGGTTCCGTCGTATAATAAAATTTTTTGCAGTAAACAAGCATAGATAAATCATGAACAATTATCTACCATCTTAAGATTAAATCTTAAATAAAATGTTTTCAACAATGGGCAAAGGAAGTTCCACCACTAACGTTTGAGTAGCCCAGGAATTTCCTTGTCCATCTATGAATGTTCTGTTAACTCATATTTATGTATCTTCTTCTTCATCTTTTTTCTTAAAGCAAGCGCACCAAGTGGCAGAATTGGACATCGAAAATCTTCATTAGCCCTAACACCAGAGGAAGAGCCAACTTTCGAAACAACAATTGTAAGGAATGAAAAAATACTTATCTAAGTTAAATATTCTCCATTTTTAAATTAATTTATTGAAAGGATTAAATTATGAAACGTAATTCTTCATTAACAGTAAGATTCATAACGTTGGTGAATAAATTCGCTAGCGCAAACGTATTTTGACGTTATTTAATTTTTTTAAGTAGAAAGTAGTTCGTCTTCATTATATTTATGCAAATAAGATTTCATCAAATCAATGAGTTCAAGATGTTAAGGAATATTGTGAAGCTCTTTATAATCAATATAACCATCATCGATCATACTTTAATTTCGTCAAGTATGATTTGATTTCATGATTGATGAGATTATATATCAAAATAAGTTTTTATGAGAACCTGAATTTCTAAAATTTTAATTAAAGAGCTTTTAAGAAGCTTAAGTCATTATAAATATGTTATGAAAATAGAGTAATGAGAGATCTAATATTTAAAAATGGTTAATACGTTTAAGTAAAGAAAATCTTCATAAGAGAACAGGAAAACTTCAAAATTTTTTCTATAAAATTTCTATCTCCAATAGAATTTCATTACATTCATTTAAAAAGCTCCGAAAAAATTAATAAATTGATTTGAGTGTTAAATATTATCAATGCTCAAGTTTTTGAATGTTAGGTATTAGGTAATTTTTAAACACATTAAAAATTTTTAACACCATCAAATGTCCAATTGATGTAAGTTGTTCCGTAAAAGATAATGAAATAATCTTTAACGTAGTCAAACCAAGAAATTTAATTCAGTTCAGCGGTATAAGTCGCAGGATAAAGACGTAACGCAAATAATTGTTTACAGCAGTGTTTTAGTAAATATAAGTTATCAGAAAAAAAGCAAGAACTTTTGAAGTGGATGACTGAATCTTGTGATTTGAAAAAACTTGAAAATATGCTTTGAATTATCAAATTACCAGTGCAGATTGAATAACACCTACAAAGTCGATGCTTGTGAAACAGTTTCATATTTCTATAGCTTTGGTTATAGAAATAGTTCTAATATTTTTTAATTCTAAACGTGAAGCTTGAGGAAAAATTGCCTATAACCGTCATAAAAGTTTCTTTTTAAGTTTCCTTCTTTCAATTTTATCTTAAGTGCTTGAGTTGTTATCAAAGAGTCATTTCGTGCAAAAGTAATCATGAATTTTATAATACTTAGCGAACATTTAACGAGATGCTTTACATCATCATATTGTGTTACAAAAGATCAATAATTGATCATTGTATTAGAATAGAAGAGCATCCTAGAGTTAAGAAATTCTGAAAATTTCTTGTTTCTTCCGGTACTGTCTAAAGCTTCCTTGTACTCAGTAGAAGGCTTTTGATTTCACGCTTCACGAATTAATTTACTCTCTGCATCTTCTCAAAAGATATGTTTAGTGAAGCATTAAATTAAATAGTAAGAATATTAATAAGAACAAAAACCCAACATAAAAAAACAATAATAGTGCGTAGATACTTCAGATAAGTAACCAACAAGTCTTAATTTATCTACTGAAAAATGTATAAATAGAAACAGCAACTAAAAAATTTATTGTTCAGTTGTGAAATAAATATAAAAAAATCGTCAATTCAAGTGTTCATTAAGTGTTAAAAATTTCAAGAGGTTGATAAAATTCATAAAACAACTTTTGTGACTAACATGGTTGATTCATGCTTCAAAGTCTTCAAATCGAATTGCTTCCGCAAGTCTTCAATCAGCTCTCAACGCAGTTCTGTTTTTCAAATCGATAAACGCCCAATAAGCGAAAACATATCAAAAGATAAAAAGTTTAATACCACAGCTAACGCTACTCCGATCGACACAGATAAAACACTTTCATATGATTGTGATGTCGAATATAGCACTTTTGAATTGGATCCAAATGTTATCCTAAGACGTCATAATCGATTTTATCTTCGCTCAGTATCTGCGACAACTAGCTGTGACGCAATGTCTAGCGAAGAGGACGATAATGAGAATCTTGACATTTTATATCCATTGCCGCGTGTTAACACTCACGAACGGGCACTTAGTGAAGAATCCAATCAACAAATCACAGATAAAATTAACAGTGGTATGAGAGTTTTACTCAGGACATTTAACAAAAGCACTTCTACATAATCTGATATTTAATATGAATGGGAGATTTTTGTATAAAAATAATCCCTTTTTATTCTCTGTTCTCTCCATAAATTCGATGACTTTTTTTTCTTTCGCCTAACAAACAGATAAAAACAATTCAAAAAGTTCCACAAGCAAAGACGGTCTCAAGCATAATGATGGTGGAAGAGTTCGGGACAATTCTAACTTCTTAAAAACGTTTTTCAAACGCAAATATAGACGAAAGGTGAAGACACTTAGAAAATGTGAAATATTATTGATTTTATTTGATGCTCTCGCATCATCACGTCTCGAATCACTTCAAAAGTATTTACGCCTATACCTGATATACTTAGATTTATCATCGCAGTCAACAAATAAAATATTGCCAGCTTAGTTTTTCGGTTTCAGCGTAGATATTGTCATTTATTTTTGTTCGAAGCTTAAATGTGAAATATCAATTTATTGGCAAAACCTATTTATGAAAAAGTGTAAAGAAGGATTTAACTATCAATAAATATTAAAAAATCCCATTCGGAATTCAAATTCAAAATATCAACAAAAGTTGCATTATCGTAATGGCTAAACACAGCATAAATGAATCAGCTCGTGAAACATACGATGAGATGAATAAAATTGAAAAATGCTTTATTTTCTGTTTACGAGGTTCGCCGTCATCGACTTCCGATCAAGATTTTTATTCTCATTAATTCTCATCTGTCTCTTTTATTGATTATTTTCTTCAGACCGAATATTAAACCGAAACCGAAGGTCGATAAAATCATCAGATTGGGATTTATTTGATGAGAAAAGTTATATATTTGAACCCATATTTACGGTTTGTGTTAAGGTTTCGATGCAGCAGAAATTGTGACCTACGTAGATTTTTTTTAACGATACAAAAATCCTTGAAGTGGAAATCTAATATTTTCAAATTATTGGTAGCTTTATTGTTAATATTTCTTGAACTCAAATGAAAAGGCTACATGTTCTATTTATATGTATCTTAAAGAAATGCTTTCTATCTCGCTAAAAATCATCTTTTGTTTTTTTCTTTCATAAATTCACAATTAAACACGCTTGAAAAACTGGCAGAAATGTAACGATGGAAAAATTCCTAACCTCATCCCACCGAATCCAGCTGTTAGAGTCTTGCTGGTATTTTATAAAGATGATCATATTTTTGATGCCATGGCGAGGTCGTGTGAACGACTCGGATTCGAATCTTTTCGTGCTAAAACATCAGAAACTGCTTTGGAAATGTTTCAACATCCAGTCAATGGTGGTTATCATCTTGTGATTGTTGACAGCAGGTGTAAAAATATCGATGTGGAATCATTTGGAAGGTTTGTTTTTGTGCTTTAACATATGTAATTTACGGTAATGATTTGATTTGTACTATAATAGGTCACTACGGAACTCTAAAGGAAGTCAATACACGATAATAATTGCTATAGTAAGAAAAAGGTAATCTAAACAGATTTTATGTTAATGCTTTCGGCGCATTTATTCATGTTGCGGATCACTTGCCATCTTAAGCTTCTGCTTAGATTTCTAAAGGCTCGAGTAAAAAACTTTGTTTCTTTATAAACTTCTTCTAGTGTTTTCGAAAAGGATGATACTGCCGTGCTGTCAATGCTCGAAGTTGGCTATAATCGCGTAAGTAAAAAAAATAGCATTTAAGATTATCAAATCTGCACACTGTTTTCGAAGTCATTAATAACTTTGTATCTCAATTAAATAATCTACGAATTCAGTGCATAATCGAATCTCCACATGTGTCTGTTTGTTGTTCTGAGCTACGTCAAATTCAACATTCACTTATTCGACCGCAAAATGTCATCGCCTCACAGCAAGCACTCTATTCAGCGCTTCATCATGTTAAAGATACAATAATTATCACAGACTATGCTTTGAGGATACAATACGCTAACAAAACAATCGAACGAATTTTAGGCTATAAAATTGTAAGAAAATTTTGATTGCTTCTGATGTCTTTGAATATTTTTCTTCTTTTTTATGTTTTTGACTTTAAGGATGAAATTGTTGGTCGCCCACTTCAAGATCTCATCAATTCAGATGTTTCTCTTCTTCTCAGTCAGACCAATAGACTTAAAGAATATGATGGTGTAATAACATTTAATCGAAAAGCACAAGATCAAATAATTATCCATGTTAGAGCGACACCGATTGCATGTCTTGGTAAAGCTACAACTCACATCATTATAGCTTTAAATCACACACAAATAGGAGGCTATGAGATGGGTTTACCATCAATACCACAGGCGAAAGAGCCTAGAGGATCTTTGCATTCTATTCGAAGGGGAAGCTTTGATATTCGATCAATCACATCAGATGGTTTAAGACGAACAAGTTTAGCTAAATTATCTTCATTGCCATTAGAGGCTCCCATCACTAAAGTTTTATCAATCCTTGCACAAGTTCAAGAAAATTGTTCGAATGACGAAGCAAAACTTTTGGATCGTGTTATTGAATTTTTAAAGCGTGAAGGACTTTATAGTCCACAAATTAAAGAGATTCGACCTGAAGATCCAGTGGCAACTGATTTAATAGGAGCATTATTGACAGTAAATAATCTTTTAATTTAGGTTTTATTTCTCTTTTATTTTATATGCTAATCCAATTACAGCAGGGTCCATCAAATAACGTATCATCACGCCGAAGTTCAAATGAATCGATTATACGATCAGGAAGCCGACAATCGAGCTCTGGAAACACTGCTATTAAGTTTAAAACTCCACCTCAAGTTTCTGAGCTTCTTTCCACAGCACTTGATTGGGATTTTGAAATTTTCCGACTTGAGGAACTGACTGATAAGAATCCACTTGTTTTTCTGGGAATGGAACTGCTTCGAAGATTTGATGTGTTCAATACCTTTAATTGTGATGAAATTACATTCAGATCTTGGCTAATTGTTGTTGAATCACATTATCACAGCATAAATACATACCACAACAGTACTCATGCTGCTGACGTCATGCAAGTGAGACAAGCTTAAATTTCAAGAATCAATTAGATTTCCTTTATAACGAACTTAATATTATTGTAGGCAACAGCATGTTATTTACAACAGTTAGCAAATCGAGACTTAAAAATTATGGATCGTCTTGATGAAGCAACAGCTTTGATTGCATCTGCTGCTCATGACATTGACCATCCTGGAAGATCATCTGCATACTTGTGCAATTCTGATAATTCTCTAGCAATTCTTTACAATGACGTTTGCGTGTTAGAGTCACATCATGCAGCCACTACTTTCCGACTGACTTTATCTGACGACAAAATAAATATCTTTAAGAATTTAGATCGTGACATGTATAAACTTGCGCGTTCTGTAATTATTGATATGATGTATGAAAATACTTCAAATATGTTATTGCTTGACGTTTATTGAAAATAATTCAATTCAATTTCAGTTTGGCAACAGAAATGACCCGTCATTTCGAACACTTGGCTAAATTCGTTAGCGTTTTCGGCAATGATGTGGAAAATAAAGATGTAAGAAGATTACTTTTAGAGAATGATTTGTAAAAAAGAGCGATAGCATTACATGTTGTTTTACTTTCTAGGTGCCCAATGATGAGGATAATCAAATGTTAATTCGTCGCATGCTTATAAAATGTTCTGACGTAAATAATCCAACAAGACCATTGAAATTTTGCGTTGAGTGGGCTCGAAGGTAATTTAATTTATTTTTCCTTTCTTTCTTTAGATAATTTCATTAGATATAGATTTTTTATTGAATTACACTTAATAAAGGAATACTTTTTGAGTAAACACAAGCATGTCTACTTAGATATATGACTTTCCATTCTATCACAAATATATGTCGCTTAAATCATATTTATCTGTTTCCTCTCAAACTAACTTATTTTTAGAATTGCTGAAGAATATTTCACACAGACAGACGAAGAGAAAAGAAAGGGAATGCCAATTGTAATGCCAATGTTTGACAGGTGAGGTTCATAATATCAATGGCCAGTTTTATCACAATCTTTGATTCATTTCTCATTTTCAGGGCCTCGTGTTCGATTTCAAAAAGCCAGATTGGTTTCATCGAGTTTATCATCCAAGATATGATGAATGCATGGGATGGCTTTATAGATATGCCTGAGTTAATTCAATACATGCAGTACAATTACGACTCTTGGAAAACTTTTGAGGTGCAAGGAATAAACACTCTCAGCGATATCAAACGAAAACAGATGTCAATCTCAAACCAGAATGATACCCAACATTTTCCTAATGTAAAATTAGACGAAGTTATGTGAAACTTAATCCAGAAATTGTATAATTTGAGACACTTAGATTGAGTAAAAGATGAAATTCTCGGTTAGGTTCTATTCTTAAAAGAGATTCAACTTTAAAAAAACTATCTAAGATGGAATTGATTTTAGGAAAAGTCAACTTGATGGGTATTTTCGCTAAAATTCCTTGTATGAATGTGCCAATATAATGCAAAATCAATAGAAAAAACTCTAGGATACATTGAATGAAAATATAAGTATTTTGTGGATGTCGTTATTTCATATCTTAGATTTCTTTTCATTAATTGTGAAACCTCATGAGCTTTAACTTTTTAACATTTTTTTCTTACAAAAATAGTAATGTTTTGAGTAGATTATATCAATATAAAAAGTTGAAAATGATAATCATGATAGAGAAGAGTCACTTCGTAAATATTTTTATGTCCTTTCATATCAAAGAAATCTTTTGATTTCTCCGAAATCTTAGAAATATACATTTATTTATTTAATAATATCTGGAACTCATGACTCCGAAAAAACACTACAAAAATTAATTCTTATACATATACATATACAAAAAATAATTCTTGAATCGGAGAGTTGGAGATGAATAAATAATTTAAAATTTATATTGAAAATTGTTTTTTAAGAATCAAACAACTGTCTTATCTCATATGTAGTGAAGAAAATTTTAAGATGTGTTTATAATTTCCTACAATTAATAATATTATGTTTTAATTAAATCTCTAACCACAAAAAAAAAATTTGAAATATTTATAACAGTCAAAATGGAAATGTAAAAAATATTTCTATAACATTTATCCCAATAAGTCTAAGATATACATGTAGGTAGCAAAAATATCTACATTTTTCATTATCCCATAATAAATAAATGCATCATTTAATTTCACCAAGGATACAGACTGAAACCTTCCCTTGCGTAAGCATATTTACTCGAGTTTTCTCGATGGTAGATATATTCTACATTTTCATACGATACATGATCAAAAAAGTATTTGTTGGCATGCTTATTTCATCACATTATTGATGAGAGACTTTACACAACCAAAATCTTTATATATTATATAGTTTATTTTTTAAGTTAGAGATAAAATGACTAAAATTATCAAGTGAGAGCCAATTCTTCTCTAGATGAAAGAAAAGTTTACATCTAAATATTTATCTTTAACTAAATATAAAATTAACATAAATAATCTATTTAGATAATAGAGTAATTTTAAGAGATGTATGCTGGTCATATATCTTTAACATTATATGAATGTAATAAATTCTCGAGCTTGAATTTCTTCTTACACATATTCTAAGAATTCTAGCAAAAAGAGCATAATTTTAATAAAAATATCTTAATTGGTGTTATATCTGAATTCATGTTATAAACATTGTGATTCTATTTATTGATGTGAGAAAAATAATTCTGACTATTTTGCTTTTGTATAATTGATAAATAATTTTAAAATACTGCTTAATGAATGTCTTACATATGTTATCTACCTACATTCTTTTCTCCTTTTTATGATGGTGATTTCTTAATTTGAATCATGTTTCAAGAATGAATGACCTAAACAAAATATACTTTAATTTGCAGAACTATAATTTAATAACCATAGACTGATAAAAAGTTCAAATAAAGTTCTTTCACCGCTAAATATTTGAGCAAATTTTCAAATTGAGCAAACACAATTTGAACCGTCATATTCACTTTTTGAACCGTCTCGTTTCAGGACATATTTGAGCACCCTAACGCACTATATTCTAGGTACCTGGACCGAATTCAGTTTTCATACAAAGTCAAAATTCCATCTCATTCCGAGATTTTTCTCATTCCGAAATACATCTCACTCTCCACTTAAAACTGCTTTCCGGAGGAAACAGTTTTAGGTGGAGAGTGTATAAAAACGTCTTTTTTCATAAATAGTAGATACAGTGAAACTTTGATAAACAGATATTTCAAGGGACACAAAAAATTATCTGTTAATCGAGGATATCTGCTTATCAAGGATTTGAGGNCTGAGATTAATCCGCTTCGACTTTTATTAGATAGACTACATGGTCAACAAACATTTTTACATTCGAATATGACTTTTTATTTTTCTTATGTTTGACATATTTTCGTCCTTCTTATAATTTCTTCACTTTTATCGATAACAAATTTATTAGATAAAATTATATTTATAAATTTTTTTTTTCCTATAGCAGATTTTCACGAACAATAAATATTTTTTGTCAATGATGTTGACATTTTTAAGAAATGTTTTGCTTAGGGACACAAAGATTAAAAATCAGGGTCATTTTATTGAAATTGTTTTTTATATATATTTTTATATTTCATTTATTTTTTTATGTCGTTAAGTATTTTATAGGAGGTACATAGCTCTGTATCTGCTTTTGCTTTTAAATATTTTAAATATAGTCTTATAAAGAATTTCTTTTGAATTCAAAATATTATTCTAGTTAGATGCTTCGAAAATAAACTTATCTTGATAAATGTTTACAACATTTCAGTTTTCAAATAATCATGATTTTTTTCTTCTAATGCCGTATTAATTTCCATGATAATAAATTGAAATATGTTTTTATATCATTTTCCTTAAATAAAAATAAAAGGAAAGCTCATTTATGTTTTTTATCATATAATAATTTTATGAGAATGATACATATCTTATATCTGTTGTAGAAGAAATTAATCAAATGATACGATAAGAAGTTTATGAAAATATAGTTTTTTGGATTTTTTATATCGTGATTTGTATTTTATAAGAGCATTTAAGTTCCGAAGAATTCATAGAAATGTTTCAAATCCCTGTTTGAGGATAGTAAAAATTGTTCCCAAATAAAATGTTGAATGCCAAAATGTTTCCATACAATTAAATGGAAAAATTTTGGCATTCAACGTTTTATATGGGAACATTTTCTACTATCCTCCCCTGTTTACATTTTAGTACAAAGATGTACGTAATTCGTTAAAGTATCATTTTACATTTTCAAACATGCTTCTATTGTATTAATTAAGTAGAGAAATCTTACAAGAAGTAAATTTTGATATGTTTTCTATTTCTTATTTCAGCTTGCTAAACAGACGTCATCACATTCAATTGTTAATTAGTGTTCATCTTGATTCCAATGATATGTGATATCTTCGATTTTCTTCAATACATTAATTATCACCTCAGTCTCTCGCTTGCGTAACAATTTGTTAGATATTTAGTTACTCCTTACTAATAAAATTAAAAGATATTTAGGTATTCGCATAATGTTTTGAAGAGAAATGAAAATTTATCATAATTCTAACAAAAGAATCATAATGCTAACAATGTTAAAAAAAAATTATTTCTTGTTTTATAAAACATTCCAAGTGCAATGAATTCACAAAATAAATATTTTGAAATTTTAGCACCAAAGCTGATGGTGATTTTTTATTACTTTGTCAAAATTCTACATGCTCAACATGAATTTAATAAAATATAATTCAATTAACATTGTCATTACGATGTCATTGTTGACTGCTTCGACATGGTTCCTGACTGCTAACTCAAAGATGAAAAGGAGGCATGTGTGGATCAATTTACTGACAGCGCAAAGATCTCTGGCGCCATTCAAGTCCCTTCATTCTTCGATGTTTCAAATCGTGCCACTGTACATACTCATTATCTCACATGGCGACACAAGCCATGACGACGACGATGATGACGATGATAATAATAAAATAATGGAATTAATGTGAAAATTCAACAACAATCTTTCTATCAGTTGTATTTATGCTTAAAATGCTTTATGGTTTGAACTAAATTAAAGTTTCTTAACACGTTTAATAAAAAACTATTAAAGAAAAAAATAAGAAAGAAAAGAATCATAGTAAATTTAAATATGAAATCATTTTTATTCTACATGACATAATGATATTCAACATTTAATTTAAATAATTCGTTTTGAGGTCGTTGATTTTTACGAGAGATTTTGACAAGAGCACATTTACAAAGCTTAAAATTATGCTAGCAATGGTTAATCATTTGGAAAATTACTGTTTGTTTTTGCTTCTAACAGTTTACGTTAATTTCACGCCGTCTATTAGAATAGGGGTTGAGAAGAAAACATATTTTAAAACTCTATTTAGGTATTTGTGTGATAAAAAACTAATACAAAATGGGCTTGAGTTGTCAATGTACATTAAATATACTGCAACAACTATCATTTAAACATTCGACTTTTGCTCGATCATTATGAAATCTGCCAATCAAATGTTTATTCCATTAAACATCTACGAATTCATATTGTTTTAGATTATAACTATAAATAAATGACTAAAATCAAATATTCATGAGAAAATTAAGTGTTGTTTCAACATCATAAATTGATGAAAGAGTGAAGCAGTTAGAACAGTTGAATAAAATTAACAGTTCAGTAAAATTGAAAAGAAAATAGCGGAATCTACTTTCATCCAAACATTTACTTACCCTTATAATTATGCTATAACATTCTATTAGAACTTCAAATCTACGGCTTCACAATTGTTCTTAGCTACTAGTCGCATCAAATATTTATTTATGTTTTCCACTATAAGGATGTCCTAAAATGTCACATTCATTCTATACTATGTTTCATCATGTGTCGCAAAAAATAATGAGTTTTTTGTTGTTATTTCTCTTGAAGCTATGTTGTCAACATGAAGCCCTTGAAATTTACTGATAAGAAAAACTCTTATTCAAAGAAATGGATTCTTTTAATATCATTTATAATTTTGTTCAGAAAGCTATTGACAGATTCTTGTAATTTTCAAGAAAAGATCATCGCACTTTTCATTTCTAAATCGTAGATGAAATAAAATAAGATTTAAAATCGTTATTTTTCCGTAATCTTTATATGATATGATATGATGCCTACTTAAATTTGATAAAAATTGCATAGAAATATTTTTCTGTTTAACTCGTATGGGTTAGCCATTGATTATGTTATGAATTTATGCAAACTTTTTATGAAATTTATTAAAATTCTTTTAAATTTTTTCAATTTGCTTTTTACAATCTATGAATAATAACGCAAGTTCGAATGTTAACAATCTAAAATTCTATTTGTATTTATTTATTTTAATTGTAAAGATAATAATTACGTATAGTTATTAAAAATTTAGAAACATAAAAAAAAAATATTGTTCTTGATTTTACAAGAAATATTCATAATGAACCTTAAATTTTAAGCATGGTCCTATAAACTGAGAATTCTCCGTACCTAAACAAAAGATTTAATCTTTTTCGAATCAACAGATTTTTTTCCTCTTTATGTTGATAATTTTATTTTCTCTTTCTTAACTTTCTCACTCTCTTGTTATGATTTTATGTATTGAGGTTTGTTGCGATGGGTGATGGCACGAGAAAGAAAATGAAAAACCTTGTGGGTGGATAGATGGTGAGGTAGGGGTTATTCAAATAAAAGGAATGAGTGGGAAGAAAATTTGTTTTTTCATCTGTTGCAAAGAAGCAACAGATAACATATAGCAATAAATGCCAGTAAGTGATAATGCAATGGAAGCGAAGTTTTTGGGAACAGAAGTGTAAAACATGATGATATAAGAAATATCGAGAGATAAAAAGGAATTTAAATTGTTACTTAGATATAAAAAACAAGAACGGTATTATTCAATAGATCAAAAACATGAATATCTACAAAGATGTATATCAATTTCAAATTGAGAGATAGGTTGTTAAAAAGTACGGGAATTTTATCATTGTGTGTGGTATTAATATATTAATGTCAATTCATTCTTCTCAAAAAATCACTAGCGTATGTCGACATACAATTTTGCTTAAAAAATGCAAGTCTTTTATAAAACATAATTAAAATATATTTATTTGGTTGCTTTTAAAAATTATCATTTGATCTTAGCAGGGTTTGCGATTTTTCCTTCCTAATTATCGAGTTGAGAGTGATCTGATATGAATTTGAAAAAAAAGGAAAGTGTTATACCTGTTCTGTCAGCTAAGCTGTCAAGTGTTTCTTCATCATCATATACATATAATTCTTATTCAACATTCGGAAGTTTATTTTCTGGTTTCCAGGTTTCAAGCCTTTCAATAAGGCACCAACCGACAAAACGATACATAAAAGTTAAAAAGTTTTTCCTCAGCACACTCGAGCATAACGAATTTCACTCGTATGTTTTGATGAGACGCTTGCTTATCAGAATTATTACGCACAGTAATATATTTGCTCAACTTTCACTGATGTGGAATTTATATCATTATATATGCAATAACATTCCGTTTACAGCCTATGCTATCTTGAGTGTATAGAAAGTAAGTGTTATCAAGAGCACTATCACCATAGTGTAAGAATGTACTAGGAGCTTTTTTATTTAATCTACTAAATTTAATGAAAAACAAATCTATCGCCATTATTAAATGTAAATAAATACCTAATTAATAATTTATATTTATTGAACTAAGTATGAATATCCCTTTTTGAATAGGTATTTTAAACTTTTGAACCGTTGCTTTATATTTAGTGATGGCAATTCTACAGCCTACAATCATAACAAACTGTTTGTGTCTACAACACATCTCTTTAAAACGATGTTGCATAAACTAATTAGCAAGGAAAGGATTTTTTTCTATAGCAACCTTAACAGCTTAACTTCTTATGTATTAATTTTTTGATCTATTCTATGGTGAAAAATCAAAAAAGTGTTCATCAGATCAAAAAAAAAATTACATTTGAATGACAAAAACGGGATTTTTCAAATTAATTTCCTTTTCATTCTTTTTCCTCTCAATTATTCGTTCTCTCTTCTCCTGGTAAAAGTTTCACCAAGAGTTTCAACTTCAAAAAAGAGATCTTTATATATTCAGTTTTCTTTGTATTTTCCAATGCACTCATTTGGTGTCAACGCAATTCATGAACAATAAATAATTTAAGAAGTCGCTATTGGGAAGAGGTGAACAAGTGGGAAAGAAGGGAAAATTGTTTCAAAGTCTTTAAACACTTCGCAATTTCTTCTCTTTCTTTTGAATCATTAAGCATTGATATCTGTACAAGTTGTAACAAAATATATTTGTATGTTGAAGTATGTAAAATTGTGGAAAAAACAATAGGAAATAAATCACAAAACAGAGAAATGAAGTACAGGAAACCCCCTTAAAGTCTCCAATAAATGACGTTGGATATCAATATTATGAGCATTGGACAGCAAAGAAGAAAAACATCTAATAGAATATAAAAATATATAAATAAGTGAAATGCTAATGGTAAAAAGTTTTCCGTTCATCTATTGATTATTATTCGATTTCGGGGTTTCATTTGTGCGTTGGTGGATTTGTATCTTGGTATGTGTTCGAGACGTATGAACATAGAAAATTGGTGGAAAATCGTTTCCCCTGAATAAAATGACTCTGTGTGAAGCGGAAAATTATTCGGAGTTGTTCGTGATGCCTTGTCAGAACAAGCAAATACAATGAGAACTTGTAATACACACTCAGTGGTGAATCCTTTCGGCGAGGTCTGACATGCGCATTATTGCTCAATAAAAAGCAACAAGCAGCCTCGACATCGAAGCATAGAAAAAAAATACGAAACGATGAAAAACTACTCAAAGGGCGCGGTGAATCTAGACGTTTTTAATATCAAGTGAAAAAATTAAAAAAAAATTGTGTACATATTTCACTCATACACACAAATAGGTGAGCTTTGGCACAATTCGATAAACAACACGAGCAACAATGCAGGCGAAAAGAAAATAAATGGTGAAGGAAAATTATTCAGTCACTGATAGTCGTTTTTTGTTTGTAGAATGTTCTAATAGAAGTTGAAGTTCATTGAGTAATGTGCCAGTTGTGTTTTAAACGTTGTTCAACTCAGTGAAAATTTTTGAGGAGCTCCCAAGTGCTTTGATTTTTTTATATCTTTATTTTCTTTCTTCTTGTTTCTTTGTGAGCAGACATTGAAAATTTAGTTCGTTCTTATATATTTCGTGTAAATCGTAAGAATTTCTAAGGTGCGGATATTCGTAAATCTTTATGAAAAATTATTTAATGAAAAGTGGCGAGTGAGAAGTTTTCTTACAATTATTAAAAATAAGTATGTAAAAATTTTATTCTTTTGAAAATTCTGTCATTATGTTAAACGATGTAACAAAGTTAGATTCACTTTTCTTCAATTCTTTTTTTCGATTGTGTAACATAATTCTTAACATGACTGAAGTTGAAAAATCTTTAAAAAGTTAAATGATTTTTTTTCAATAAAAAGAAAAATTGAGTAAATGAAAAACACGAACATTAATTGGAAAACCCTGAAAACCTAAAATTTAAAACTTCAAGTTAATTTTTACACATTGAATTGCAAATAATGTTTCTATTTTAAATCGTTTGTTGTCAAATTTCAATTAAGCAGCTTAAGATTACATTCAAAAATTTAATTCTTGTAAAAACATTTGTTAAAGCTGGTATAAATAATTTAAAGTAAAAAATGAGAAGGAATTCTCACGTCAACATCAATCAACTACATTTCTGACCATCTCATTTTCCACACGTTTCTCTGCTTGAGTTATGAAGTCAGGAAAAACAAAGAATTAAGGATGGAAGCTAAACCATAAATATAACAAAGTCTTAAAATTTTAATTTACTTTTTCATGTTTTCTTTCACTTTTCTCATTTCCCAACAGTTTTCCTTTTACCATCATTATTTCATTCAAACAACAGACAGGGTTGATGATTCATGTAGAAACATTTTTCCATATGTTTCAAGATTAATATTTATCCCTTGCTAACTTGTTGAGTGAACCAACCCTAAAAAAGTTTTCATTGTCCTAACTTTTATAACTTGCTTCTTCTTCTTCTTCTTCCTTATTACAAAGTGTGAATTATTATGAAAGGAGACACGATGATAGATTTAGAGCTTTTACCCCAAGCAAAAGCAAATTAATTGAAAATTTTCCTCTCCCACGTTTTGTTTTTATTCTCACTTAAGTGTTCTATTTTTTTTTGAAGCCGCAAGATAAATTTTTAATTTGTTGTGTTTTTGGCGGAAACTCGTTGAATTTATCCAGTACTTGTCTTCTTTCGCCTTAGATAATTATTTCACGCGAAAGCCATATGGTGAACGAAATAAAGAGCTTTCTTCCACCCTAATATTAATTGAAATTTAGAACGATAATCTAGATGATGCGCAGTGATTTTTCGTCGAATCAAGACATACAAATAAAGGTAGGAAAAAATTTACTGAAATTTGAAATTGAATATTTTATATCCGTTGAAATATCTTTGTGTCCTAAAATGCGAAGGAATTTGATATGTTTGAATCCCTTGTAAAGTAATGATCGTTCATACTCTTATAAAATTTATTGAAATTGTTCAATTTTTGATACAATTTATAAATATTATTCTATGTTTTATAACAGAACCTTATTCTTTTAATTATTTTTCAAAGTATTGTATCTCATAACTTACCATATGGAAAATAATTTGAATTATCATGTAGGGTAAATCTATTCACGTGCGATAGATATTTTTGAATAAAAGAAAAATGATCCCAACTCTTTCAGATTGTTTAATTTATATTTCGTCAAAACGATCATTTGAAAACAAAAAATATTGAAAGTACTTTTTTTAGACCAATTGAATAATTAAAAGAAAGCGAAAAACAATTCTTAACATTTCATTGAAAATATTATATATTCTGTTGATATATTCGAAACTATTCTTTTATAATATTTTTACTGACTCGAAAAATTAAACATCTGTTATTGTTTATTTAACATATTTATCGACAGAATTTGATATCAAAAGGTGTCGCAATACATACAAGTCTTGATAATTTTCAGAATTTCTGATTAATTTTGGATGATCGGAAAAATAATGAGATAACAATTATAAACGAATTTTATCTATGTTTTCCCTTTACGTTACCCAGAAATTCTGGTTTTCCATGCATATCTGTGAAAAGTAAAAGAAAGATACAATCGCTCACTTATACTTACATACATACACATGTAACATGTACATAGATATAAAGAAAGCAACTTATTGAAATCAATAATTATACCAACAAGTTGTGTTTGCAACAAGTTGTCGAATTGGGGTGTTCTTTCCTACCAAATCTTCCTGTTGAAAACTTTATTGAGAGAAAACAAAAAATTCTAATCAATCTATCCAAGAACATGTCTATTGGAATGAAATTTTGTGCTTATTGTTATGTGTTACTTATAAATTTATGAAAGATTAATTTACTTTTGTTTTTCACATGATATTGGACGATCATTTTGTCTTCAATTCTTCAAGAGTAATCTTTTGTTTCGTATTTAAAAATGCTTAACAATCACAGTAATACAAATTCTGAACTCATTTAAAAATTTTATTACTTGAATGCTTAACCAATTTATTTTTTCACAATAAAATACTTAACTCAATAAGAAAACTTCAATGACTTTCTCTTTAATGAATTAAAAATGAAAAAATTTTGCACCATGAAACTAAAGACACATAAAGTCAGCAATTTTTCTTCCCTCACCTAAGAGATACCTTTTTAATAAGTTAAGAGCATTAACCTTTATGTTTCCAAACAAAGTTTTCTTTTGAAAATAGTGTTAGCTTTTCAAGTCAAATATACGATAAATAAAATATCGTTCGAAATAATCATGTTCATTATAACTAGTAACATAGAATATTTTAAATTGCCTTTCATTTTGACTCCCTCATTTCACAAATTTTACAACGTAATACGTAGATATATATACACATATCTATATAAATATATACAATTTCGCATTTGCCTCGTAGTTGAGATAATCGATCCTAATTCCTAATTAACAAATGTTTATGTTTTGTTATTTTGAAGCCCCCTGTGTCGTTTGAAATTCAGGTAACCTTTCCTTTCTCTAAGTTGATGGCTCAATTCTCCAAAATGTTTTTGTAAATCTACTTTCTCTCAAAGGTTCCCTCTAAGGAGATGATGTTTGTTTTCCGTTGAAATTTTCTGCCAACATAAATTAATTAATTTATTTGATCAATTATTCAAACGATAAATTTATTTCCTTTTATCATCGTTTCCCATGGCAGCCATTGAAGCTAAGGGAGCTGTTTAAGAAATTTTAAAAAAATATTGAAAGAATTTTTTATTTTTCCACTAGAAAATGAAGAAAATAATAAAGGTAATAGACCTTCAAAACACGACCTCAAGAGCTTCTACCATTTATCAGCGTATTATTTTCATTCCTCTGCTTTCGAAATGTCTCCTTTTTTGTCCATTAGTGTGCCGAAAAGACGAAGAAAAATTGACGGTTTTTCATTAAATATTTATACTTGTTTTCGTTCTTTTTCATACTTCGTAAAAGAACGAACCGAAGAAAAAAAAAACAATGTAAGAGGAGAAGAGAAAATTTCAAGCGCATCAAGAAGATAATGGCAGCCAAGAAGCGAAACGAAAATATGTCATTTCAATATGGATTTTGTTTAAAAAATATCTTGCCTTTGGGCCATAATGCTTCTATTTCCATCTCCAATAAAAAGTAAAATTATGTTTGCTTCTTTTTTTTGGCTTCTTGAAAAATGTGTGCTTATTCATTGCTATTTCCTGAAAAAATGTTTTCATCAAATTCTCTTTTGATATTGATATAGGTATTTGGTACAAGAATAATAATGAATTATTTAGATTTAAATGTAAAGTTTCCACCTCGAATATATAACAAGTTTCATTGAATTTCTTTCATTCTATTGGTGCCAAAGAAATATAGAAAGGAATTAATTATAATTGGCATTAAGCTTATGAAAAACCAATAAAAGCGTTCAAAATAAAAGAGTTTTGAGTCAAATTAATATGTCACCTGTTTAATCTTTTCTCTTATATGTATTATTACCTAATTGTTTTTAATGGAAATACCTATGTCGTTATTATGTCAATTATTAAGAATGTAACATCACACAATTTACAAATTATTATTAATTAGGTAGTTATTATTTCAAAAGCCTTTGAAAATACTCAATATCAAATAGAACTTTGAAACATAAAATATTTTTCTCCAAGAATTTTATTCATGAAATACAGTGGCACTTCGATAAACAGATGGTTTAAACAGCATCAGTTAATCGAGGCAATTTTTCATACAAATTCGATTCAAGAGGACAAAAAAATATCTGTTTATGAAGCTTTATCTGTCTATCGAGGTAGCTGTTTATCGAAGTTCCACTGTATCCAATTTTATTTTCCTATCTAGCTTTTAGCTAAATAAATATTTTTTTGAAATATTTAAGAAAAAAAATCACATGCTATGAATTTATGTACTTAATTCGAAAGCTTCGTTAGGTAAATTAAATAACACCCACAACTCGTTAGGAAATTGCACAACTCCATTTCTTCTTTTTCTCTATCTTTTTGAAGATTGTATCTACCTTTTAGATGTATTATGTAAATTTTCTTATGAACCCTAGAAAATACTTAACATAAAAGAATTTAACTAAAATGATTTTTTTGGTTTTAGCTTCGAAAAATTAGATGCAACTTTAAATCTTATTTAATTCCGAACCTTTAAACAAAAACATTGATTATCTCTGTTCATCAGTCAAATGAAAATGAGAAGATCCAAGGTTTTTACTTTTAATATTGATAAGCAAAGCCCAACTAAGAAAAATTGAAGTCAAACTATATCGATTAAAAACTTTCGATTTACTTATGAAGCGGTTGCCTCTACATTTTCAATATCACTTTTAACAAAAAAAAATTACAATGAATCCCCTTTCGCCAAGAACAGAATCGTTCCATCTACAAATTACTTCCGTATAATTTTTTCTTACCCATTCGTAACGATCTCTCTTTCCATTTTCATTCTTCAATTTAATTTTCGAGAGTTTTTCCCCATCCAAGATTTGTTTTTTTCTTTTCCAAACTCAATATTCTTGTTGTTTTTGTTGAAGTTCCAGCTTCGAAGATTTCCTTTTTCATTCACTTGTGGGTTGTAAGAAGATGAACGAACATTATTGAATTTTATTATTAACATACATTGAAGCGATTCGTTTTTTATTGTTCGTGAAACTCTTCTGGTTAAGAAAGTTTTCGAAGAGAATCGATGGTTGGGGGACAGAAAGTTGGAGATAAATATCAATTGTTCTGGTGTTTAAAATAAAAAAGTTTTATATAAAAGTTCGAATTTTCAACGAGTGTAACTTTAGAGAGTTTTAAGATTCCGATACAATGAATATTTTCAGAAGATCTAGAAATGAAAAGGAATGTTCAAAAGGGACAAGGTCAATAGTGTGACAGTAGAATCTAACTTAAAACTTCAATAACAACAAAATTTTTGGCATGTTTACTATTTTCATTTTGCTCGTTAGTAAAACAAAACGGCGTTTATGTATCCTGCGAAGAAAGTTATCGTTGGTGGTTTTATTCCATTCACTCTTAATGCAAAATGTTTTTGATTCCCTATATATAGATGTATAAAACCGTTTAAGACTTCTTTGGTTGACTTGTAATAATTTCTTTACAAAATCTTGTAAAGAGGCATTTGAAATTGATTTTTTATTACGTTTTTTGTCGTCGTTTTAAAAGAAAAGAATTTGACCAAAAGAATTTTTCATATTGTTTGCGGCTATAAAATAAACAAGAATAGAAAAATGCTCTGCCCTAAAGAATCCGTTGTACATGAAGCAAATCAGGAAAACTGAGAAAAAAGTTATAAGAAAAAAGTTAAAAGCATCAAATAAGTCTCAAATTTATTACTTTTATGTTTCACAAAGCGACGAATCGAAAACTGTTTGAATCAATTTGTCTCTTTCCCTTCTTTTTAAACTCAGTTTTTATTTTTCCAATAAACGTAAACCATATTTTTCCCTTATGTTCTCTTTAACCGATTGAAGTTGGACAGACAGCTGAGTGGAAAAAGGTTTGATTACCCTTTTTTCTAGCTAAGTTGTGAAATATTGAGTTTGGTGAGAAAAAAGAAAAAAGCATTTATCGTAATCACATTTTATGTAGCCCCTTTTATATGTACGCACATATACTACATATTATACATGTACACATATAAATACAGTTCTCTATCTTATCTTTGCCCCCCAGTCCCTTTCATGAAGTTTCTTTAAATCGTTAACCTATAAGATTCTTTTCTCTTTCATAAAACAATAGTCATTTGAAAAGCATTCTAGTTTTATAATATCCAGGCCAAACTTTTTTCTTTTAAAGTGTAAAGATGGCTAACTGAAAATGAAGATTGCTTTGGGATGATAAAAATTGCACAAGAGTAGGAAAAGAGAAATTTCCGCATTAACTGTACGATTCTTGTAAAGGAAATGTTCAAAGACACATCTTTTGAGGAGATGTGAGGGGAAGGGGAAGGAAATGGCAAACTATGTAGTACAACATACAGATAACAAAATCGATGATGGATGCGGTGAAATTTTCTCTACGACCGAACAATATCATAGCAAACTTGAAACAAATTGCTCAATGAATTTTATTTTCCATCTGATCTGTTGCACTCATTTTATTGTCAATTAGTTGCCTATTTCCATAATGATTTATCTTCAGCGCAATTGCAACTACAAATGAAAAAGTCAAGAAAATATCACTTTTAATATTCACCAATGAAAACAAAAATTCTTATGACGAGTTCAAAAATTTAGAATAATTATTAATTGGTCTATAAATTAAAAAATAAGAACTTCGTCAAGTTCTTTTGATATGACACTAATTGGAAAATTTACAAAAACAAGAACAAAAAAAATTCTTCTAAAATTGCTCGTGTGCGCCATATGCAAACCAATTAATTTGTCTGACTGTTTACCCTCACACCAACCTTTCCATACTTCTCGCTCTTTTTCAACATCATCAATATGAAATTAGATGGCTTTATGCTCTCGTCTCACACCCTTTACTCAATATTTATTCCCCGTTTTCTATATGGTGAATGAGAAGAAATTTATGTCTCTATTGATTGGCTTTTCCATCGTTCCTTTTCCTATTTCTGCCTCGCAAAAGAGAGAATATTTACCGTTTTCGTGTGCTTTTTCTGCCGTTTGAATAATATATTAATTACATTTCATAGAGACGGAAAAAAACTTTAATAAAAGTTCATTGTAGATATATTTCTTTTTTGTTTTCAAAAATTTATGTGGTTGAACATTGGAAAAATATTTATATAGATATTCAAAATGCCACCGATCAGAGGTATGTTTATTTATTTACTTCATTAAAGTGTATCTGAAATATATTTATTTTATCATTCGAACAACCTAAAATTTAAAATTTGAATTAAATAATTTAGATATTGAATGATCTAAATAAATTTATATCTTCTTTTAACCATATGACTTTGATAAAGAACTAAGCAAAATGGATCAAATTCTATAAAAGAACATAAAATTTTTCGTTTTTTATTTCGGACAATTATCAAAACGATCACGGTTCACTTATAACTTCTACTTAAATTCAATTTGATGCCTCATTTTTAACATTTTCAAAGAGCTTAATTCAAAAAGTTATGAGAAAAATATCTCGTAACTCGTACGCTAATAAGCCACCATAAATGACATCACTCGTTCTGGCGAATACATTTAAGCTATAAAGTCGTCTTGCAATAGAATTTCTGTCGAAGGTATATAACATAATTATCCACTGAATATTCACGAATGTAATATCTATTCAAGTGAAATGAAAATATTTAATTTTTCTAGCCTCATATGGGTTTAATATGCTGGTTGGAAATATTCTTGATCGCAATTTCAACTAAACATAAATGTACATACATGAAACGAAATGCAACCTCATTCGTATATTTAAATTTCATGAAAATCTGTTTCCAATATAAAAAAATTAATACTTAATTAAAACTTCCCCATGATCTGGTTATTTATTTAAACACATAGCTGACCTGAACAAAGCACAAGGGATACTGAAAATATGTTGGATGAAATCACGAGGGATATTTGTTTGTCTCTTCCCTATGCAAACCTGTAAATTTTTTTTTGATCAAATTCTATCGCAACTTTCCAAATTACATTTATATTTGTATATTTTACACAATTCTTCAGCATTTAAATTAACATTTCACATGATTTTGAATTACTCAAACGTAACCGCCTGGATATTTTTTTGTGTCTTATCGTTAGGTTTTGCTAATGTTCGTTGTTTATTGTCGCACTTATAAAGGCTTTCTATTTTCATATACAGTAGGAAGTCAATGAACTTATTAAAAAAATTACAAGTAAGTTTTCTTTTTCAAGTAGAAAGGCTTAAAATCAAATTTTTATACTTTTACTTACATGTAGCTAGTTTATTTTTTAATTTTCCACATATTTTCTAAATTTAAATTAAATATTTTAATTAATTTTCAAATTTCATAACGAGACTAAGACCACTCATAATTTTTTTTCATTGTTTTTCTATCATTTCAAACTAATTTTCACAACTTGAGAACACTTACAAGAACTTATGAAGAAACTTCATAGTTGTATAGATTGTTATGTATTCACCATCGTGTATTTTGTTGTTTGATTTAGCATTTCCATTCAAATTATTTAGAAATCTTTAAATTTTAAAGATATTGAAGGATTTTTTTTATTTTGCATGCTGAGTTATTAAACGAAAACGTTGAAATGAAGAAACGTGATAATCATTGAAGTATCATTAAATGACACGTGAGCTTTGTTTTCTTGTGCCGATAATAAAGATGAAAAAAAAAAAGTTTCACTGCAAAAACTACGTCTATATATATATGTATATATTTATGTATATACATGCTTATATATTTATATATCATAATGAGGAAGTCGAGGAAATGAAAAACTTTGTCTTCAATGTTTTTTCCAATTAGTCGCTTTCTCATTTCCACCCTCGCAAAAGGCATCCGGAGAAAACAGAACTTTGGATATTATTTATTTTGTTTTATAGCTTTTTATATTTTGCCCACAATCCAAACAGTTCACGAAACGTTCATTAGTCACGAGGCAAGTTGAATTTAGTTTTATTGCATTTGAAATATTGATGATATTTTGGAGAGCTAATAATGAAACACAAAGCTTCAGGCAAATATTTCCATCAAAAATAATGAAATTGGCCAACCTTGTGGGAATTATAATACAGTGGACTTTCTTTAGAAGAGTTCTCCTTATAAGTAAAAAGCTCTTTATAAGCCACACACTCATATTAAGAAGTAATGTTCAAAAAAGTTCTTTATAGGAAGAAGCTCTTTATTTAGGTGACTCCCTTCAAAATTCTTATAAAGAAAGTTCACTGTATATATCTAATTTGGTCCAATTTCTTTTAGAAGTTCCAAATTTGAAATAAACATCTTTTTTTCTGACACCTGTGGATGAATTATTGCAATATATAATTTTGTTTTTTCATTTTCTCACATATTTACATAGGTGTAGATGTATTTGAACTTTGCAACAATTTCCTAACTTCATTTAATTTTAATTTGAAAGTTTATGTAATGAATCTGTATACTTACTTACATATATGTATGTTTTTATTTACATCAAATAGATTTAATTTTTCAGAGAAAAATTGATAGGTAAACATTTTCTAACCATCTAATTATCATTTTCAAATAATTTCGGCTGATATGTAAATTGATGAACGAAAAGAAAACAGGTTAAATTTGAATTTTGAATGTATAATTAGTTTAATCAATTGAAGCATGGTTCGCGCTAGAATTTGCTTTCGTTGCTTCGAGGGCTTTTAAAGTTCTTCAATCCTGTAGATTTTAATCATGTTGCGAGCTCGCCTTCAAAATCATAAATCGCTAAACATAAATTTTGGATAAAATAAGTAGATATGACATAATTAAAATGTTTCACAAATAAACTTACTAGAAATTAGCTTATTTGAGATGAATATTTCCATGTTATCTGTAAATATGAAAACATTCAATGAAATTATCGAGTGCTGAAAATAACAAATTTCTGAAGAGTGAAATGCTTTTGATGCTTCTATACACTTGAGGCTAATTATAAAACAAAAAATCATCTAGTAGTTAATTATATTTAACAAATTACTTTGTGTTTATGAAATATTTACCATGAGAAATTTTCAAATTTATTAAAGTGTAGAATTTATAACTTCTTTCCTCACTCACATAACAAATTATTATCAGCATCTCTTTCAACTCAATAATCATGACCATAGGCGAAAATGTAAATCTCATATTTCAATCCTCGACAGAAAAACGCATGATTCGACTAATTAATTTTCTATATGGCAATTTGACAACATGAATAATCTCGAACAATATTCAACTCTTTGAAAAATGCATGCTCACGTTTCAAGCCAATTTGTTTTGATTCAATTTCATTGAGAGTGGGAGGGTTTGGAAATCTAAAGCAAAATTTAATGATTGCATTGTGTACAATAATCGAATTTTCTCTTCGATTTGAAGTTTGAGTTTTTAATTTTATTTTTTTGACATTCGTTACTTTAAGACTTTAAAAAAATGAAAAATTACCACCAAACTGAGAAAATAATGAAACATCATCAACAAGGAAAAAACTAGAATTTTTACATAAATTATTTAACTCTGAAATGCCAAATTAATAAAAAAAAATAAAGAGATATTGCTACTCAAGCTGTAAATATTCATTAAAAATTATTTCAGTTGCACTATAATAAACAGTTTGTCAAGGATGAATCAATATTTTATGTTAAATCAAGTTTATGTTAAAAGTATTTTGTTGTGAATTTTACTACTCACCTCTGCAAAATTTTATTTATTTCCTTGCTTAATATCTTTACAAATGAAAAAATCTCCATTGCAATTGACAAAAGTATCAACAAAAAAATGATATACTAAAGTTTTAATTGCATTCGGACTTGAAAAACTTTTTATTACTCTTTCCATTTCTGCTATTAAGATGAAACAGGAATCTAGACTTAAAGTGTTTGTACAAAAAAAAGAGCTCTACATTACACTGGAAAAGATAAGAAATAGATTCAGTAATGACAGGAATTTTTACAAATAATTAATTTAATTTAAAGATTAAAACAGCTTGTGCAATTCATGGGAATAAGACATGAGAGGTTTAATGTCCATTTCATTACCTTATTAAAGTACACTTAGTTTAATTACAATTTCCGTTCTGATGATACTTTTATAAATATATAAAAGACGAGTCACGAATGTTGCAAGTCTGGCAAGAAACATTTTTAATGGGAATGACGTGCAAAAAATGATTCTAAAAAAGTTTGAATAAAGATTGAAAGAACACCAAAAAAACGGAAAATACCAGTCAGAGAGTGAAGAAAGTCATGAGCATAATGTCACATTCAAATAAATAATAGAAACATTCATGTAAGGACCAAATGGTTAAATGCATTATTATGACAAGTTTTCCAAAATGCTCTAAGAAATGCTTTTAATTCGATTTGGAAACTTTCTGAATTTATGCCTAAATATTTTTTTAAATCTTAAAAAGATATTTATGATAGTTTAGCGATAGCAACAATACCAAAAGCAACGGATCTTGTCATAAGTAACTATTACAATATTTAAAGAAAGTTTATTTTCTTGTCATAATAAATTCTTCAAAAATCTTTTTTAGATAATAATTTTTAGACAAAAAAAAATAATTGTTTTGATCATTATTCTTTGTTTATTAAGAAATCTTATGTCCATTCTTCTTTTTTTGTACTCCCTATTATCATATTTAATTAAAATAAATCTCGACCTTAGCAGACTTATACTTTTAAAATTAACGTGATGGTGTTGTAGGGTATGGTGTGATATCATGGAATTCTGATTAATGATCTGGTTGTACGTCTGGCATCCACTTTTCTCCATTGTTTTATGAGAATATGATCCCACACTCATTCATTAACTTACACGGTTACCCCAAAGGAGACTCTTTTATAGTTTATTGTGCAACAACAATTAGTTTCTCTATCCTTTTCCACCTTTTCTAACCATAACAGTTTCGTTTTTATTGGCAAACATTATGTTCTGAAAGATATTATGTCTCATTGCTTCCACTCGTTCTCCCATTTTATACCTTCGATAGAAATTCTTCCATGCAATCTCTTAAATCGTCTCATAAAGATTAAATTTAGTGTCGTTTGAAAGTAAAAAAATATTGAAATAATTTGTCCTAGAAGCGTTTAAATTGCGTTGGGTAACGGCAAGAAGAATTGAGAAAGCAGGAAAGTAAAATGAGAAAATGGAGCTTGGTGTCTTTGCTTAATTGCGCCAGAGAAGATTACTATCAGGACGAGAATGAAAAGCCAATTTATAAATGGTTCCTTTATTATCCAGCAATTAATGATTGAGACAACTTAATCGAAAACTTCGTTTAATTTTAAATCCGATGAAGAATTAACATGCAAGTATTGAAATGAAAATCTTAACTTGAGTAGCAGCAAAAACAACAACCTACATAGAGTTTGAAAAGTGTATTTTTTTCAGTAGTGAACAAAAATATTTACCTAAATACAAATACGGGTTAAAAGTTAAAATGAAAAACATATTTTCTACTAAGATAAATATTCATGTCGATAGATTGCGTACTTACTAACACAAATTTGAGTTCATGTTTGCTTCTCATTCAAATCTAATTGGAACCAAAGCATGTGGAATTCATTTTTCATAATTAGGAAATAATTTTATTCAGCATAATTTCTTTGCGATTTCCTCCTTGGAAATATCATTACTTCAATAGACTCCCCCGCATGCGTTAGATTTCATCATTCATTCCTCCACCTTTCTTATTTTATCCTGTAAAGAAAAATTATGTTTTTAGGTAGAAAGGCAAAAAGGTTTTTTGCTTTCTTCACTGCTTCTTTAAGATGAATTGCAAAGAAAAGATTGCAAAAACAGCGTTGAATTTTTCTTTTTTCGTCGTACTCTTTTCCCAGCATAAATGTTTAAGTAACAGTAAATTGATGTGAAATTAACATTTTCATTGATGCCGTTTGTTTTCATTCAAAACAAAACCTTTTCATAAGAATCCTAGAATATTATCTTGATAATGAGAAAGGATAAAATAGCAAACCATGAATATATTTTTATTTTTTTAAGTAAATTGATTCTTATCCATAATCATCATATCTTAAGCATCATAAAATATGTAAGAAAAAATACCAGAAAAGAAAAAAAATGTTAAATTGCTTCATTTAATTTTCAGTTTACAGTATCTAATTAATTTATAAACTTTCTTCATAAATAATATTTGCAACCATACATTTGTCATCATTTTTTAAAATAGAAACCCTACATTGTAAAGTTTGGTTGAAGAACTTTAATTATATAAGATAATCATAACACAAACATCAATTCATTAAAACCAGGTTAAGATAATAAAAAAATACATTGATTAAACTCCTTGCTTTTCCAAAAGAATGTTTTTGTGAATCCTTTTTTCTATTGAACCCTTTTTTCTGCTTCACCATCCAATTTGAACATCAAGAATGGGATTGAAGCGGTGAAAAACACGGTAATACTAAATCAAGGTTGATTCTTGTTGAGTGGAAGCAAAGAGACAAGAAAGATAGAAAAAGCAGGAACTCTTCGTTTAGTTGAAAAGGGTTACAACTTCCGGGACTGAAGCATTATTGAATGAAGCGTAGGAAAATGAAAGCATATATTCTATACCAACCTGTTGCTGTTATAAATTATGAATTGCTATAACATAGAACTTTCCATAAAAAAGACATGAATGCAGTGTCAAAACATCTATAGAATCCTTTCGTTCTGTAAGTTCTTTGTTCAATATTTCTTTTATAAAAAATATATGCACTTTTGGTTGTGATCGATAATTTGAATCAATGTTAAAGCATAGATATCTTGTTAAAATATTGGTGGAAGTTTATTCACTTATATGCTATAAAATAAGAACAAAATAGTATTAGTAATTGAAAGCACGTTGATTTGATTAGATGACTTATTTACAATTGTTTATATTTCAAAACTTGTTTTTTTAAAAAAAAATTATAGTTAGATAGATTCAAATGAAGCATTATTTATAAATATATTTATTTCTACCAAATTTTGTTGATTGCTTTGAAAGAAGGAAAATTATTTTAAATCTGAAAATCGTAAATAATACCCAGAATGAAACAAATATCACGGAGGAAATGTTTATTCTTCTTTGCTATTGTGGCAGTTGTTTTTCTATCGACTTGAATAAAAACATTTAGACATGATCTCCCCACGGAAATTTGTTATTTTTCAACAAATTTTGAGAAAGATCTTAAAAAACATTCGTCTTAACCGTTTCGCTAAAATTTAGATAATGACTTTAGTTGAAGAATAAGTAAATTCTCTATTTCAGTATAAAAATATACTTCGAGAATTTTACTTAAAACAATATATCAGTAAAATTTACAGCATTCAATTCCTTGCATTAAAAAGTTATCCATCGACTTAAAAAATGTAAAAGTCATCTTACTGAAAACTCAAAATTTTTATGATGTTTAAAATGGCCACGCTTTCGCTTGTCGTATTCCATGAAAGTATTTTCGTATGGATTATCTATGCTCATGAAACATTAGGTTGTCTCAAAACACTCAAATTTTGTGTAGCACTTAAGGAATTATCTTGACTCATGATAAAAATTGAAAATTGCTTTTTATTAAGAGATTTTTGCTAACAATTTAAAAGCAAAAGTGAAATATGCGCGTTCAAAACTACCTCAAATATGATTTTTTTTCCTTACAGTTTATTTTTAATTTTTCTAGATATAAAATGAAAGAAAGAATGCCAGTGGGAGAGGATCACGTGATATATTCAAGAGGGAAGATTAAATATGTCGTTACATAGAGCTATGTTCATGTACGCGTATTTAGGAAGATTTAACAGAAGGCGAGCATGAAAAAAGAGAAAAAGAAAGATAAGATAAATAAAAAATCGTTCTCGGGTGCGTTCTAATGTAATGAATCAAAGCTGTGCAAATCTCTCCCAATACTCATACATATCAAAATACATGCCAAAGCTCACTTTACACAAATAAAGCTTAACATCTATAGAATTTGTGTTACGCACAATCTTATGTGTAACACAATAAGTATCTGAAACAAGAAATGTATAAAACACAGAGATGACATTTTCATTTAAACTCACTCAAAATTCCCTAATAAATAATTTACTGTGTTAAACAATTGCAAAGGGAGAACATATAAAAATAAGACATATTTCATGATTCGTGCCATGAACAGGCTATTCTACTTAAGTTTCAGAGAAAAATCAACGACTAAGACTCAAAATGAACATGAGTGAAATGCGTTCTGCTGAGTTTTGCTTCATTTATGCACAGCTGGAAAAATGAATGGCTTTTCTATTTAAAAGCAGAGAAAATTGCGAGAAAATTTAAGTCTTTAAGCAAAGCATAGAAAATCATTCGCTTTTGTTATTTATTTGAAACAATAAAAAATGTAAGTTAAGCATTTACTAGGAATTCGCAAAAATGGAAATTAAAACTCTAATTTAAAGATGTTTGAATTTATCAAAGCGACGTTTTTGATGTAACGATGACGATTTTGAGAAATTGTCAGATGAGAAATCTTATTTCTATATAAATATCTACATCATGCCATGTCACAATTTAATTAATTTATATTTTATTTATTTCCCCATTTATTTCACTCCTTACTGACTCATTTTGTGCAGAATTACTTATGAGCATGGATTTCCTTTAGAATTATGCATTTTTTACCTCTTTTTTCTAGAATGAGATCCCTTGCTAGCACATGCAATAATTTATGAAAGAAATAAAAACGCTTCGGAATGCTGTGATGCCATAAATTTGTATGCAAATTGTGAGGCAATGGTGCAAGATGGCAAAAGAGATTAGATTCTATGGCTCCTTCTCTCTCCTGACCGGACTGCAATTCACTAGAGAAATCCATTTAAAAGCATAATTTAAAGACGCAAGACGAGAAAAAAAAAGATGAAGATAATGGCCGCTCCTCGCTAAGATGTTATTTATATACATTCTACCAAGATAAGTTGTCTTTAATGGTTACTGCACACTCTGAGAAATACGGAAGCAACAGAAAATCCCAAGATGTTCTCTAGAACTTTTCCCAGCTTACATTTGATATTCAACAAGCATTTGTCTTTAGAATATTTTGGAAGCGAAAGAAAAAGAAGATTTTAAAAGGATTTTCCTTCCCTCATTGTTTGAGATTGCCTTTGAAGATTTCCACTTGTTTTTGTCTAAAGCAGTAAATAAGATGACTCGAAGCAAAAACAATAAACTTGTCGAGATATTAAATTGGATAAATATTTCATGTGGATTAAAAGCATTCGCTGTACTGACCCAAACCTAAATTTTTCCCAATACATATTTCATCTGCTTCTTCAGACTCTTTACTTTGAAAATGATTTTAAATATAGTTTCACAATTTAAAGTTCGCTGATTTCCAATTCTTATTATGAATCATTCTTAATCAATCTCGTATTTGTAATTTAAAAAAAACAGTAACTTTCAAGAAAAGGAAATAAACATTGCTACTGAAAGTGAGATGGCAGGAAGAGAATTGAAGCAAATGTATCTATTTACCAAAAGCACAATTATTGCTTTAATTAATTTAACATCTTCTTACTGCATACAAATGGGACAAATCTTAAATTTCTTTAAAACTTAATTAAAATCATTTTCATTTAAGACTTTCTTTGTTTTTACTATACGTGCACTTGTATACATACCGTTCACCTCATCTAACAAATTAATCAAAAATGTTATTATAGCATGTTATAATTCATAAAACTTCATGCTTATCTACTGCTTTTTTCAAACCATTAATCATATTCTCCAAGTTTTTTTCCCTTTAGCTTTTATTTCATGACGCGTCGTAAGGCCGCCATTTACTGCATTGAAAGTTACAAGAGAACGCGTCCAGGCGCTGATGAATTATACTAACTCATTCTCCATCGCCGCGTCAGCAGACACAAAGGCAATATGGAAAGTTGTTGTGTTGAAGAAGGAAACAGATGAGAAACTTTACCGCCCTTTATTCGGATCACTTATTTTCCCTTATGACTTGACAAGTGAGGAATGAAATTACAACTACAAAAAGGGAAAAATATTATTTTACTATTCTTCATCGAGCAGTCAAATCTTATTAATTATTATAATTGATTGAATTATTGACGTGTAGCTAACATAAATTCATTTATGCTGTATAGATGGGTATGTACATATCTAATAAAAACGATACGAATATGCTTGTTTATCTACGATCAACAGAGTATAATCTTGCTTTATAGAAACTTCATGATTTATTACATTTTACTGTAACAGTTTTGAAGAATATCTAATTATCTACCTACATTATATTATTAATAAGATTCCTAAGAGTTCTTTTCCTTAAACAGTTTTTTTAGGAAATATTTTTTGGATATTTTCAATGAAGACTTTCTTTTGAATAAAGGATTCACGATGACGAAAAAAGCATTAAAAACTCTGCTGGCCACGTGCATTCTTGGGTAATTAACACACATTATAAATACATTGTTATTGCTTGAGAATACACGTAGTTGACAATGTTTTACAACTTTAAATGGCTTTTATCTTGGAGAAATTTACATGTGAGTAAGTGTTTAGTGAATTACAACAATTAGAAAAAAGTAAATTATCGGTTGGTAAGAAAAAAAATCAGATTTATAAAGTCCTAAAATTTTACCTTGAAATAATTTATTTCAAATTGTGCCTGAATATGAATAAAACAATGAATTAAACTAATTTACTGTTTAGAAAATGTCTAAGTATTAAAATTTTATAAGGTATGAAAAATCTGACAAGAATGTTTCTCAAATACCTACAAAGATAAAATTTCTCATCTTATAAATTATTAATATGTAAATAAATAAATAAAAGAACCCAAAAAGGTTCAGTCATATGTCAAAAGAAATGATTTTAAATTGAACGATAATTGTGAGATGATCTAAGAACATAAACTTTGCATAAACCTAAACCCTCCAACAACGCAACAAACTGAATTAAACCAAATATTATCAATTATACTTCTATCAAGTATCAAGAAGTCTACTTTACAAAAAAAAATATAAAACGCCATCCCTTAAAATAATTTATGTATCGATTTGATAAATAATGATGGCATGAAAAGCCACAGAAAATCAATCCACAAATAAATTGTTGTTTCTTCTTACTCAAAATTCATCAAGAAACCTCAGAATGATTTAACTCCTAACTAAAAAATAGGTAAGAATGTGAAGAATTATTTGTATCTTCTGGATCATTAATTAAATTTACTGGCTGACTGAAATTTAATACTCCATTACACTAAGCCATTGATGTTTGTGTTTCGATGAGTTTTCTCTGCTTTTTATTTCATTCTCTTCTAGTATCGTTGGAAATTTCAAATATCCTTTCTCGCCAATGCGAGTTTATGGCTATTGTGAACATCGATTGCATATCGAGTGTTGAGAGACAATGTTAATACTGCAAGTAGAGAAATGTTCGTTATAGTAAATTTTCCAGAAAGTGATTCCAATTTCACAGTAAGCAAGCTCATGAAAAAGAAGGGGACATGAGAGAGCGATTTTTTTGGGGCTTAGTGTCGTTCATTTGCTAGAACCGAAGGAAAAATAATGAAAATTCTTTTTTGTTTACTTTCATTCCTTCTTCTGTACTCTGCTGCGCAATCGACAGCTCCGTGGTAGATTCATCAATTCATGGGATTTATATCATCATGGAATAGCCATGCGACGTGGGTGAGCGAGGAAAAAGGATTTTGTCAAGTGATATTAATGTACAAACAATTTTTAAGCCCAGCAACAGAAACATCGAGGACTGTTAGTTGAAAGATCAGAGAATAACGAGGTCAATCGTCGAACAAGAAACTTCTTTATTTCATTCCAAGGTAGACGTATGTACCATCAACATACATAAAATCGAATCGTAGAATAAAAGTTCTGCAAACTTTATTTTAATTTATTTAGACATCAATAAATTTCAATCCTGAAAAGGAAATGAAAGATCAGAGATGGGTAAGGCAATGTTTAGTGTTATCTTTCTTAAGAAAGTAAATAAACCTTATATATCTAGTATTGGCTACACATTCAAAATTCTGATCAGATAGCACAGCGAATATTATATTACATTGATACTATATTTGTTTGAATTATACAATTCATTTAAGGTCAATGATTTTTAATCTTAATTAAAAACAAGATTTAAGTTGATTCAACAAATGAAAAAGAAAAGTGTAATCCCTTACAATTTTATCTTTTTCTTAACTTTTCAATCTTGATAATTAAGTAAGAATCTGTCTCATGACTTTTTACAAATATTTTGTTATGTTTTTGTTTGCAAATAGAAAGAACTTGGTAATGTATTTAAACCAAAACCGCAAATAAAAGATGAAAATTTATCTGTAGACTCCAGAGAAAAAAAAAGAAGATTTAATTTTCTCATTATTTTGAATCAAACAGCAGTTTCAGCTTGAGGCAAATAACAGCGATGGCTATTTCAGTGTTCAATCTGTTGTCATTTTCTTAATCGCTACAAAATTAAATTTTAATGGTTTTTTCATCGTATTTCTTTCATTTCTCTAATTTTATTTCATTGAAACACCCCAACTGTTCTGTTTACGTATTCTTATGAACAACTAGGTAACTACAGAAAAAAGCTTAGAAAAACTTTGATAATATGTTACACTGGCTGAAACTTCATCATCATCATCATCATCAAACATGCATTTTAATAAATTTATTTCAGAAAATTGAAAAAGTCTTTGATGATAAGGATGTAAATAAATTATTTCTTTTATTATTTAGTTGTTTTTTAAGTTGTTTTTAACGAAAAATAAATAAGAAAGCTAAACTTCACCATGATTTTTTAGTCATCTTATTCCATGCTCCTAGAATTATTTCAGAATTTTATTGATCAGTATACAATTTTTAAAAACAGAAATTATTTTTATTTTAACTCTGAAACAACATTTATAAATTTTTTTAAAAAATTTCTATACCAAAATTTAAAACGGGGTAAGAAAAGGAAAAATCCTTTAAAGAAATGATCATTGGAAATTTTTGAAAACAAAATGCTTATTATTGAACTTTTTTTGTGTCCATATGATGATAAAACATATTTTTGAAACAAAATCTTTAGAAAACATATGTAGGGAAATAAAAAATGTGTTAAAAAACAATGAAAGTCTTTAGGGTTTTTATCTGACTGTTCGATTAGTTCTCACATAGAAAGCACATGTGTTCTACCTAAATCAATTTCAATCTGGAAATTGTCAAAAGTCAAATGACTTGTTGACTTATTGATATTTAAATAAATAGATATGTATAAGGTTTCAGGAAATTTATTCAAATTTAGACATTTATATTTCATTGTTGAATTTTTCATTCTACAACATAATTATCATTTCTATTTCAACAATTTTTCCATCACAATTTACTTTTTTTCATTTCTAATCAAAATAAAAATTGAATAACAAAGTATTGTATGTATATTTAGAGTATAAGTATGTACATATATACAAAGTAAATACAAAATGAACGTACCAAAGAAAAATAAAGAAAGTTGAGCTTCAAATGAGAAAAAAAAATCTTTTTTTGCAGCACTTTCTATCATAATGCCGTAGCATTGGATCAATATGGATGAAACCTTATAATGTTATTTTTCTCGCTGAGATGCTTTATTTTTCTACTCCGCATCGAGTGTTGCTATGGTGTCGCCAAACAGGATTTGTGAATCGATTGCGACACTCGTTTAGACAGATTATCATCTATGAAGACGCAATCGACGAAGCATTTTATGCAAAACATTCCTCAGCATTTTTATTCCGACAGAGTTTGAGCTTCATCTTGGCGACAGCAAATTATAACAAAAGTGAAATTTTTGATTTTTTTCCTACACTGCGCAATAGAATGCATAGTCTCGCTACAGTTGAAAATCTCAAGCGACAGAATGTTTAAATATAATAAATGATCCAATTAAGAATCAATTCAAATTGTGTTGCCTCGAGATGGGTTATGAGAAGTCCCATACAATGAAATATCATATTTAGGTATTTATTCACAAATTTAAATGTGCGAATGAAATTATTTTTCATCATCAGGTCTTAGTAAGTGACTTAAAAAACTCACCCGATTATTCAAAGCAAATGAGTGGCAAGGAACGTATGTTGCAAATAAAAATGACAACACTTTTCAATTTCAAAGGAAATTGGGTAGTGCTGACTGGTCACTGCCGTTCATTTTGCATCCTCCTAATGAAATTATTATATGAACTCAAAAAAAAATAAGCTAGAAAATATCACAATTTCAGTTTCTTATTTGTTCATTTACCTTTAATCAAGTCAAATAGTTTATAGTTTATACATATATTTAAGTGATATATTTTACTGCATCTCTAAGACTTTCGTAACCCATCTGTAAGGTCTATAACAATAGTTATGTACATGATTCAAAAATATATAGATAGATAGATCAGTTCATTCATTCTAAACAGATTTTGTTTCTTGTATCATTTTATTATTCCTCTAGCTTCATTTCTTCTTTTTATTACACGACAATCTAGCATGTTCTAATACATTCGTTTCATCAACATTTCACTTCTTATACAATCTAGGTAGCTCTTTCTGGATTAAGATGCATTAAGGACATATTTTTACATCTAAATAACAGATTTTCAACTATGGATACAAGAAAAGGAAGAAAAGGGAGAAAATATTTATTTTTCTTAGCTTCTTTTAATAAAAAAAAATAAGATTTTATTTCTTGTTGTTTTTTTTAAATATATTTATATATATCGCGAGACACATTAAGTGTCACGCGTAACAAAGGAAGAAATAGAAGAAAAAAAGATTAAAATTCATAAGAAATCTGTCGTCTCTTGTTCAACATCCCTCATTTAGTGAACTTCTCGTCTCAGTGTTTGCACCGTCACCATTAGTTGAATATTGCATCACATTTTCACTATTATTTACATTATTATCTTTAATTTCTCCATGCTTCATGGAGCTTTCTGTATTTAAATTTACATTGCTGCTATTTGATGGATCAGGTGGTTGATCACCTTGCAACGTTGAACTCATCAATGGTGTTGTTTCTTCTTCATTACTTGAATTTTCAATTGTTCCGTTGCTTCTTTCTAAATCATTTAATCTTACTGCTGAAGGTGCTTCATCAACTTGCGCTGAAGGAACATTTTCATTGTTTTGAATATTCTCAGCGGTTCTCAGAATCTCTTGAACGGAACCTGAAGCTGATGCTGATCTAACGTTGATAATTCTCACATTCAATAAGGGACGATTAGGAAAAATCATGTTCAGCAGGCGTAGACTTCGCGTTAAATTATTCAAGCCTGCATGGTTTTGTATATTATTTGCGTTGTTGTTGTTGTTATCAGCTATTAAGCCCACGCCAAAAATGTTATTGTAGAAGTTGTTACGTAACCGTTCAACCAGATGATTGACACGCCGTCGATAGGTACCACGAATGACAAATATGTTATTGGCATTATTTATCGGACGTTCAGTTGGAACTCTTGCAGTTGGAGCTTCCGTTGGTGCTTCTAGGTTTTCTTGATTCATTTGTTGATTCCCACCGCCCGTCGCCGCTCGTCCGTTATCAGCTTGTCGGTTGTTATTATTATTTCGCGTTGAACGCATAAACATTTGCTGTAGTTGCGCTTGTTGAACAATGACGGGGAGCTCGTAATGATGAAAAAAGTAAATCATTGAGTGCTGGTAAAAAGAAAATAGAAAAGAAAAACAACAAGCGAGAATGAGCAAAATAAACAAAGAAAATTCAATAAGGGAAATTGATGGGGGAGTTGAGTTTCAATTTGATTCATAATTGATCATCAGTCCCGCCAGTTCACATTTCACAACCCGCTCTCAACAATTTATTTCCGCCCTTTAATTAGTGGATAATTTACTAAACAATTTTTCATCCATTTATTTCTTCATTTCTTCATTCTTTGCAACTTAAGTGAATGGTGTGAGAAATAAGAAAAATAACAACTTTGCGATGAACTATTTCCTGTTTTAATAGATATCGGTGAAGAATTATTGTCCTCTACTCAAACTAATGGAAAACATGTCAAGAGTTTTCTTTTTTTTGATTTGTTGACATCATTTTATGATTAGCTTAATTATTTGTAAAATATTGTTGTGACGATAACCGAAAGGAAAAACGTTTTCAATATTGGTCATGTTTTGGAAGTATCTACAATAAGGAAGAACACAAAAAAAAATGGGAATTTGTTTGTATTGTCATAAATGTCGTCAAATATTGGAAAGTGTTGAAGAAAACATCTATCTTCATCATGAACAGAGTTGTTAGCCAGATTATTGATAAATTCTTGACACCTGGCTATGGTTTCAATGTAAATCAATTCATATTATTGGTATGAGACAGAAAAACCAAAAAGGTTTCAATATTTATGTTCCTTCATTGACAATTTCCAACTCTGACCATGCATGGCCATGGAGAAAACATAAGGAATGAATAGTATGAAGCGGAAAATCCAAAAGGATTCATTTCCATTTCAAGAAGATGGATTTTGTTTCAAATTATGTATTAGTTTGTTCACTGCATGAGATGATGATGTAAAAGAATCTCTTTCTCATCGGACATTTCTCAAGGGTTCTTGCTCACATTGATTCAATTTATTCTCCACACTGCTTTTTACAAAACAAGTAAAGAGAAATGAAGCCAATTCTTCAAGTATTCCTCAGGCTGAATAAATCTGGTTTCACATATGAATGTTTGCCATAAGAAATGCTCAAATAATACTATCAAAAAAGATACATGAAAAAACTGAGAAAATCGTGAGACTTTGAGTTGTATTTGACAATTCATGTTTGTTTCTTGTGCTTTTTATATTTCCCTCTTCTTCCGTTCCTTTTTCCATATTTTGACTGTTCAATTGCTTTTTTAGGAAATGAGTGATAACTTGGGAAACGACGAAAAGGAAAATAACAAAAAATAGAAATTCACCTTGACGCATACATTAATCGAATAAACGAATAAAAAAGGAAATAATTTTATAAAGCGAGGGGAAATAATGTTTGTGTGTATATATTCATTTATGTATATAGACATATAAAAGACATTAAATCATGAGATGGTTTTAAACAAAAAGTTAGTGAAAGAAGAAAGTGAGAAAAAATATAAAAACACAAGACACTTTGCCTCATATCGATTGTCGTTCGATTTGCAAAAGATGTTTCTCAATTCTACTTTTCATTTTATTCTTTCCTTTGTTTTCTGTTTTCTGGGAGATTTCCGTACAAATGCTCCTAGCCGAACAAGGAGGATTTGTTTAAAATGTAAAATCATTCAACAAAGGTGAGGTTTTCCTCAAGAATAAGAGCGACTGCAGTAAACAAGAAAACGAAATTATTGGATGCAAATTCAACTCATCCCATTAAACTTTACCGCTTTCTGTGTGTCATGTATGGAAATTTATAGTCGTTTTAAGCATATTGAAACATAATATATCATATTTTCATTCTTCCTTCCTCATTTTCTACCAGACATTCTTATTTAAAAGCAGGATTGTTGATAAGATCGTAGGTAATACTTAAGAATGAATATCAATTTTATAATTTTTCTTAGTTCAATTCAAGTATTTAATACATTTTGATGTTTAATTAAAGTTCAAATTTTAAAGTCTTGTGAAGAAAGAAGCTAATGTTACTTTTTATTAAATCTATTTAAACTTAAGAATGTCATAAAAATAAAGCAACTTTGTATTTGAAATGAATGTTCTTATAATTATTTAGGTTGACAGGTTATTGTAGCTCAAAGATATCATCTCTTTTTTATCTATTCACTATATCTGCAAAATGTGCTTGTTATGGCAGCACAAATTTTACATAAACTACAGACTTCGTCACGGGGTGCAGAGCATCTCAATTTTTCTATTTTCAATGCTCCTATTCAACGCGTTGTTGAGGAGTTTGCAATCTGTCATATAAAATAATCTCAACATTAATTTAAAAAATCACGTGTTGCAACAACAATATTTCACGTGTTTTCTGCTGACTTTATTCATCTATCGTTCAACAGCATCACATAGGAATTGAAGTAGAAAAAGAAAAAACAAAAAGTAAACTTTCATCCCCAACCAAATCCTCGTGTATCACGTTTTGCTCTATATGAATTGGCTGACGTTATAAAATGAATGTTTAAGAAAAAGTTTTGTTTGCTTCTTTGTCTCAGAAATTAAGAAAGGACCATGTGAACGCAATTTAAGAGCTAATGTTGTGGGGTTTCTAAAAGAAAAGAAATTCGTTTTCTTTTGAAGAACAAAATCTTTTTCTGAAATATTTTGAAACTTTCAACTCCTGACCCAGACTAGATTCTCAAATTATTTAAAGAAAATATCTAATTATAATAAAAACTTACCTGAATAAACAGCCAAGACGTGAAAAGTGCAAGCGATCCATATTGACCATTGAAACGATAGTGATATGCGTAAAATGAGAAGTGATACAAATAAAAGAATCTGAAAAATAATTAGAAAGAGAAAAAAATGTATAATTCAATTAAGAAGAAAAATCAACATTATAAGAATAAGTATGAAAATTCTATCATGAAATGACAAGACTTAACCATATTAAATTAATAATAAAGCCATTATCGTCATTGAAACCTCAAACAAAGCAAACAATGATGTGTGGAAAGTTTCGTTTGAGGCAGAAGGACACAACTTTGACCATATTTATGTGTTGTTGCCCCAAGTCTTATATAAATGATAATGAACTACTATATAATGGAACTTTATTAATCTTTTCAAATTAATTAAAATCGTTATCATCGACTTTCATTCACCATTGATGCATTATCACGAAGGGATGTATTAGTTTTTGAGGGATAACCACGGGTAATCACTTAACATGTTTAGGTGCGGTGCTGTGAGGGGAATGTGGTAGAACGTAAATGTTTACACAACCACTAAATATGAAATAACTTAAATGGGGGTCAATGGAGAATTTGTAAACTTCATTTCCATGTTTCTATTAAAAATTAAACATTGAGAAACAATTGTCGTTGAATTGCCATTAATCTTTTTGAAATGATAGGAAATTCAATATGTATTTATGTGACTTTTTTCTAAATCAAAAGCTCCTATAAATTTATACATATTTAGTCTAAAGGACGAACGCACTCAATCAATCAAATGGTTGACAATATGTTGATTCAATTTTCTTAAATTCAATTACTTTATTTAATCAATATACTTTTATTAAAATCAGTGCACTGTAGTTAGTCTGTTGTGCTTCCAAATAAAAAAAATTAAATATTATATTTAGTTGATAATCAGATTTTATCATTAATAAGATTAATTTTACAAAAAAAATCATTATTTATGATCGTTTGTTTAATTTTTCATAAACATGTTACATGTAGGTAGGTTTTCGATAAGTGGATCGTCACTTTGTATGACTTTTTCTAGACAGTTTTAACTGATGGATGATTAAGTATCGTTTTGAGGATTCTTAAAGTCTGTGATAAATTGTTTTTCTATTTTTAAGGTAATGAAACTTTGACAATCAAGAGCAAAGAGGAGAAATCTTGTGGAACAAGATTCTGTTCCTTTTTCATCCAAACAGGGATCTTTTCTTTCTTACGCAGATGGAACAATAGTGCACCAAATATTTAGTTATTCTAATCAAAAGCAATACTTAAAACAACCATTTAAATTGAAAAGACGACTTTTCTTCATGCACATCTAGTCTTTTTCAGATTCAATCAACAAGATCCAAGATTCACAAACTGAATGATTTTTCTATCGTTGTAGAATATTTTTATGAAACGTTTGTGCATATTCTGACACATTGGATGACACGTTCCTATGTATGTGGCTGAAACAAAAAACAATACCAACATTTTTGAAACAAACATCGTCGAATAAATTGCCCGATTATCATCGATGTGCAGATAACGTGATTATTTGTTGTTTGGTAACAGTTTTCTTCATCATTTGATTGGAAAAAGATTAAAATGTTATTGCCAATTATTTTTTTCCTTCAGTGCCTTTTTCTCTTTTTTTATTATGTTGTTTATCCATGGATGATCCTAGGTTCTTATGCGAAGATACTTTTGGATGGGTCAGTTGAGAGCTATCTGCTGTTGTTAAGATTTTCCAACTTGTTTTACTTATATTTATATAAACATAAATATAAACAAAAAATCCTCATCTCATTATGTAAACACAGCATTTTTCTCTAATCCTAACAAATCACCCCGATTGTACATTCCCTCACTTCTACATCAATACCTGATCGAAATCATCAAAATTTCATCGATGCCTCAAACTTCTATTCTGAAAAACAGATAATCTGCTAATTAGTCGAAGCGTAACGAAGAGAGATAAAGTGGGAGGTAAAGGAAAAAAAATGTAGAGAGAGAAGCAAATCTCACGCTCGGAGGCAAAACATCAAAATCACTGAACATCACACGAAAAAGCGGGTGAATTTACAGTAGTCGGCAGGCGGAAATGTGGAAATGTGAAATGAGCTTGTTGAAATCACGTGTATGTTAACATAAAAATAAAGTTCAAGATGAAAACATCAGAGAGTAGATAACAAATATTATTTCTACTGAATTTATTTCAAAAAATTATGCCTACCTAATCATAAGTAGGTAACTAAAAATTTTGAGTGGGTGAAAGTTGAAATAAAATTTAAAACTAATCTGATTATTGGTACCGCATTAAACTCCTTTGCTTGTGCTCGTTTTGGTTGTTAACGCTTCTAATAATTTGACTGATACTTGTTCTGTTATCGCTTTTAATTAGTTTTCTCATTAAATTTTATTTCAAGGATTTCTTTTCCAGAATTTTATTTTTCAAACTCCTAAATTATAGCTTAAAACTCAAATTTGCTTGACCACACACTCAAAAGCCTCAACAACGTTTGAAGCTGCCTTGTTTCGTTTCCTAAAAATTATTTGTCTATGAATATTTTATTTATTTGAATACAGAAAACTTCTAAATATCTAAACCGTAAACATTCTTCATTATCTACATTGATTATATTTAGAAGGAGACATTCCTTCTTCTTTCGTTTTCATACTTAAATATCTAATCTTTGTACAGAAAAATGTTGTTATAATTATTTTCCCCTCATCATATTTTTATTCATTCTCGGTTTGTCATGGCAATAATTCCTTTACATTGCCAGATACTAAAATGTCTTCGCCGTCAACAATTTGGCATATTTTTTGCTTTTCTATAGACATCAACTTTTCTTTCAAATAAAAAGCATTAAAAAGTGTTGAGCATAGTTCGAGTAAAGGAAAAAAAGGCGGGTGACTCGATTCTCAAATGACGATATGTATTTTTTTTTGGTTCGGGGTAGAAGAGCAAACACAATTAGAAAAACGATATTGACGCCAACATTTAGTAACTTCCCATGTCACTTTCCTTTTGTCTTTTAACATAACCGTACATAATTTCCTAAAGCCTCATTTTCCTTTGTTTACACATCTTGTTGATGGCCTCTGTTGGCAAGTAAATTATATGGAAAAAAAGAAACTTTTCTCGCTATTCTCCCTCAAACCAACTTAGGAGCGTATAATCTCTGACTTCAGACCTTCTTACACTTCAAACGACAGTCACCGCGAAATAAAAAAAATTCCAAACTGGGAAGGGAATGCAAAACGAGCGCAATCCGTGCCCGCGAGGCGCAAGTAATAGATAATGAGGCAAAGGAGAAATCTCCAGACTCAGAGGATAGAACGAAATTCCAACAGAATTCCATTTTAATTAGCTTTTATTGTTGTTTCGTACTTTATTCTCATCTCTTTACTGCTTCGTTTTGCACCTCTCCCCCTTATTATCGCTCATAAAACATAATTGTTTTTATTATTATACCTCGCTTTATTTGTAGTTTTTTTTTATTCTTCATCTTTTTCCCATGCTTACTTTCGGTTCACTAATCCTCAGCACCAGCCCACGTTTTGCAGTAAACAATATGAAACACAAAAAGGAGCTCCACACCTAAACACACACTGAAAATTGTTTACGGGACGGGGACATTAGAGCTAATTATAATTGGTAGCAATGATAGCGCAAGTAAGAAGAAATTTACAGTAGGGTGGTCGTTGAATCAAACTGAGAAAGCGCCTCATTAATGCACGATCTAAAATGCTATCGACAGCTTTTCTAAAAAAGGATGTGTAAGCAAAATATTTGTATATTTATAAACTGCAAAGAGATTTAGTCGAGTGATCTTTTTACGTATCCGAGTCTCTTGACATTTTGTAATTGAAATGAAACCTCAATTGCTTTGAAATTACCAACCACCACTGTTAAAAAAGCAGTATTAAGCCATAAAATAATAATAAAAAATAAAAAACATCAACCAACATAAACAAGAACACATCGGAAAGCCACTGACGACGAAATGGCGATAATAAAATTGAAAACAATTAAATGAAATTTACGCAGCTCTCGAGCGAAAGCGACGGAATTAAGGATCTATCAATGATTGTTTTAATTAATCGACCCAAAAAACGAATACACTAAAATATTTCACAATTAAAAAGAGAAGACAAGCGACCAATGAGAAGTACACAAAAATAAGTTAATTAAATTGGAATGCTTTACAGTAAGTACTGCTATATAAATATGTAGATCAAATATAATTTCAGACGTTTCTAGACTTCATCTAGACGTGAAGAAACTTCAATAAATAAATAAAACAAAATCAGTCATCAAAGATCAATTGCATCATTAAATTTGAACGAAATGGAGTATAAAGGATAATTTCTCAGTTATTCATTTGTCTGCATGAATGTATTTAAGTACATACACTACAATCAAGATGGAAAACAACTTCTTAATAATATATAAAATAAACTTATATACATATTATCTACAGATTTTGAAATGGGAATCGGAGCAAAGAAAAACAACCAACTGAGCTACAACGTACGTTCAGATCACTTGCTGGGTCTTGCTGTGATGAAAATAAAGTTATTCAACATTTCCAGAGAATTTGAAGAAAGAAAAAAGGGCGAAAAAAGGGACATCGATATCAAACGGTGGAAAAGACTCATTCAATGACCTTTTTTTCTTTTCTTCTCTCTGGCTATGAAGATGGATAGATGGATAGATACAAATTAATTTCATCCTCCACCTCCCAAATCAAATATTGTTTCTATCATCTGTTTGTGCCTCGTGTAGAAGTTTTTACATAATTCATCAACGTGAAGAGATGATTTTGACAATCTAGTAGGGTAATTATGGCTTTAATTCAATCGTTCATGCTGCGATTATATTTAGATGCTTACATAATTGCAAGGGCTTAATCAAGCACTCAATTCACTTTTTTGTTATTTTATTTGACTTACCTAAGCCAATGACATTTTGTCAACGTTGTATGACAACAAATTGCGTCATATTGATCCGCAAACCAAACTGTTAAGATGATGTAAAATGCTGTTGTTGTATCGTTGAAGAATTCAGACATTATTGCTTCCATGCCTAGCATCACGATTTTGGTTAAGATGAAAGGAAAAAAAATATAATTTAGTTAAAAAATAAACAAGATAAATGATTAGTTAAATTGAAAAGCGTGACTTGGGAACGATTCTATTTCTATCCATTTTCTTTAAAGTGTGACAAAAAGGTTGCGCCTTTAATTGACTTTAGTTCTTGGTAAACAAAGAAGTGAGAGGTGGAACAACACTTGAAAGATAATCAAGACAAATTAACAAGTTCTTTTCCGTCCTTGATTCCTTCATTTTGCGTGACAAAGAAGAGAATGAGTTTAATGTTACATGCCTTCAGGTGCCGCAAAGATATTTTAGCAATGAAAAATAATTAACACATGAGGGTGCTCGGTATAACTCTGCCTTCATTGAAATGAATCTTAAGATAGAATTACAACTCAACCTCTTTCAGTTGAACATGCTTCGCAAGTAAAATAATATCTACGACTTTATATGAAGCAAAAAAGAAAATACTAAAAGGATTTTCATCGTTTTATGTTTTAAGATGATAATGAAATATTTGAATGTGATTATTTATTTCAATTGCTTTTATTATGTATTATTTACACCTACGATAAGTTTGCAATTAAATAAAATTTACATTCTCGAAATTTAAAGAAGCAGAAACTAAATTCCTATACAAATACATAATTTTATTCCTTCTTTCCCTACTAGCATTGATCACTTTGCAAACATCACACAATTGTACATAAACAACACTTCACTTCATATGTAGGTATTTTATTTATGACCGACTTTTGTTACACATACTTTTGATGTCATTAAAATGAATAAATTATCACAACACTCAGTACCCGCATCCTTTTTCATTCCACGTGTTCTAGACATCACTTTTTCCCTTTTCTTCCGCCCACATACATATAAACAACTACCCAAGAAGAAAACAAGATGAAAGTTATAACCTCGAAGTCAAATGCCAGCGGGGATTGTTTGTGACTTTTGCTCCAGCAAGTGAAGAAGAAGAACATCATCTGTTATTTAAAGTCTTTTGGGAGATGAAGGATAAATTTTTCTTTTTATATCTGAGGTTTATTTTTGCTACTTTAGATAATTGATCAATCAAAACTATTTAAGGTGTGCAGGTATAAGACTGATTCTTTTTAAATTTTACAGCATAAAAACATTTTATTAGCACCGTCAATGCATGTGATAAAAAAACGTTAATTGCTAGATTTGTTTCAGTCACTTCAAAATATGAAATGAAGTTAGTTGAATAATGAAAGTATTTTTGTTTAAGTAAGACATAAATGAAATGACCTTATGATTAAAGATTTGCTAATAATTATAATTATAACAACACTTTATAAAATACATAATACGATTATGACAAATCACATCTGGAATATGAAATTTAATTCGCACTCTAGCATAATTTATGACTCGTTTATGTGAATGAATGTGGACCTTTCTACCAGTTGCACATACATATTTCTATAAAAGCCATGATTCATGTTATATGACTCTTTTTAATGTTCTATCTACTCGCGAGAATTCTTTTAGATGTAAAACTGTGACGAAATGGAAGATTTTTGATTGCATCATAAGCTTTTTGTTTCTCTTCTCCCTTATGATTTTTTTACTTGTCATGAAAAGCCAAAATATACTTATAGGGTGAAATTTAAAACTAAAACTACGTTTACATAGATTGATACCAACATTGACGCTTTAATGATGTGCTCTCGCACCATTTAAATCTTTTTTCTCCACACCGCTACAAAAATCGAAAAGGAGAAAAAAAACCACTGAAACACCCATCGCATGTCACTTTAATATTACTCATGTGGGACCGAAATTATAGATTTTTCCACATCCTAATAAAAAATGTAGCATATAATATGAAATGGTGTTACAACGGCTGATGGAGAAAAGAAAGACGAGATGTGAAAACTTTGGCCGTCACAAGTAAGAAAAAGAAGAAGAAATATCTAGAAAATAAATTTTATCGTTTTTCATGCCTCACTGGATATGAAGCGAACAAGTCAAGAAGAGAGAAAAGTGGAAAGAATCGTAGGCTACAAGTGCAAATAATTTTAAGAGGAAATATAATATCGGTCATCATCATGACGACCCATAGGAAATAAGGTAAAATCATTTTTCGTTCTCTAACCCCGCTTAAATACTCACCAACTAAAGCTAGGATGACCGTCAATAATGGAGCAATCGGAAACCGTACAGCCACATTGAATTCGAGCATTTGAAGCAGATCAACTGTAGAAAGAGAATTGTTTGTATAAGAAAGAAGAATTTCATCAATGTTCATCAATACTTTAAATTTCACTTCATTAAACAACTTATGCATATCTCGATAGTCTGTCTTTCCGATTCGAAATATGTACATTTAATTGCAATATGAGAAGCGTTAGAATACACAATAAAGTGGTCGAAATGCAATTAAACATCAATCATTGTCAGAAGAATATTTACTTTTCGACATAAAATCAAATAAACTTTAGAGAAAAAAAGGAAAGGAGATGTGATGATATGAGAAGAATAGCTTCATATCTCATACATGTCTCATTTTAAGTATGCATTATGTGTGCATATGAACAAACATACACCAGGGCTTGAAAGTGACATTAATTGAAGTTCTGGATATTTAACAATGCTTTTAAATTTAAATTTCTACTTCAAACCCTGACATACAACCTTCTGACAAGCCTTTTGTGACAAGATTTAAACATATTTAATTAAAATCTTTGAAACCAACCTATAAATACGAAGATCTGATGGTGCGAATATCGAAGAAGCATTGAAATTGAAATCGTCTGTGGATAGCGAAAAAAACTTATAAAAAATTTCTGAATATGAAAAGTTTTTAAAAGATAATCTTACGAAAAGTATCATTATGAAGAAAGACATGAGGTAGCTGCCTCTCTGCATCCACCACATTGAAACGAATCTATAATGTTCACCAGTAATTACATTACGCAAATAACCCTTGTTGTCTTCTTGTTCAGCTAAAACTTTAACACTAGCCATAAGTAAATCATCATAACCGAGAAATTCGTGTAAAATAAAACGACTAAAAGAGTCTCCAAAGCATTTATCAGTTTGAGGATCCAGTGTGACTACTTTAACAGGAATATTCAGCCTTTGTCTTGTTGCCGCTGACAATCGAAGAAATCCATATTCAAGTGAATCTAGTATAGAAAACGGATTTAATTCTGGGAATATCTCTGTAATTGAAAAATATTTATAATGTCAACGTTGATTCGACTATGGAACAGTTCTTTTCTTTCAAATCTTTTTAATTTTTGTCTGTTCCACCGAAGAACCTTTTAAAGTCAACATCCATTTTTCATTTAAGTTAATATTTAAATAATTACATTCGACGGCATATTGATCATCAGGAAAGACTGAAATAAAAAAAATTGTAGTCATAAGTTTTGCTGTCAAATTTTCGAATGATTTACCTGCATTCATCAGTTTTCCTACTTCAGGGATATTAGTCTTTAACACTTGTTCACTTTGCTGTTCATTTATCTTTGCAATACTCTCATTGGAGTAGCTCTCTCTAGTGTTCATCTCTGAATCTGTTATTGATATAGAGTCAATATTAAATGTCGTAGTTTCAACTTGAATTGTGCTGCTAACACTTTCAGAAATATCAATTTCAATTGTATCACTAGCGTTTACTTTGATATTTCTATAATCATCTGTTAATGTCATTTCGTTCGAATTCGTTTGATTTACTTCAGCATGTTCTGATTGTATTTTATCACTCTCGTATTGTTTATTATAAGTTGAATCATCGGAATTCTCTTCATGGGGCAGTGTCGTAGAAGGATCTATACTAATCATACCACCTTTATGGTTTATCCTCAATGTTGTCAACTCTTCTGACATATCTTCTGCACCTTCTTTTAAAGTAACTTTCACTTCTCCTGGTCGCAATATTTCAACACGTAATATTCCATCTTTAGGCCATCCCTCTGTTTTCAAATGTTCTAAACATGTTGCAGGTGTTTGTGAATAACTTATGTGAATATAAACTAGTATGAAGAATGCAGTGAGAGCTTTTGTAAGCATAATCATTTCAATCATTCGTCTTATTGTTGGCGGAACTGACTGGCTGTACCAAAGAGCTGACCTGAAGAAAAGCGCATGAAAAAGACGGTCTCGGATATTCACAAGTTGGTTCTGAAATGCATAGAATTCAAATTTGTTTCTTTATATTGCGTTTCATCATTTGAATTTGACTACATACAGGCTGCTGTTGATTTGCGTTGTTATTGTTAACATTCGCATTCACATTGTTAGCACGCGGCCTATTATTAACAATCGGCTCATTTGGTAAGTGATTATTTTCTGGATTAATTGCTTCGACTACTGGTTCTTCCATTATTGCGCTTGAATCTTTATCAGTTGTCTCGAATGTTTACTTAGATGTTTGTATTTTCTAAAAACAAAAAAAAAAGTTATCTGAAGTATACATATTGTTACAACGTTGACTTAAACGTTGAAAACTCAGTCTTGCATTATTTAAAATCTTATTTTGCATGACACTACTCTGGTCGTAGTAAATATTGTAATTTGCTCATTGAAAATTCACATTTTCTTTGCGTTTTAGCGAAAATGGTCAATTTAAAATTAAAATGAAAAAGTGTCGGAACTTATTTCGTGTGAATCAGCTAAGTACCAAATTCATTTACAATCATTCAAGATTACACTTCATTTGGTTTCTATTCTATTAATTCGATTAATGGTAGAATTGTAAATTAATCGATGACCAAAAAACCCAAATTTTTTTATTTTTGTAGAGTTTATGTAGTTTTCTTGTTTTTCCAAGGATTATTTTTGATTAACACTAATTACCTTTTGCGTATAGCACCTTATATCATTTTTTAAAATGAGTTGCAACTGCGAAATACAAGCTTTTTCAAGTTTTTGAGGCAATATTTTCAATTTTAACCAGATCAGAACTCGAATTTTTGTGGGCCTTGGAAATTTTTTTAAAAGGTTGTTTAAACTTACCCAATCTCAAGCACCGTACAAATGTTTCACCTTCAATTCAAATTAACCGCTAATACGTTGTATTAGGTATTTTAAATTTAAAAACAACTTTTAAGTTTATTTCATTACAAAGATATTTTAACGACACTCTTCAGAAAAGAATACATAATAACCGTTGATAAATATTAGGTATTTAAGAACTTTTATGAGTCACATTTTAAACTTGATTATTGAACGGCTAAATTTTTTTCAAATTATTTTGTAGATATCTGCCGCTGAGTCATCCGCTGAAGATTTTTCGACTTAAAGATTAAAAACATTCTTATTTATTAAAATACTAAGCAGCAATATTTACTACTCAAAAATTAAAAATGTTGGATCCTAAATTTCTATATCTTCCCTACATAGTAAGTATAAATATAAAAAGTTGTATTTATTGGCTTTTGTAATGTAAATTTCGATTTGAACAAAATAGGCTCAAGAAGAAAAAGATGTCTATGAAACTGAAGATATTCCACCAACAGAATCAGAATATTACGAAGAAGAAAACGAATCTGAATCGATTGAAAAAAGTGTATTAAACACTGAAGATGCCTATAACAAGTTTAAAGGAAAATACTTAATCGGGAATGTTGATTTTTCTGACAATATTGGGAAAGGCCGATTTAGTGTGAAAGGCTACAATGCAGTGTGAGAAATACATTTTAATTTAAAGGTGCATAATTGTATAGAGCCATTATTTTCGTTTTTTAGGTCTGGTGTTTGGGAAATAACTGGCAATGGTGAAAAAGAAAATCCAATACAAAAATGTCAACGATTACAATGCGAAATGAGTGAATTAATGGATGAAATTACTGCATTGCAGAACAGCAAAAATGTTTCAAAAGAAGAACGTGAAGTTTATGATGGTGTGTCAAAAGTAGTTGTGACAGCCAAAAAAGTTCTTGATAGTTTACGACTTGAGCAAGTGCTTGGAAAGGAAACAACCGTTTCATCTTCAGAAAAACAAGTAAAAAATTTAATCTCCCAGGTTGAAGAATATAAAAAAGGTGTGCCAGTGACTGCAGCTGAATTGATGAAACTTAATTCTCAAACTGAACTTTCATTTACAACAAGAATTGCTGAATTAGAGCACAAATTACATCATTTGGAGCAAACTCTTGGAGCTAAAACTGATAAGATTTCTCGTTTAAATAGTTCTTTAGGGACGAAGAATCTCCTAGAAGCTGTTCAACAGCTCTCAACAAAATCAGCATTGTTGCAACCAAATCAGCTCGATGTGATTGAACAACGATTGACTAATTTGGCAACTAAAATGGATCAATTCAATGATAAAGCAAGTGGAACGGCTGGTTCTGATCCTGTTCGAGATCAAAAAATTGTTGAACTTTATGAATTGGCAAAATCAAGTGAGCCTGTAACAAAAGTTCTCCCTGATATATTAGAACGAATGAAAACTTTAGAAACTCTGCATTCTTATGGTATGTAAATATTTATTAGTGATTTAATTATTTGAAAGCGTCTGACTGCTTATATTAATATCGATTTTTACTTCAATAGCCGCAAATTTCAGTAAACTATTTGCTGAACTTGAAGAAACACAAATGATCATTCTGAAAGGCATTGCAAGCAACAAGGAGCTACTTCAAGGTGTTCAAAAGGCATTTGTTGAGAATAACGAAAACGTTACAAAAGAAATTCAAAAGCTTGATGTTCGTATCAATACAATTACCAAAAAATAAATGAAAAATATTATTTTGGTTAAATTGCTATCGCTGCTTGAAATTTCAAACATTAATTGTCTAATAAATATCTAACAATAAAAGCATTTCAATAATGAAATTTTGCTTAAAGCATCTGTAACTCAAAGTTGATTTTTTTAATTGTACTCTTAACTGAAATATCTCACAACCAAATCTTTTTATAAATAAACCAATTTTTGGAAGACGGAAATTTAAATATACTTTAAAATAAATAAAAGGAGAACATAACTAATGTTTTTAATCTTACAGTAGACTATTGAATTAAGATTCAGTGAACTGAATTGAATCGTTACGGGTTGAATTTTCAAAATTCAATTTTGAACTGAAATCAGAACAAGTTCAAAAAATGGAAGGTTACATTATTTTCAAATAAGCCCACATTGTCAACCTGTGCATTCTATCTGCGAAAATGTTTGTTCGTCTTATTTTAGTTTTGTTTTCAATCAATTTCATCTTTTGTGCTCAACTCGAGTTATCAAATGATGATACTGTCATAGAAGCTATTAGAGAAAACAAAAATATTATTGTGCTATTTAGTAAGTATAAAAATGAATTTAGATGACGCCGGCAAAGTGATAAACAATTTTATTAATGTTTCAGCTAGGAAATGTAGTCCTTGTAGATATGAGCAAAGTTTAGCTTCTATTCGTGATGAATTTAAATCATCTTTTGATGGAAATATTCTAAGACTGGATTCATCGCAATTACAGCGAGTTTATGATATGCAAAGGAAAGACTCCTCTTTAGTCTTCGTCAGAAAAGGTGTTGGCTTACTATATGAAGGAGATGACTCAGCGGATGACATCTATGATTATATTAGTGAACATCGGGAACCAATTGTTAAAGAACTTGATGATAGAAATTTCGAGCATCTGACACAAGCTTCGACAGGTTCAACAACAGGCGATTGGCTGATTCAGTTTTATGATAACCAATGCATCGACTGTAGCCGTCTCTCAGCAATTTGGGAGACTGTCGGCGCAAAATTAAAATCTCGTATGAATGTTGCTCGCGTGAACCGAGGAACGATAGGAGCTATAACTGCAAAGCGATTCAAGATTACCAACGCTCCAGAGTTTATCCTTTTGCGTCCAGGAAAATTCTATCGCTATAACCTGAGAAACTATGAAATTGAATCTTTTGTGAACTTTGCAACTACTTGGTATAATCGATTAACACCTGAAAAAGTGAAACCATTAGCCACACCTTTTGAAAAACTCGTCAATCTTGTCGTGGATCAGTTGAAAAACTTACCGAAATTTGATGATTTCTTTGCAGAGAGTAGTTCTTTAATTATATTTATACCTGGTTGTCTTTTATTATTGTTTGCATTATTTTTCATTCTCAAAAATCGAGGAACTAAAAATGTATCATCCAAAACAACGAATAGTAAGCAGAAAGAAGTTTCAACAAAAAAAGCTGCAAAGAAAGATTAATAAAAAGTTCATTTCCAATTAAACATTCTATTTCTTTACGTTTATTTCAAACTTAAGATGGATAAACTAAGATAAAATCTATTAACAAATATTTAGTGTTTCAGAAATTTGCTTGTCGTTAATAATAATTATAAAATGTACTAAAATGATTTCCTTTACATAAACATTAACTAGCACAGATTTGGCCATCAAATTAATCAGTGCAATTTATTTTAAACATTTATTTTATCATTTAAGAATAGATAGAGAAAAATCTTCTAGAAACTTACATTCTGTTGTTAGGCATTTAGGAATTTTTTATGTATAAAATTACGACACAAAAGGAAAATTTTATTTATTTTTCTTGTTCTGATTCGATTCTTGTAACATAAAAGTTTCTCTATTTATTGAATTCTGATGAATCTTTCACTAAATTTAAAAGCATTTTAGTTAAGGGATCAGAGACTTCACGGGAAGTTCGACGTTTTTTAACTATTTTCATTCCATCAATTTTTGCAACTGAGTTGCGTTTTTTTGTGGCTTTCTTCTTAACTTCAATTTCCTTTGTTGGTTTCTCTCCAATCAGACCAGAACATTTAGTTGAGCCACATAAGCAATTATCCTTCTTGTTACCGACAAATTCCATTTGATAATCGAATGTTAATTCAGTTCCCTAAATTAAACGAAAAAAGAAATTAAATAAAATGTTGATAATAAACATCGATGAGAATTAACTTACAGCTTTGATTGTTTCTTTACTGAAAATTCCTATTCTTGTATTTCCATCAACGGTAATTTTCTTGGTAATGCAATTTGGTTCACAAGAATGATTAATGAAACGTGACAAATTTCCTGAAGGTCCAGCATCAACATACAAATCAGCTTCAATTGTAAGAAAGTAAAATTCTTTTTCCTTTGCCTTAATTTTTTCAATCATTCGACGGTTCATTTCGTTTGTATCAATGAGCTCACCAACATATTCGATGATAAAAGCATCTTCAGGAATGTCTTTTAAAGTGATTGCTCCGAATCCGCGATTTTGTGTTTTAATTATTTTCAGTTCAGCATAACTTTTGTTACGCAACTTCTGGTTTTGACAAGCACTTTTTGCAGGGCACGCTCCTTTATTGCACTCAACATTCAGATGCATGTTTAAGCAATTACTTGATCTTCCACAAGGGTCCTGGTCAGTTTCACGACAGGAACATGGACCGTGATTGTCAGCTTCGTCAAGCTTCTTCAGTTTGACCGGTGGGATTGGCTTATTTTGCGAGATTTTATTGTAAGGCTTGGGCTTCGAGTCCATCTGAGGATATCCCGTTTCAAGGATTTTTGTCATTTCTTGTGCCTCTTGAATTGCAGCATTGAAAGCATTGTCGAGACGAGAACTTCCTCCTTTCGGATAAGGATTCATGCCATCATAAGGGAAAACCTTTTCACAAGTAAACCAATAGTAGTCGTAACTTCCAAAAAATCTAACACAAAATTCTCTTTCACTTCGTTGACATTTCATTATTTGTTCAGGAAGGATAAATGCAGGCATAACGAGTCCAGGCCACCATCGATAATTCCCAACTCGAGCCCAAACGATGGTGTTGTACAAAGGTAATCGACCTTCCTGACATTCAGTACAAATATATTTCTCATCCGGATCAGACTCCACATAATTAATGCATTCGATATGAAAAGCTGATGGACAAGAATCACAACAAATCACTTTCCCGTTTTCCATACATATGCTGCACCAGTCAATGTTTATGATATTCAACCTATTTTGTTTATCCTTTTGCCCTTTTACCATTTCTTTATCGTTTGGATGTCTTGGACAAATTATTTGTGTTTTCGAAAGGATTTTTGTGCCAGCTGGAACACACGAAACTTGCATGTGATATGCACTTGGACACTTTACACACTTTAACAGTTTATTTCCTGTGTTGTGGATCTCTTTTGAGAAGCATGTGTGGCATGTATGTTGAGGACAATTTTTAACACTTGCTCGTCCCATTTTACTTTGTGGCCAAAGCTTGAGACAGTTTTTGTGGAATGATAAGCGACATTCGATGTTGGAACATATCTGAGTGACAGCTTCATCATCTAATTCAACAGGAATATTACAAATCGAACAATTTTTTACACCTTCAAAACAATTTTCGCATTGAAGAAAAGATTTCAAGGTTTTTGTTTGAATGATTTCATCTGAGTCGCCAGTTTGATGGCGAATTTCTTCAAACTTTTCTTCAAAACTTCCACAACATGACTGATGGTACCATCCACTACATTTTACTGTTCCTTTTCCTGTGCAACGATATGTTGGCTCATTATTTGTTGTGAAGCACTTCATGCAAATTCGTTTTTTTGTGAGATTACGGAAAAGATTTTCATGAATTGTTTGCACATCAATTAAAAAACGCTCTTCAAGAGTTTCTTCTTTACTTAATCTTTCTCTTTTTGGCTTTTTCTCAGGCGTCGGTGATTTTGTGTCTTGTCGTAGATCCATAAAATCATCTTCAAAATCGTTAAATTTTCGCTTTTTTACAACTCGGTTTGATCTACGTCGATTCGCTTTTTCATCTGATGTTTCTGCTTTTATCTCTTTAAACGATGTTGAAGTTGCAGATTTTCTTTCTTTCACTGATGAAACGTCTTGGAATGAATTAAATTGACTCATTTTAAGGAAATATCTTTCAATTGGATCAGTTGTATTCAATATTTCACTTTTAGGGCTTGAAGGAAATGAAGGCGCAGTACAGCCCAAAGCACTATCAACACTTTTCCGATCCGATGCCCTTTCAATCACCACAGATTTGTTCGTCAACTTCTGCTTGTCTTGATGGATGAGAATGTTTTCGAAAATTTGAACACGATCAGCAATCGGATATTGCATGAAAAAGTTTGCTTCTTCCATTGCTTTATAGCATGTCTTCGAAAAAGGTTTAACTTTGGATTTTTTGATATTCATTTTTGTTATTTGTTCATAAAAGTCATGAACGTCTTTATACTCGAACACATTCTTTATAGAAAGGTAAGCAGTGAAGCCATTGTAATTGAAATATTTGACGTGAACTTGTTTGTCACCTGAATTAAAGAGAAAGTTTAAAGACTGAAGAATGATTTAATTAATTTCTTATTTACCAACTAATACGTTGCCACTATCGTCCATTGGATAAGCCATACAAGGAAACCACGACAACTTAGTGAAGCTTCCCCATAGGATTCTGCCTGGAATCAACAATTCACCCTCGCTTACTTTTATTTCATTATTGTTTTCATGAGAGGTTGCAGACCCCAAAGCACTGTCAGTATCCGAATAATCTTGTTTACTCTTTTCATCATCCGAGTGGTTCTCTTTTGATGCTCCATATAAAATACAATCTTCAGATAAATCTTCTTGTTTAATGATAAGTTCCTTTTCCGATGTGTCTTGTTCTGCTTTATTCGATTCTTGATTTGAGATATCGTCAGCACTTACTTTTTCATCTATTTCAATGTTTTTAAAGCAAATATTTTCGATGTTTGTAGAAACTTCATTTTCTTTATCTTCTGGCAAAGAAATTTTCTCTTTACTTTTGTTCTCTTCAATAGCAACTTCAACATTGTCTCCTTTTGTTCTCTGTCGTTTCGGTGAACTTTTTGGGATAAATTTAGCGACTTCCGTAGGTATACTGTTCATATCAAGAATTGTTTGCTTTTGAGGTCTTCCAAAGCGAGAAATTCTTTCACCACTCAAAGCCTTTGTGGGACTTGAGAATTCACTTATTTCCATTCTAATCGCCTAAATATTTGGTATTGGACTGAAAATAAAACAATTAATTATATTACGTTTTTTTTTTATGATTTGTTACAAAGCGTAACTCTAAAAACATAACCTCACTTTTGTTCTTGAAGTAATTTCATTTTTTACTAATTTATTCACAGTTTGGAAATGTAAGACTTCTGTTTTATAATATTAATTATATTACATTAGCTATTACTTACTTGACTGTATCAACCTTCTGAAAAATCTTATTAGTTTTGGCGCCAATCTGCGCTTATTTTCAGCAAGTTTTGACTTTCCGAATTAGTTTTCAAGAATTTGTTTTAACGATTATAACATTCTTTTTTCTATGCTTCAAGTGATTTAACTTAAACTCTTAACAAAATAGACTTTTAGGTACAGCAGAAGATTAGACTTTCTGGTTGAAAATATTAAATTTATTTCATAACTTTTGCAAAAATATATTTTTTAAGCGTTCTTCTTATTAGATGCAAATTAGGCGAATTGACAACTGTCTCGGCCTAAATAAGTGCACACAACTACCTAATTCAAACATTTTCCTTCTTCTTACTATCTCCATCTCTTTTCATCCTTTCATTACATATTTAAAATTGCAACAGAACTTAGCTAGAATAATTTTTACTTTCATCCAAAATTGAAGAAAAGCAGCAATAAGAATTATGCAGGATTACGAAGAAGAGCGTTATTTTGACGAAGAAGAACGAGCCAATTTCATTAAAGTAATTTCAAGTTTTAAATTCTACAGGTACCTAAATAAGTTCAATTTATAACATTTTTCAACACACTTTTTGTATAACTTTTCAGACGAAATTGCTTTTCCCGCATAGACCAGCGAATCTGTTATTTATCGACTCTCAATCAAAGACAACAAAAACTTCTTGAAAAGTATAGAAAATATTTGAATTCAATTAAGGAATGTGTCGAAGCCAATAACAGAGTGATTGAGAAGATGATCTCAAATGTTGATAGTCTATTCATAAACTCAAAAAGTAATATAGAACCACAAGAGATTATTCATGTACAGGATCCGGACTCTGATAAAGTACATATCACAATTAAGCAAATTGTACGTGACTGGACAGATTTAGGAGCTGAAGAAAGAGAACATTGTTATAAGCCCATCATTGACGAAATTGTTAATCATTTTGATGCTTCAAACATGAAGAAAAATCAATTTAAAATTGTAAGTTTTCCTTAATGCAACAAAACTTTTCTAAACAAAAAATAATTTCCAGCTGGTTCCTGGAGCAGGTCTTGGACGTTTGGTTTATGAAATATCATTACGTGGATTCTTTTGTGAAGGAAATGAGTTTTCCTTGTTTATGCTGATTGCCTCTAATTTCATACTGAATCGCTGTTTGATGGACAATCAGTTTGAAATTTATCCATTTTGTCATCAATTTGTGAATAATTTGAAGAGAGAAGACTCATTGGTAGCTTGTCGATTTCCCGATATGAGTGCCTTCCAGAACCCACCCAAAGGTGAAATGAATATGATTGCTGGTGATTTTGTTCAAGTTTATGGTGATCCATCGCAAGAAAACTCATGGGACTGCATTTGCTGCTGTTTTTTCATCGACTGTGCTAATAATATTGTAGAATTCCTTGAAATCATTTATAAATTACTTCGAACTGGAGGTATTTTCATTAATTACGGACCTTTACTTTATCACTACTGCGACGTACCGAACGAGTTCAGTATTGAGCCAAGCTATGAAGATTTGCGAGAAATTATCGAGAAAATTGGCTTCAAATTTCTTAAAGAAAATAAAAAAGTGAAGTCAAAATATTCACAAAATCCATCATCAATGGCTCAACTTGAATATAATTCAGTATTCTTCGTTGTACAAAAGCAATCAGCACCTGAAACTACTGATGACGAGCAAAACGGAAATGAAATTAAGAATTAATAAACAACTTAACTTTTATTTTCTTATAATGTTTAATTTCTTTTAAAATGACAGTAAATTTTCAATAAAAATGCCAAAAATTAATTTTATAACGTTTATTCGAAATGTTTTTATGTATAAATGTATTTTCACTACGAAGGACGACTCCCCCATTTTAGGATTATTTTTTTCAAAATGAATAATTATTTAAGTACCTAATTAATAATATATTAATATGATAATATTCAAGTTGATCCATCAAGTTAAGCCCTTCTAAAATCTGTCGCATACTGAAATATTTGTAAATGTAGGCACTAGAAGGTTGTTAATTCTAATTGTGAATGTACAAATATTTAATTAGTTTCATAAATATAAATGAAATTTATAATTTGGAAACATTAAACCACATTTTATTAGATATTACTCGTGGTTATCGAAAATTTCAACCAGTTCCGAACCCTGTTTTTAAAACTTGTAGAACAAAACTCATTGTCATTCGATCGTTATCGCACTTGTTATCAGTTTCAACTTTAAACTGTTTATTTGTTTCCTCTATCATTATTAACGATCGTTCTTTCATTTGTAGTGCAGTGGATAACATTTACTCAGTCTTTATCTCCAACACGTAACTGAAAGACGTGTTTTAATGAAATAAAGGTAAATGATAATTGGTAATATTAAATCAAAGAAGTTTAAATTATTAATTGATTGATAGATTCATTTATGGGAATTTCTACTGATATGGTGAACAGTAGTAGAAACCTCAGAATTGGTGTCAATAAACGTCGAATGTGTTTTTGGGATTCAAGTTCATCTTAACCTCACCACATTTATTTTCTCTATTTAATTGTATACAAGAATTTTAAAAAAGGCAAATAATTTTAAATTTCATTTGAATGTTCTGTTCAAAAATGATTTGAATTTTCAGGTGTTTCTGCACTTCAATAAATTTTCTCGAGAAATTGAATTATTTTTGATTTCTCATATCTATAGTTCCAGTTAAAACAAGTTCTGAAAATAATACTACTACAGGTAAGCAGTTAAAAACTTTAATTTTAGATGATATTCTAATAGTTTATTACTCTCTTACTTACTCTTAGAATATTCGTCATTATCATAAAATTTTGACTATGTTGGCGGAAAATTGTGGTTTCGATGGACCAACCACGGGCGATGGAAATTTCGGCGAGACGTTCACATCTGAGGCCGCGACGGAAACAATCAAGTGTTATTCGACTGAAGAATTTTTATTGAGATATACCTAAGCAGAAGGGATGATGATAGAACATTTTTAATTTAATTTTAAGAATATATATGTGAATTTTGACTGGTTGTGATTTTGAGGGAAAAGTTTTATATTTGGCTTTCAGTCAGGTATTATTATTTGTGCTTTTATTATTTGGGCTACGTTTCGATGACTATTTTGCCATTCTCATCAGGCTTCTACAATAATAATTAAAAACATCAAATGAAGTGTGAACAAATATAATTTAAGAATATAATTTCCTCAGTGTCACAACTTTAACAAAATATGGTATAGCAGCTATTATAACGCTGTAAAATTTAAAATAGATACTTAAATCAAAGAGATAACATCTCCAGAGTAATCAATTGTACCTTCACATATCTAGTCGGAAAGAATTTCTATATTCATCATCATCAGGACAATCAACGAGTAATACAATAAAATAAGATTAAAATAAAAAAATATGAAGACAGTTCATCAGAAGTTCCAACAACATGTTACTTAACTGACAATACCCCTGAAGACAGTTTGTTCCGTGTAAGAACTTGAAAGGAAACTCTCTTTCCAACTTGCTGGTTCAATAAAAAATATGCTTGATGAAATCCCTTTTGCTGAAAAATACCTACATGAAAATAAAAGTAATTAATTAACATTTGACATGAAGAGCAATTAATGCAATAAAATTACCACTCTCGGTCTTTTTGGGGATTGAATAAGAATCAATCAACTTATAATATGATGCGTGATGAATTTGATTTAAATCTGTTGAATATGTTTTGTCTTAATTAAATGTGATTTTTAAAGGTTTTCAATTGTTTTACCTTGGGAGTCTTTTGTAAAAATTAAACGTCATATTTTTAGCTGTAATTGACTCTCTTGAATGTGCATTTTGACTAATTGATAAATGTTTTAAATGTTAAGTTATGTAGATGCTTATGTTAAAAAAGTGTATGAGTTAAAACGTTATTATTTGTTAATTAACAGTAATAAATATTGAAATCATGATGAAAACAAAACAAATGGTGTTAGTCACGTCAAGTGTAAATTTATTTCAACATTTTTATTTTGAATGTATCCATTGGGTACGCATTATAGAAAAAAAATAATAAACATTTGAAGTTTTTAGGTGTTGTATCCAAACGAAAAACAAAAATGATTAAGCTGGTTTTTTAAAATAAGAAAATATTAATCGATTTGCGTGTTCAATCATTGAATTTTGCCGTTTAACTCTTCCGAATCATCAACATTATCACTAGTATTTGTAAATAAGCGTGAATATATTTATTACCTATTTGGTTTGTGGCCTCAAGAAATAAGTTTAATGATCCCATCATTTATTTAATACTGATGCTTAGTTTCTTTATACGTCTTTGATTTGTCTGTTGGTTTCAAAAATTTTTTTTTGAGTGGATGCTTTGGATGGTTGAAAAAACTCATCTATAACAAGTTCTTCTTTTTCAAGTTCCTTTAGTATTCCTTTATCACCGGCGCCATATAATACGTAACATGAATTATGTTTCATGATCACTGATTTGATCTTTCTGAAGAAAACTTAGTAAGCTTTTAATGTAAAATTTTAATATTAAAAAAATATTAAGAATATTGACAAACTTAAATAAACATAAAACCAAATCAATTCATTAAGAAAACATCATTTATGAAATCATATACAAAGTATGTAGAAGACAAAGATTTGCTGCAACTCATGGGCAAAGCCTGTCAATGTAGCATAATTGCTAAAATAATAAGCAATGATTTTTTTTCTTATAATGTTTATTTCTTTAAAATGACAGTAAAGCTTTCAATAAAAATGCCAAAAACTATTTTACAACGATTATTCAAAATGTTTTTATGCCACGATGACTTCTTCTGTGCTTGAAGGTTCAGGAATTACATCGTCTTCCTGAGTAGTTTTCTCACTTTCATTGACAATGCAATCATTGGGCAACTCACTGGTCGTGATGTCCATTTCAATATCTAAATACTCTTTTTTAATATTAACTTTAGATGTATCACTCTCCTCTTCTTCTGTCTCAGATTCATATTTTCGTTTCATGTAAGATTTGGGTATTGGAAATGACGTATGTAGAACACAAGCTGAATCTTCAAAGATATTCACAACTGGATCTTGGCAGACAATTCCTGACTTTTCAATGCTGCAAGCTTTAAAAAGAATTTGTTTTTTATCTTCTAAAATATGCTTGCGACAATATTTACAACAAGGAATCGATCGCTCATTACATTTAACACCGCCTTCAATATAAGTACATTTTGGGATGTTTTTCTGTAATACAAGTGTTGGAGCAGCCATTGAAATTGTTTCATTTTGTTTCTGACGCTTCTCGAGATATTGACGATGAAGAATCGCCTCAACACCATATCTTCGATGATAATGATTCATTGCTTTCAAATTTTGATAGAGTTTGCGCTCCTTTGGAGAATCTTTTATCTGGTCATGTATGCTTGAGAGAGTTTCCTTTTCTTTTTTAAGATCATGAAGATGTTGACGTCGTTTTTCTCTTAATACATACTGCAATCTTTGAAACTGATCTATGTACAATGATTGAAGACTTTGCATTTTTTCTTTTGAAATTGCCACAACTTCATCTACAGTATAAACTCCAGCATGTTTCAAAACATCATCTGATGAATCTACACTTTCATCATCAGAATTGTCTAGCTCATGAGAGCGCCATGTATTGAACAACGTTGTAGGCGGATCTTCATCCGATGAACTGTCTGATGCAAAATCAAGAATATTTTTTCCACGATTGAGTATCTCACTCGCATTGATATCAAAGAACGGATCAACTGTTGGTGTAACAACATCAATTTCTTCGTCCTCATCAAAAGGCGTAATCTTTGTTGTACTTTGAGGTTTGATTTTATCGATCTTCACATGATGAGTGAGACTATGAACGAGCGTTTCAGTTGAATCCATGTGTTTAAATGTTCCAATTAAAGATTTTGTTTTATTTATTTGATTTAATCTCGTATGCTCGATACAAAATGTTGAAAAACTATAACAAAAAATGGATTTATAATTAATAAATGAATTGTTTTTCATGTTTGTCAACTTACTTTGGATCTGTTCGTTCTTCCACAAGCTTTGCTTGAGTGCATTGTTTTCCATTCGAATAGATGTAAGAACATTGTTTATATTTTGTTGTAGGAGCTTGAAGTATATGTTTAATGCAATGCTTATGACCCTCCTCAACTGGAAGTGAGCATTCATAGCTTTTGTTTTGACATTTGAAATCAAAAACTTCAACAATTTGATCCATCTCCACTGGTTTTGTCTTTTGAATTTTTACAACTGTTATTGGTCTATTCATTGTTCTTGAAATTCAATTTAAGTTTAAGTTTATTTTATTTTGTTTACACTTATAACTTTAACGCGAAATCAATTTTTCCCGAAGTATGATGCGGAATATGTTGGAGCGAAATGAAGAGTGTTTTTAAAGTAGTTCCATATACTAGCGCATAATGCGGCGAATTCAAACAAAAGATCGTTGAAAGCAGTTGAAATTCAAATTTGCTTTAGTAACAGAAAAACTTTTCATTTTTTAATCAAATAATCTTATAAAGAAAGAAAATGAATTCATCAGGAGATTCTATGCAAAAGCCTCCGGCAAAAACTAATCAAAACATTCAAGTTTACGTGCGAATCAGGTAAATATGACATTATAGTTTCGAATGGAAAAACTTTATTGTTTAAATATTTTCTTTAGGCCAACTAACGCTCGCGAAAAATTAATCAGATCAAATGAAGTTGTAGAAGTTCAAGGACCAAGAGATGTGATCGCAAAACAAATGCTTGATTCACGAACTACAAAAAGATTCTCATTCGATCGGGCATTTGGGATGGATTCTCAACAGGTAAACATTTAAATGCTGAGGTAACCCAAAATGAAAACTTACAGATTCTCGTCTCTTTCTTCAATAGCATGAAGTTTATGCGGCTGTTGTTTCGCCTATGATAGATGAAGTGTTATCCGGTTATAATTGCACAGTATTTGCTTATGGGTAAGATAATCTCATACATAAATTTTAAACCATTTCATTACAAACTTTCCATAATTAGTCAAACAGGAACAGGAAAGACGTATACCATGGTTGGAGAAGAGCAACCCACCCTAACATCAACACAAGAGGATGCATCAAATGTTGGAATCATTCCTCGAGCTTTAAATCACCTTTTTGACGAGCTCCGTTTAATGGAAGTTGAATTTGCAATGAGAGTTTCATATTTGGAGCTTTATAATGAAGAACTTTGTGATTTGCTCTCATCAGATGACTCTGCGAAAATAAGAATTTACGACGACGTTAGTAAAAAAGGCTCAGTTATAGTTCAAGGCCTTGAAGAAATTCCAGTTCGGTGTAAAAGCGACGTTTATCGACTGCTTGCTAAAGGACAAGAGCGAAGGAAAACTGCTGCAACTTTGATGAATGCGCAAAGCTCACGATCGCACACGGTGTTCTCTATACTCGTTCACATCAAAGAAAATGGGAATGACGGTGAAGAAATGTTGAAAATTGGAAAACTCAATTTGGTAGACTTAGCTGGAAGCGAAAATATATCAAAAGCTGGAAATGAAAAAGGCATTCGTACTCGTGAATCGGTGAACATAAATCAATCTCTTTTGACACTTGGCCGAGTTATCACAGCACTTGTCGAAAGAACTCCACACATTCCATATCGGGAATCAAAATTAACTCGTTTGTTGCAAGAAAGTCTTGGTGGTCGTACAAAAACTTCTATCATTGCAACAGTGTCGCCAGGTCATAAGGATTTGGAAGAAACGTTGAGCACACTCGACTATGCTCATCGTGCTAAGAATATTCAAAACAAACCGGAAATTAATCAACGATTAACCAAGAAAGTTGTGCTTAAAGAGTACACTGAAGAGATTGATCGACTTAAACGTGATCTCAATGCAGCTCGTGAGAAAAATGGAATTTACTTGGCGTCAGATACATACAATGACATGCTTTATAAAATGGAAACGCAACAAAAGGAGTTGAACGAGAAGATTCATTTATTTAAAAATCTTAAGGAAGAATTGCAAGACAAGAATCGAAAGTTTGATGAGTGTCAGAGAAACTTGGATGAGATTTCCACACATCTTCTCGTTGAGCAAGGAAAAGCAAGAATAACCGAAGCTGAATTATCAAAAACAAGAAGAAATTTACGCAAAACTGAACGCCGATATGAGGAAACAAAGCATATTGTTGAATGTCAAGAGAAAACTGAAAATCTTCTTGCTGATCATGCAAAACAATTAATAAAAGTCGTAGAAGAAGCTTCTGTAGATTCGCATTCCTTAATTGACTCGATTGACCGTCGTAAAGTGGTTGAAGAGAATGCTTTATCTGTCACCGATTTGTTGATGAGAAATCTTTCAAACAATATTTTGGAAATGCGACATGATATGGAAGAATTGAAAAAGAAGCACACAGAAAGCACAAATTACATTATAAATGATTTAAATGTTAATACAAAAGAGAAATCACAATTTATGTCTTACTTAAAAGTGAACTTAGAAGAGATTAAAACTTTACGGAACGAGACTAACGAAACTATCAACAAGGTAATCAACGATTGGAAATCAAAAGCCGATGAGAATATTCAGTCTAACTCTGCTTTGATTCATGCATCCATTAGAGAAATGGAAAAACAACAGAATGCGTTCAAAATAAATATTAACGAAAAAATTCATTCAATCGAGGAAATAGTGATGAAAGAAAAGGTTGACAATGAAATGATGCAGAGTCAACTTCTTCAAAAGATTAATGAGCAAAATGCTGAAATTGACAACTTTTGTGTTAATTTAAGAATGAAGATTATTGAACATTGCAAGGATTTTTCAAATCTTTCCACTCAATTAAAGAGCAAAACCAATTTACAGAAAGTTAAGATTTTAGAGATTCAGAAACTTTTAAAGGATGTTGAAGAAATTTCTAATGAACTTGATCCAATCCAAAACGATATGAAGAATCTTAATGATGGATTAAAATTTTTAGAAGAAACTGATATCAAAAGTTTCAGTGAAAAGAACTCTTTAATTCTGGGTGAAAAAATTGGACATTTAAAGAATATTGAAGATTCAAATAATGAAATATATGAAAAAATGATGCAGCATGTGAAAAATACTTCTGAACTCATAAAGGAAGACGACGAAAATGTTAAAGATTGGTTGAAACGACAAACTGAAGTTACAACATCAACAGAAAATGATCAAAAGAGTGAATTGATGGTTTTAGAATCTAATGTGAGCAAACAATTGGAGGAATCTGAAACTATTGATCAACAAAAATTAAAGATTATTAATGACTTGATACAAAATGAAAAATCTCGCTTCACGGTAAACACTCAAGAAGTAAAATCACTCGTGCAACAGACTCTCGTTGGTATTGTGCAAAAAGCTCAAAATGACGTTTTTTCGAAACTTTCAAACTGTTCCATTGAAATCTTGCAATTTCAAGAAGAAGATGTGCTGAAATATAGACCAACTGGGGAAACTCCAATGAGAAAAGATTATAAATTTAAAAAAGATTTGGTTGCCACTTCTCCACATGATCGAATTATTAAACGCTATCGAATTGCTAAAAACTTGTCAGATTCACAACTCGATGCTTCAATAGCAGAGGTAAAAAGTATTTCTTTAATACACAAATTCATTTGACTAATTATTTTTTTTATTTAATAAAGATTGGAACAAACGAAGACTCTATGATAAACTCAACCCCGCTTCGCATTCAAAACAGTACTGCTGAATTTGAAAATATCAGAGAACTTAAGGACCTAGAAATCTCGAAAGTATCTAAAGATGAAAAGGAAAATCAAGTTCAATCCATGACCGAATAGTTTTGCTATAACTTTGTTCTAACATTTAATTTACTTTATTAATTTTTCAGCTTTGAGGATTTGCATTTTCAACACAATTATCTATGATTTTATAAAATTTAATTTACTTCTTATTAAAATAAATAAATAATCAAACACACGTTAGATATTTATGCGATAGTTTCTTTCATTATTGTCTTGTATTTCTGAGTTCATTGATAAGAACAACAAAACTTAAGTTTTTCTAACGACATTAATGAAATTTAAACAAAGGGGTATTTTTCTCGAACCGGCTCGGGCGAATTGAGAATAGGGGCATGAAAGTATGTTTTAGTGAATTTGCTATAGATTCGCTCTTGTATCAGAAATATTTATTTTCATTTCTAATTTGCAGTAATTAAACGATACTTGAAGCAATGAGTGATTCAAGATGGTACTTCACAGAAGAACAACTAAACAATTCACCCAGTCGAAAATGCGGAATAAACGCAGAACAAGAACTATCATACAGACAACGAGCAGCAAATCTAATACAAGAAATGGGCCAAAGATTACAAGTGTATGTTTGAAATTTTAGAAAAGTAACGCAGTGTTTACTCTAATCATGTTTCTGATATAATGTTTGCGTTTAAAACCAAGACATCATCGTGATATACCTTAATCTGACGCTTATTATAGTTCCCAATGCAGTATACATTATTATGTGTATATTTATTTCATGAATACCTAACTTTCTTAAAAATATGTTAAGAGAACAATCTTCGTAATTAAAACTATCTTTAAAACTATGAGCTCATGAAAAAGAATAAGTTATATGAGAAAAACTTACATAATCTGTGATATGGAAGATTTTAAAAATTAAAATAATGTGTAGATGAATCACAGATCGCCATATTGAAATTATGAGCATTTTCACCATACTTAGATTTTTTTTCATCAGTGAAATCTTATTGAGACAATAATAAGACAAAAACTTTGCCTATATTTGTTATCAATGTTTTTATTCAGCAATACTCATAAAAATGATGTTTGTTAATATTTTTTTAGATCTCAGCTGTGTATTAATACGGCAATTGTTTACATGCATAGATTTTATGCTTTTCACTCGTTTACGCTATTTCATCGAAACAGCATAGCAGCAGCGGCTTTCTTCCTGGCAGCAAAGGTATAGAAATATTGAAATTACTCGTTTCCAATAGTATTTTTATGTTTTATGTTTGATTGCCATTCTAGGTTGAGGAACAACCGCGAAAATTAGAACATGTGATAAAAATCCTGAATATTTGCCTGGAAAAGAATGAAAACACACGTGAAAATTATGCTGAACAGGCTCAGGAATTAGTCTTTAATGAAAATGTTTTACTACAAACACTTGGTTTCGATGTGGCGATTGATCATCCGTAAGAAGCAAAATAAGCAATGAAAGAAATTTAAAATGTTAACTCCTCTCCTTTTATTTCAGTCATACTCACGTTGTACGTGCGTGCCAGCTATTTAATATCGTGACAGGTAAAAACAGTTTTCACAGATAAATTGTTAAAAAACTACAAATTTTTCCTCAATTTTTACAGTTTCTAGAGAATTAAGGCAAACTTGTTATTTCATGGCTTCGAATAGTTTGCATCTAACTACAATGTGTTTAAAATATCGACCAACTGTTGTAGCTGCCTTTTGCATTTACATTGCTTGCCAATGGTCGAGATGGGAGGTTTGTTTGAACAGTGATATGAGTCTTATTTAGAAAAAGATTCATCGTCTGAATTTACAGATTCCTGACTCTTCCGAGGGTAAAGCCTGGTATAGCTATGTAGATGAAAATGTCACAACTGACACACTGAAAAAATTGACAGAAGAATATCTTCAAATATTAGAAAGAAGTCCTTCTAAATTCAAAAGCAAAATGAAAGCCATCACGTCAAATGGTCAAACAGCGGTAAGTCGAATTTATTTAGTTAGACTAACAAACATATTTCTAATAATTTAATTTCTTTACAGCCAAATCAAAATCCTTCAGTGCATTCTAGAGATGATGGCCCTTCAACATCTCATGCTCACCATAGAAACCAGCATGACCGACATCATCATCATCATGGTCGAAGTAATTCTGGAAGTAGTTCAAACAACCTGCATAGGAAACAGCCACAAATTGTTGAAGTTGGACAGTCATCTTCGAAACAGTCACAGCATCCTTCAGTTCAAGCGACGACGTCTTTTAAAAGTCAAAATTTATCTCAAAGTAGTTCCAACTCATCGTCGCTTGTACAAAGACCGACAAGACCGTCAGGAAATCCCCAACCACATCCACAAATTTCTTATTCAGGAAATAACGACAGCAATAGTAACACACAAAAGTCCTTAAATGAAGATCGAACACAGCATCGACAAGTGATTGCAGAAACTTCTGTCACTTTTACTGGCTCTTCACTTCCACGTCCTATCGTTGATTCGCAAAAGCGTTTGAATTCAAGTCAACAATCGATAAATATGCCATCACACCAACAACAACAACAACAACAACCACAACAAAATAATCCTCATATTAAACCTACGAGTCATGATCAAAGGCATGTCCAACCTTCGATCACGAAAACGCAATTAGAATATCATCAAAAAGGTGTTAAACAAAATATTTCTGGCAATGATTTTACGAATCGATCAACTTCATCAACCACCCAGCCTATGACACAAAAACAAGGAAACCATATAAAACCATCACAAGTTTCACATCATCAACAAACTACCCATTCAAATCATCCAAATATTAACTACACAACAACTTCATCAACGACAAGTAACGTCCGTAGTAATTCACAATCTTTGCCATCATATAATGAATCAACAATGACAAAGCAAGCTTCAATATCACAACAATCATCAAGTCAGAGTGATTTTTGGTTCAATGATAATAACAAACTACAAGAAACATCAACAAAAGTGACGACACCTCCATCAACAAGACCATCAAAATCGATGTTTTCTCCAAGTCCTGAAAATGACGCTTTCGATCGAACAAAGATGCTTATGATGAATCCTATGAATGCTAGCGTTAAACAACAGAAACAAAATGAAAGTCCAAAAATAGATAAACAAGATCGAAGATCATCAACACCAAGTAAGAAAGAAAGGAAACCTGATATGGCGAAAATTCTCCAACAAAATGATCGAAAACCAATAAATTCGAGAATGGAAAATTCTTCTTCAATAACTTCTACTCTTATTAATGAATCGTCGTCTAAAAAGCGACCATTCACGTTAGTCGACGATGGAATATCTTCAAATGAATATAATCGTGACAACAAAACGAGAAAAGTGGAACATACGACAAAAGTTGAGCCACCAACTGGTCCGATAATGAAGCAACCAATTGAAACAAATCCTGATATCGTGAAGTCACTTCTTCAAGAATGTTACACTTCCAATAAATTTGATTCATTCGGAATGGACAGTCCGTTAGATGTCATTAATCCTGAAGCTGCTTCAATTCCAACTCAACTTAATGTTTCTTTCCAATCTCAAACTAAGCAACAAGAGCCACTGAAAGATACAAATTTAATATCTAAGTTGGAACTGTCAAGAGATAATGGATTTGATGACGATCATCATCATAAGAAGAGTAAATCTAAGAAAAAGAAAGACAAACATCGTCATAAAGAAACACATAAACCAAAAAAGAAGAAAAGCCACAAATCTGATCGCGAGGATCGTGATGATCGTGACGATCAAAAAGACTCTTCCCTTAAAATTATTTTGTCTAAAGAGAAATCTGATTCCAAGAGCTCTCCAGAAAATGTTCTTACTCCAGGTGGATTGAAAATCAAAATACCTATAAAGGATGTCGCAAAATCGGAATTGTCTAACTCTTTATCTCCAATGCCTCCAGCACCGTTAAAATTGAAAATATCAAAAGAAAAATTTAGTGCATTCAATAACTCAGGTCAAACGTTAAATGATGGCGGATTGTCAGCATCTTCATCTCACAAAAAGAGAGACAAAGATCGATCCAAATCAAAGACATCTAAACATGGTAACAATAATAACAATTCTGACTTCAAAGATGTTGGCTTTCAGCATCAACAATTGTCAGTTAATAAGGTTAGTGGGTTGAACTAATGTTTTTGTTACTTATTGTGTCCACATTTTGTCATTATTTGAAACTTAAGTTTGAAAAACTTCATTGAGCTTTCTCATTATTTACTCGTGCTTCTCTTTCTCAAGTAGATAAATCTTTATGTACATAAATATCTTAAAAGAAAATTCCTTTGTTTTATCTATTTTTTTATAGATGGAGTAAAAAAACAGACCTTCATTAAAATAATTTATGGTTCGCGCTTTTGTCCTGGAAAAATATTTTAAAATTAAACATCAAAAATATCGAAACTTTTCCTATTCATAACAATTTGAACCACTTCTTAACTTTTGTCGCATAAACCGGCAAGTTCCGGATGAAAATGTTTGTTAATCAATAAAAAGACAGAATGAATGATTTCATGAACACTTTCTTTCTTTTTTTTTGACTTCATTCAAACCTATCCATAGGACAGATAACTCCACGAAATAATCTAACAATATTTAAATTTATTCATTTTCATTTGAAAACTACTCACAATCATTCCATTTGTGTGCGTGTGATGATATCAATCTAGTGAAATATCGCATCGTACTTGAAATTGTGTTCATGGAATATTTAAATATTTTCTTTCATTATGAACTGAGACAAAACATTTAAAATTTTTAGAAGAGCTCACAAGCTCCTATGCAGCAATGTCAAACTTCGAATGCCTTAAATCCTAGTTCTGTATTTGGAAATAATTCATTTCAACAACAACAGCATCGATCTGGCTTGTCTCAACATTTGCAACACCAACAGCGTCAGCAGGCTCAACAGTATCAACAACATCCAACACTGAATCCCCAATTTTCACAACAACAAAATGTTAATGATATCTATCATAATCCCAATGTGAATTATACAAATGTCAATAACAATAGCAACATAAGCAAGAAATAATTTCCTAGAATATTTTTGAATTTATTTCGAAATCTTCGGTCATTTTATCTTATTTACTTTCTAAACATATTTAGATATCTAAAATATGTATTTACGAAGAATGCCGAAATAAATTGTGTACATAATTAAGGTAATGTTTAGGATTGAAACTCAATTTGAATTTAAGTTCTAGTTATATAGACAGACATGCATTAAATCTGTTAAAACAAGTGTTCGTCCATAATCCTTTAAGGATCCATTGTCACAATACTTCCAGCAGTTTTAATTTATTTTTTAAATTGGGAAACACCAAAAATCATTTTTTTTGTCACACTTCCGACCTATTTATCATTTTCAATTCTCTCTGCTATCCGGAAAATATCATAAGACATTGCTTTGAGGAAAAACGCAATAAAAAGTGCTTGTAAATAAATACACAATTTAGTTCATGTAATTAAATGAAACAAATTTTTCTAACAATACGAATTTGAATAGTTTTTGTTAATGAATTGAAGAGTCTGATAAGGTTTATATCTCTAAAATGAAGAGAAGAAATTATGAGTACATAAGAAAAGTTTGATAGAATTTTCCGGGAAAAGGAAACTCAAAATACTAAACTTTTTATGTTCAAGTAGTTTTTTGAGAAGAAACAAAATTGAATAATTGATGATTACTTTCTCTCGACTTCTAAGTATTTATAATAACATATTATTATGAATTCGTGGAAAACTATGTTATAACATAAATAAATAAAATGTAGGCTAAACAAATTAAAAAAAAAGTTATCATACTAATTAAAAAAGAGGAAAAAACATGAATAAAAATTATAATTCTGGATGAGCACTGAAACAATTGAGTTTTATTTTCATTAAATTGCTTTCTTAATAATTTATTTTTTGTTTCATTCAGAAAGGTCTCAAACAAGAATTTTTTGTTAAGAAAAATTCTCAATTTTCATTTTTAACATTTCAAATTCTTTATTTTTGTTATGCTCGAAAAATAAGCATTAAGAAGATATTAAAATAGAAAAATAATTTAAACTTCCTTTCAAGTCATTCGATACGATTGAACTTCTGATCAATCAGTTTGGCTTGTTGGTGATTGAGTTAAATTACTCGCTAAATTCGAAGAAAAATTAGAATAATTTCCTAATGGGGAAGTAAATGGTGAGATAAAGCGACTCGAACTGTCCATAGGAGACTTTATATTAATAAATTTTCTTTTGTCATTAAATGTCGAATTATCACTTAAAATATACTTTTTCTCAATAACTCTATCAAAGAATTTGGAAAGTTTAACAGCTTCGGTAGATCCAGCATGGAAACTTCGAATGTTGCGACAATCAATGAAAATCTCTTCAGCTCCAATATCCTTTGAAAATTGCTGATTTCTGGAATTTGTCTTTTTCTGTTTCTCGTCGAGTAAATCAAATTTCGTGCCAACCACCAATACGGGAATCTGTAAATTTTGAAACTGAAAGTTAGCAATTTAGCCTTTGAGAATGTTTAATAAAGAATCCAAAAAGTTTTTATGCCTTACTTGTGAAGCTTGTGAACCTAAGAATTGTTCAGAGTCCAGATCCTGTTCGGCGAAGGATTTTATGGTATCCTTTCCACTTTCTTTATTTAATATTTCGTACAGCCAATATTTCAGATTTTCATGAGATTTCCGATTCGTCAAGTCGTGAACAAGAATAATTCCATTCGCCTGCTGATAAAACACTCCTCGTGTATTTTTGTGACTTAATGAGCCTCCAATATCAAAGAGCTAAAATATAATTATATAATCGCTATTGTGTTCATTTACTTATCTAACTCAAACAAACTTGCCTCAATAAAAAATTCTCGTTTTGAATCTTCCCGGTATTCATGTAGTTTAACTTCAACAGAACAGCCAACAGTGTATGGTGGATTTGTCATTGCTTCATTATTTGCAATTAAATAAGCAAGTGATGACTTTCCACATCCTAAATATTGCAAATAATAATCAGATTAATACTGAAAGATTTTAATTCATTTTTATGAGAAATTTCCTAACAGATACAAAGTTTTAAAGGTGAAGCCTGATAAACATTGAAACGTAAAATTATATTTGTCTGTGATTTTTCGTATTTTCACTAGGTAAATTTAAGTTTATTTGATTAATTTTATCATTATCCTTTTCCTTACCTGAATCTCCAGCTACAATTATTCGTACTTTATCGATAGAGTTCATTTCAACACGAAGAATATTAAAATTCGTGAAATCGTAAACTTTCCTAAAAATAGTTTAAGATGACCAAATCTTTTTTGAATTTAACGGTTTCCGTTACAAAATATTTCAATATTTATTTAGTTTTAGAATGAGCGAACAACTTGTAACAGAAGTGCCGTCAAGCCTTAAACAGCTTGCAAGATTTGTTGTAAGAGGATTCTACACAATAGAAGATGCACTGATAATTGATATGTTGGTACGTAATCCTTGCCTAAGAGAAGAAGACATTGGAGAACTCTTAAAATTTGAGAAAAAGCAACTTCGAGCGCGATTAACAGAATTAAAAAATGATAAATTCATCCATTCGAGACTTAAAATGGAGACAGGCCCTGATGGGAAAGCACATAAGGTTAATTATTATTTTATCAACTACAAAACATTTGTCAATGTCATAAAGTATAAACTTGACTTGATGCGCAAAAGACTTGAAACTGAAGAACGTGATGCAACTTCACGAGCAAGCTTTAAATGCACAAATTGCAGTAAAGCCTTCACAGATCTCGAAGTGGATCAACTTTTCGATTTCAACACTGGTGAATTCTCTTGTTTGTTTTGTGGAAACGCCGTCGTTGAAGATTTGTCTGCGATGCCTAAGAAAGATTCTCGACTTATGCTCGCAAGGTTTAACGAGCAGCTTCAACCCTTATATGATTTATTAAGAGAAGTCGAGGGAATCAAATTAGCTCCAGAAGTTCTTGAACCTGAACCAGTTGACATCGATTTCATTCGAGGAATAGCAAAGCCAAACGATGCAAGTGCAACTGAAGTGTGGTCAGGAGAAGCAACAAGATCTGGTGGATTTGCAGTTGAAGAAACTCGCGTTAATATTACCATTGGAGATGCTGATGCCACAGATTCTTTGATACCCAAAAAGGAGAGACCGATATGGATGACAGAAAGTACTGTTGTCGGCACAAATGATCTTGAGGATCAAAACGATCCCGAATCCCTTTTGGAAAAAGTCGCTCAAACATCATCACAATCCAATTCGTGGTCGAATTCAAAAACATCATCTTCATCTACGAAAAACAAAAAGGAAAACGAAGAAAACATCATGTCAGTGTTATTAGCACATGAAAAACAAACAACAAAAGCGAATACAGATGCGATAAAAAATCTAAACACAAATGATAATGATTCTAGCGGTGATTCCAGTGGTGATGATGATGACGAAATAGATCGCACAGAAATACGTAAGAGGATTCAAATAATTTACTGTAAACATTTACACCAACTTTCTTTCTCTCCATTCATAGCTGACATAAGCATAATTAATGATGATGACGATTCTGATGATGATGTGCCAACAGTCATGGTTGGTAATAAACCATATCCTGTGAGTGAAGTCATGGACAATACTGATCTCATTGCTAAAATGTCACCTCATGAAAAAGCTCGCTATATTCAAATTTGTCAGGATTATTATGAACAAAATCTGATGTAAATAAAAGTTTTCAAGAAAGAATAAATAATCTCGTTTCATTTTGTGCTTTTGAAGTGATAACCGATGATAGGTCAGTTGGTCGGTCATTTGAATTTAAAGATGACGTGAATACATAAATCGTGTTTAAACTTGTTTTTGAATAAATTGTGAGAGTTGAGCGCATGTGATAACGACAGACATTTCACAATATAATGAATATAATGAAGAATTAGTCATCGGAATATTTTTCTTCTCAAGTTAAGTATAAAACTGAGAACATTTTCGTGTTAGCTTCATCGACATTTTAAATTTCAACGAGTACAGATAGAGGTGGAAACAAATATCAACGTTGAAAGAATAAGAAGTGTTTTAAAAAGAAAAAAGTTAATTAAAGTAGAAAATGTTTCATCAACACGGTTGTCATAAACAACATCAAAATCAACAACAATTCGCGTCCTTTGGAAGATGTCGACGCCAGCAAGACCAGGGAAGGATTCATCAACACGGTTGTCACAAACAACAGCAAGACGCGTCCTTTGGAACATGTCGACGTCAACAAGACCAAGGAAGGGGATGCTTTAGAATGAATTCAGAGCAGAGCTCTAATCATTTTGCATCGAGCACTTGCTATAGACGTAGAGAAAGTCAAACTCCCGTTGATCATCATCAAGGATTTCATGGTCATCGCATGCAATCCCATCATCATCAACGTAACTTTACCCATGGCCCTCCAGGACACGCACCGCCTTCATATGAAGGAAGAAACCATAGTCATCGTGGATTTCACGCGCATCACACCCATCAAAATAGTCATCGATGCGGTAGCAACGAAAGATTCCAAGAATGTCCTTTTAAACAACGACGACATTCCTTTGACGATGTCTTAAGAAACAAACATCAATGCCAAAGAGATTGTTGAGATCTTCAATCTTATTTTACCATCTTAATTACCACCGTCCATCAAAAATTACCATCAAAAATATTACCAACATAATTATAACATCATTAAGTTTTTACCATCAATAACTAATTAACATCAACTATTAACAACGAAAGTCGATCAAACAACATCTTGAATAAAATAACATCTCAAAAAAAGAACACTCAAAATCAAATATTTCTTTTTATTTATGAATTTGCTTACTTCTTAAAACTTTAACTCGTCTTTTCTTTCAGTCGAGATTTCAAATTGCGTTTGTGATACTCGTTTTAAAGAAGTTTAAGGGATTCGATATTAAAATATTTTATTTCTTTTATAAAATAACTAAACTACATTTCAAATTTAATTATAGTAGATATTCACGATAGTACATCGTCTCGCATGTATGCTGGTTTCTTGTATTGATCTGGATGCATCTTCTTCCGATGTGCCAACATATTGGATTGATTGCGACTGAAATAAAGATATCTGTAGTTAAATTTAATTAAATATAAGAAAACAAAGAACTCACAAAGTTTTCGAACAAAAGCTGCAGGCATAAAGATCTTGCAATGTGTGCAAAGCTGCTTCATGATCAATCAAGTCTCGAGGACGCTTAAAACTCTTCTCACAAAACCGGCATTGATGATTCTTTTCCATCTCGTGAACATATTTGATGTGCTTTCTTAATGCATTTAAATTTGGTGACTTTTTGCCACAGTGACTGCAAGTGTTGTCGAGTTGCTCCGTTCCATGATTCTTTACATGGCGATTATACGATTTGAGATCTGCTAAATAATGTCCACAAATTTCACAACGAATTCGATCTTCTGCTTTTCTTGCGTGAGTTTTCATATGCTCGTCAATAGCATTCTTGGTTCGGAATGTCTTGGAACAAATTTCACATATTTCAATGTGATTCATTGAATGAGTGTAATCCTGTTAAATCAATTAAAATATGTTCACTTGTAGACCTTTGTAAAGTATCTAAATAAATGAACTTACTATGTGATGTTTTAATCTTGCTGGATTAACAAACTTTTTATGACAATTTTCTTTAGGACATTCAAAAGACGGTTCAATGTTGTCAAAGATATGAACACTCATAAGATGGTTGCGTACTTGAAATTTCCTCGAAAAACTCTTTGGACAATGAGCACAAGACTGAATAAGCAGAATTAATCAATGATTTGTTAAATCGACATAAAATATAAAATAACTTACGAATGGTTTAGTTTCATCGTGACAAGCAAGATGCTTGGAGAGATAAGATTTCGAATCGAATGTTTTCGAGCATATGTGACAATTATATCCAAAATTGTAGTGAGTATTCACATGCTCTACAAGTCGACATCTTTGCTTGAAACGTCTTTAAATAAATAAATGAATTTAATCACATAAAAGTCAAATTTAAATCTCAAAAAGTCATCAAACCTCTCACAGCACATCAAATATCCTTCAACACCATGAAATTGTTTGTAATGTGACTTTGCATCTCGCAAGTTGTCAACGGAATCACCACAAATTTCACAATTCATTTTTGCCGTGTCTCGAATTCTTTGATCATCTGCACTGTCGAAAATCGGTGTTGCAGTTTGTCGAGACATTTTCGGACTATCAGATGAAACTTGGGACAAATGTTTTGTTTTCAATTTCTTATGCAATTGCAATGGTCGTGGTGTGATCTCTTCTGTTACTTCTTCAATCCATTCCGTTCCCATATATTCTGCTACATCACTATTCATGACTTCAACTTTGATTAACTCCATCTCATTTTCCTTCACTTCAGCGTCATATATTATAAAGTCCTCAGTGTTACTATCATTTTTAGCATCGTTGACTTCTTTTGCATATAAATTAATATCTTCAATATTTGCATTGTAATTTGACGCAACACAAATGAACAACTCATGAAAGTTTTCCAAATTTATCCAACAACTCTTGCAAAGGACAGTTTGATTACTATTTAAGACTTCTTCCGTCAATACTTGCTACAATTATGAGAATTAATAATGGTTTAACAATTCTTTGAACAAAATATTAATATTGTACCTCATAGAACGGAAAATGTTTCTGAATTAATTCTGCTCCTGTAATCATGTTGCTGTCACCATAATCATAAATATTAATACATTCATCAGGTGTTGTTGTTGAAAAGCATAGCAAACAAGCCATGTTCAGAAAGTTAACTCGAATCTTATAAAAATAGGACTGATAAATTCAACAAATATTTTGTTTATATTTTTTAAACAAACTTAACTGAGGAGACCGAATTCCATCAAACAGCGTCATTTTTATACCTGTAGGTATTTTCAGTTGGGGAAATATCAATATTTGAAAATGCCGTTAAATGTTCATATCAATAATTTTATATGTTTAATCCTAATGTTCATGAGCAATTTTCATAACTTTTTTATTTCATTTGCTCTAAAAAATATTTCTAAATTTTGCATAATCTTGAAGCTTTACCAAAAAACTGAATTTGGTTTGCAATTCTCCCAGTTCGGGTCTCATTCCGCGAGATTTCATCTCTTGTTTCATCTCATTTCATCTCATTCCGCGAGATTTAACAATCTCCACACTTAACTGTCTGGAAAAGGCAGTTTCAGATGAAGAGTGTATAAGTCGAACGACTATCGACACAGCACGCTTAAACAAAAATATTATAAGTTCAGTGTAAGACTTGACTTTGTTTAAGTAAGAGGTGCTTTTATTTCACAGTCTTCGGTAGTGCAGTTGAATTATATAGCAAAAAAAAAAAAAAGAAGTTCAAGACATTCCATGTCTTTTTATTTAAATATAGTTTAAAAGTAACAATAATTAATTATATCAAAAAAATATTAAGCTTTCAATTCACAAGTTGGAATTGCATAAGAAATACATATTTTTAAACATTTAAATCGATATACTTTTGGATTATCCGCATTTTTACAATATGAAGGTAGGAATAAAACATTTTAGAGAAAGAGCAAAAAAACTTAAGAGTTCAATGATCACAAAGGAAAGTAGAACTTAGTAAAATATCCATTTGTGTAGAAAATCCAAATTACCTAAATTTATTCTTACCGCAGCAAGATGGAATAAAAATTTGGCTGTCTTCAATATATATATGGTGAACCTTGAAACACAGATTGAATGCAATTATTTTCTGGACAAAAACTCGTTTCTCGCCTAAAGTGATCTCTAGGTGCAGACAAATATGTTTCGGATAACTGATTTTGACATGAAAATTCCGAATAGTTGGAGTGTATAATAAACAACACGAATGTTAGAAAAAACTTGTAAGCACAAGAATAAGCATAGCGATTTCTTCGCCTTTTGCAAAAAAATTTCTACAGATGAAAACTAAATGTTGAAATTAAGTATTCGCGTTCCTTTCTGCGATAAATTAATATTTAAATCCATACATACCTACATCTAGTTATAAATGATGATGACTTTGAAATGGTAAAGAAAAGTGACATCATGACGTTTATATTTATCAACAAGCGCTTCATTATGAAGTTATTGAAAAAGATCATAGAAACTTTAGGGGTCAACGTTTAAGAATATTCATTTTTTTATTAAACAAACTGGTAATCTTTGGTTTCACCCCTCACCTTGCGTATAATTATTCGATTCTCCGAGGAGAAACTCGAGAAATATTCAAGATATCCGTTTTCATAAATAAAAATATTATATCCCGAACAAGTAATCTTTATGTCTCTGTGCTTTTATGGAGTTACTTCTCTAACTTTCATTTTATTCAGAAAGAAAGTCATCGTACCAGCTTGAAGAAAAAGAAGTATCGAAGTATGAGAGTCTCGCAGGTTCATACGTGACCTCGATACTTCTCTTATGAATGTTTAATAAAAATGTGGCATTTAAGATGCCTTTGATGCTTATTTATTTCTTTGCTGAATAACTATTAAAAATGTTTCATGCTTTTTCATCTATCAATATATCTAGACTGGAATATTTGAAAACAAATCACGAAAAATCTTTAGAGGAAAATTTTCAAGTTCGTGTAGGATATAATTCATTAAATTTTGGGGATGACATGTAAACTTTAGTAAATGAAATATTTTTGATTATTTAAGAATGCTAAAATTTCAAATAAATTGCAGTCGATTGTGAATTTCAAGGTTTTGGCGAAGAAACAACAAATATCTTGTTTCCATATTTTGGTTGCGTTTCTAATGTTAATACCAACAAAAATATTATATAATTTGTAAAAATGAACACTAAACATATTATTCAATGCAAAAATAAGATTCAATGTCGTGAATATTTCCTGATCTCTTAAAAATTGCAGTACTTTAATTATCGTTCAAATTGCTGTCCATCTCAATGTTTCTCATGGGAACTTCAACTTTTATTCAAATTAACATAAAGAGAAACAAAAGTCGAACACAAAATATTCTCACGTTCTACAAGAATCAAATCGCGAAAATCACGTATCGTGGCGATATTCGAAGACAAATCCTTGACTTCCAATGAGAATACACTGGCAGAGTGTGACATTACTCAAATGCCATACATATCTATTTGAAATTTAATGTTAGGTAAATTAGAAAAATGTGAGAGTTAAACCCACGCAAGCTCGATTTAAATATTTTATTATGTTTCACGACACCACAACTGTGTCGTGAAACATAAGCACGAGTTAGATTGGTTGATAATTTTCTTCTTTTTTTTATTAAGAAAACAAAGAAATTTCTTTTTTATTTTTTATATTAAACATATATAATTTATCTGATTTTTTCCAAAGCTTTTTTCTAATGGGAGTAGAATTGAACTTAAAGCTAAAACTTTCGATTTTCATCAACAAAAGAAATCAAGTAAGAAATTATGTATTTTAGGATGTCTCAAAGATGACTGACGATATGTAAATAGTCACAACAAAATTTCATGACTTTTTAAAACTTACCAAATTTCAATCATTGTTTTCCTGACTACGCGTGAATTTAAAACTATTTGAGATAAAATTTGCATTGTAATTTCTCAAAACTTCTTTTTTTGTTTTATTTTTCAAATCAGCAATGTAAACAGTTATTCTTATAAAAATATTAAAAATCTTTTGGCACAAAGATAAATGAGAAATAAACATATTTATTTAAGATCATTTTATGTTCTTTCATTTGTAAGTTCGTAGCAATATTCTCATAAAAATAAGTATAATAGATACTCAATGATATTGTTAGATGATTTATAAAGATAGTTCTGTAATAACTTTCATAATTATGATTCTGATTAGTATTCTGTATATCGACAACTAAATAGATTGCTATGAAAGTTATTTTAAATACTGTTTGATGACCACTTCAATCTTCCAAAAATTAATTTCAAGCAATTTCCTTTCCAATTTCCTCAAACAAAATTTGATTGATTGCTATTAGTTTTTGTCATCTGTCGCAAGTACAGTTAAAGTAACGTTACGTTCATATAAAACCTTAAGGCTTTTGCTCAATGTTCATGATCGAAAAAAATTAGTTGTGGTATGTTCCTTTAACAACAACTCGACTTGATACATTCTTCTTCTGTTTAATCAAGTGTTGTCGAGTAATTTCTTTTTTTTTTTTATAAAAAAAGTGTTCAATGTACGTAGAAATATGAAAATCATTACAAGATGACAAAATGATTTTATGAGCAACTCGTATATGAAAGCTTTCGTTTATTGAACTCTCCAAGTAATCAATTAAAAGCTTTCATTTTATCTTAGAAACGCGTTCAACTTGTTCCAATCATCATTATATGTTTTTTGCTGTTTTGTACCGCTAACGCTATTAGAATTAATTCACAATAGGAAACATAAGCCCTGAAGTTAGCATTGATGACTATCAAGATTCTTAAAGTATTTCGAGACTTAGTAATTGTCTGTTGCGTAATTCATTCTACTATATTAATGATGGTTTTAAATATCATCTGACACGATTTTACTTCTTCATGAAATTTAATTCGATTAAAAACTTTGTAAATATTCATCGAGTTTCATGAGTAAAGTGAAGATCTAAATGTTGATGCTAGTAATAATTCGAATGCAAGCATTAATGTCAATACGAACTGATATATAAACTAACACAATAAACATTAAAAAATTTAAATTATACATTTCTGAATCTATCGAAAGATGCAGTAAACAGTCGAACGAAAGATTGTTATGTATCTGCCTACTTACCCACTGATACACGATGAAATTTCATTCACTTTTCAGTTCATTATCATTCATGATTACTGCACATGCATATTTTAGTGCTTTCATAAGTGGAGCAAACTGGGTAATTTTCGTTTTCACTTTAATGCCATTATCAACCACTAATGCTGCACTAGCCCAGATTCATAGTAGATAGTTTGTTATTTACAGAATCTAGATATCAACTCATACTCAGATATTTGATTTAGATATTTTATCAAGCATTTGTGCAACTTCATTCGAACACGAAATTGAAAGGAGCGACTCATTCTCATTTACCAAGGCAATAATAGTGGCAAGATGAATCTACTCGACATTTAGTGCGGAATAAATTATCAAGAAATCTTGGTTTTTTCTCCATGTTGCATTTAAAACTTAGATTTTCTTGTTCTTTTTTCTTTCTGTGATCAATGTTGTATATTTTAAAGCCTATTTATTTAACACATTCTTTTACGCTTTAGTAACATGTCATTGTCGTCATTGTCAGTGTGGGAACTTAAAGCATTTTGTATCTCAAATTATTCGTAAACGGTTGTTGAACTTTATAAAGCATTTCAATGAAATTTCTTAATCTTCAAACGGGAAATTCACAAATACATAACGAGGCTTGTTATCGTGACCTTTCTTCTTATTTTTTCTGGTTTTCAGTCGATTCAACAAAGCTTTTTTTCCTTGCAGCAAATTTATATCTTTTCTCAGTATGCTTACGTAATATAATCAATCAGAAGACTCAGTAACAACCTTTATGTACTTCCATCGACAGTATAGACTTGAAGCAAAAGAAGAATATTAAATTAATTGACTTTAAGCCCCGCCACACCACTTTGATGAGCTAGCTCTCTAAGATATGTTAGTACCAACGCAAATATTCTATTATAACAGAATTGAATCGATTTTGGAGAAAAACAGTTGGTAATTACCTGCGTAGGTTAAAAGCACATTCTAAGTGTACTGTAATTAGTCTTAAAATTCTACAGTTAAGTTACACTGATTGGAAATTAAGTTTCTTCATTTCAGTCTTTATTCCATTTTACCTAAATGAAGATGAAGAAAAATATTTCCATGAAATTTGAGTAGATTTGGAACAAATCTTGGCTTCATTGGCGAATCTTCAAATCTTTCTCCTTGGAAGAGTTTTTGATTTTTCTCTCCCGACTAAACTTCAGAAGTTCAAAAATTTGTTAATGCTTCATGCATTACAAAATAAGTAAGTCGGAAATTGCATTGAACAAGAGACGAACTATTTGAGAATATGATTTCACTTCCATCGTTGAAATGTAGAAATCATTGCGATTAACATGATTTTTTATTTTGCCAACATTTTAGAGGTCTAAGCTTATAATGAACGACAAAATTGTGTTGCGAAAGAGAAGACAAGTAAATAAAAATATCAAAAAAATCATCATCTCATCTTCCTCATAAATATGCAATTAATCGGCTCTTGACGATGTTACATAAACATAGCTATGATGAAGTTTAAATCCATTTCACGCAATACTGATTCATTTTGGTTGCCCTAGCTTAGTCTAAAATATTTCATGGATTTTCTTTAGCATGAGTAAGTATGGTCAAGTTTTGAAATGTTTGAGTTTCGGTCGATAGACTTTTTGTATCTAAAAGAGTTCATGAGAAGAAATAAAAATTGAGATGCATCTACGCGGTGGTAAACAATTGAAGGCTGTAAAAAACATTCGTTCGAGGTTAATTATAGAAGGAGAACGTTGTAGAGCAAGCCCGGAATGTCTGAATTAACTTTTTTTGGCTCATTTTATCACAAATTGTGACTGATTAATATCTGAAACAAATTTTTTTAACTGTGTCGTATCTATTTATTACAGAACAAATAATCATCATCGTTAGACCGAATTGAGTTGCTTAAACATACAAATAAGCCATCATCATATGACGATTGACTTGAATAATCACAGTTATGGCTTTGTTGTCGAAGAAAGACGTTCAAAAAGCCTCTTATTATGTCTGGTTTTTGGGTGCGCAAGAGTCGAGAGAACTACGAGGTGATCGAGTGTTAATATCGACCATTCCTCGTCTCATTGATCGATCAAGGCATCAGGAACCACTCAAAGTTACGCTTCAAATCTCCCATAAAGGTCTAAAAATTATCCAGGTAAGTTACGCAGCCACTCACAGCTGTTCAATTCACTCTCAATTTTGTGCTAGATTCAATTCATTAAACACGTTGCCAGCTATATTATTAAAGATACATTTTGTTGCGACACCCAAGAAAAAAGTTTTATACATACATGTATATGTATAGAAAGATATTTAATAAAATTTAACAAAAAATAATGTTAATTAGCAAACAAAAAATCTTTCACGAGTTTGATATTGTTCCCTTTGTTCATACGTTTTTACTTTCTAAGTAAATCATATTTGTTCACTTATTTTCAATGGCGATATTTTTTCTAAAAAAAGAGAATAATGTGCCCGAATTATTTTTATTGTAGTTTTATTGATGTTTTTATTTCTCCACAAAACATTGTGTAATATTGGATGTTGACTTTTTATTCATTTCAAGGAGCTTTACAAAAAATAAATGTTTTTTATTCTTTTGTTTCTTTTTCCCCGTTTATTATAAATAAATCACATTCAAGTAGACTTACAAGACTGATGAAAAATGTCAAGATTATTAAGTACACATAATAATTTTTTTTCAACAGGGATCGTCGAAACATTTCATCCCACATAATGCAATTACGTGTTCGATCGTGGAACAAGATATTGTCGCTTGTGTGTTGCTGCTGTACAACCCAGTAACGAAATGTCCACTTCATGTTCACGCTTATCGATGCGACTCAGATGCGACAGCTCATGCACTTAACGATCAATTACAAATTCTGATTAAAAAACCGGAGAATCAAAAACGTTTTGCTGAGCTAGAATTAAAGTGAGTATCAATAGCTGATGAATAAATCATTTTGCATAAAGTGTTTATAACGAGAGACTTTCTCTCTAAGTTTTAAAGAAAGAAAACTCGTTTTGATTTAAAATAGAAACTGATATGTTAATTTCTCATACAACTCGAATGCGTTATTGTACATAACATTAATAAAACCATTTTAAACCTATTGCCAATAGAGAAAATTACTAAACGTCACGCAATCGCACATAATCATCGAATCACTAGTGATTGACGTTTTTTTTTATTTATTGTCCGCTGTAATTCAGTATTTGATGGTGTTCATCCATCTAAGTGTTCGACCTGAAGATTAAGATAAAAAGAAGAAGAATGAAGAAGCTTAAATAAGTAACACTCGAAGAGAAAGAGGAAGCGAAAGTAATGAGAAGTAAAGTGGATAAATATTCAAAATAATTGCTTGCGTTCAATTCCGTTCTGAACTGGTTTCATTCAAGTAGCTCACGTACATACAAGAACATCTTCAAAAGAAATTTTCAACTTTTACCCATCAAAGTGTCAGGAAATTGTGTTTATGCAAACTTCATTTTCTCTCATGAATGCATGTTAACATGAATATGCCTATGCTCACATTTCAAATAAAAACTTTTGACAAACATCGTCAACAAGCAAATTTTCACATTTAATGAGAGATTAATTTCAAAATCTCGCATCACCTCATCTAAGCGCATGATTTCATGAGAGAAAAGGAAATAAACTTAATCAGTAACTGTAATGAAAGTTCACATGAGAATAACATGGATTTAACGACACACTTTTATATTCATTGAAACTTTCAGACGTGATCTTTATTTCACATTCATCATTACATTGTTTCTTCGTCTGGAATGTGTGTCAAAGCATTCTTCAGTCATGTGCGATCTTTTATGTTTATTAAAAATATATCTGCACCACTAATCATTTGCTCAACCATTGTGTTAATTAGATGTCGAACTGCTATTATAAATGACTTAAAAAAAAAGATGAGACCACGTAACAGAGACTAATTCAATTTGACAATGTTAGATAATAAATTATTTATCAACATCATGAAATTCAACAAAATTTGGCCAATACTTGGAATGCTCCACATTTTTCTTAAGCTCGCTTTGTTTGATTTTCTGCTAATGATATAACGTAATAATTTGTTGTGTGAAACTAGGTATTAATTAAATCAGTCGGTAGACAAAAGAAATGCTTTGATGCTTTAAGACAGAATAAAAGTAGTTTTAAAGTAAAGTTGCCATGCGATGATGAAAGCAGAATAATTATTAAGTTACCACCTCTCATGAGTTTCAAGACTTAGTTACTAAAAAACCACCAAGCTACTAGTAGTTGAACATTATAAATTTTATTCATTCCAGACTTGAGCATTCTCTAAAGGCAATAGAAAGGTCTAAGCCTTTGTCAATGCCAGAACGAAAAGAATCAAGAAATTTTGAGATGTCAACAAGACGTTTTGATTCTTCATTAGGAAGTGACACTGGAACAAGCACAAGAGAATCTGATTGCAGTGAAGAGCATCAACATTCACCAATTGAAGCACCAACACACCTTTATGACTCTCTTGCAGCTGAATTAAGAGCTAAACTCAATGGAAATGGCCCACCTTTGTTGCTACCACCACGAGATTATGATACAATTAGCAGGTATTTGAACGATTATTTCTTTTTAAGATGAAAAAATTCAACTTAATGATGCTTTTAAAACTTTACAGATCCCAAGGAAATCTTAAAGCTGTTGATTTGCGAAGGTAACACATAAGTTTTTTTTTTACTTTCAACTAATCATTAAATTTTCATTCAGATGTCAAAATCTCTCTATTGTGGGAAAAGAAATAAGAAATATTAAGCGCAATCATATCTCATCATATGGATCGTCTGGAATTGGATCAGACCTGGCACCAAGTCCTGAGCGTCAAGAAGAGTTGAGTACAAGCTCAAGTGGTATGTGTTAAGGAAATAAATTTTGATCAACTCAGTGATTTACGTTTGTTTGTTTGTTAGCAGAAGATTGGAAAAATGATGAGAAGGAAATCAACCCGAATATCATTCGCAAAATGGAAAAACTTCAGATAAGACAATTTCCTGTAGGTGAAAAACTTTCGCCAACACGTTCATCGGAAAATCCACCAAGTTATATTTTTCCGAAAGATTCAGTTGATAACTACAAAGCAAAAAATAAATTTGAGAAATCGGCTTATCGGAAGCAGACATCACGCGATGAAAATATTCCGAATATCATGAATAAACATATCAAGGAAGCATATGACGAAAATTCAAAGAAATATTATCATCACAAGCAGATTAAAGAAAAAGGTCATACAGACGATGAAAGAATAATAAGTGGAGGTTTAATGAAACGTCAAGTTGAAATATATCGTCAAATGAACAATATAAATGATTCTAGAAAGCACTTACACAATAGTTACGAAGAATATGATCGCGAGAATTTAACAGATCGTCAGAAGTATCGTGAAATACTTGATATCAAAAGATATCAACATCGACCAGATGATGTTGAAAGACAAAGAAATAATGAACCAAGACCAATTTCACCAGAAATCAAACAACAAAGAACACTTCAGAGAAAATCAAAATCTTCCGGCCGTTATGAAGTTCATGAGATTCCATCTGAAAGGAGTAGAAACAAGAGTAAAGAAGAATTTGTTGAGCGCAATCCATATCGGGAATCTGAAAGCTTGCCATATCGCCAATCTATTGAAAGTATGTTGAAATCACCAGTTATGAAATATAAATCGAGAACTGATTATCAAACACGATCGCCATCCCCCAACTATGAGATGCATCGTAGAGATTCACAAAATCGTAACCACCTGATTGCCAACAGAGTATCAGATCGAGATAGAGAAATTTATGTCAAAGATAGTTCACCAATATCAACAATGAAACGAACTTCTCCAAAAGATCGTTTTCAGAATGCTAAAGAGAAATTCCAAGCAATGGAAAAAATGAGATTACAACATGAGTCGAAATCAAAATTGAATATTCGTCGTTCGGAACCGTCCCGCTATGATGCAAATTATCGTCAGTCTTGTTCACCCGAACCGAGGTTTGCACAAGGTGAATGGAGTTCTGAAGAAGAATATCCAAATAATATTCGTGATTATCGGAATATTCCACCGGCACCACGAGCTTCCCACTATCATCATCAACAGAGAATGGTTCCAGCTAAAAGTTTAGGAAATCTCCCAAAGGGATATCGTCACAGCTATGCGGAGCCAATAAAATATTGCAATAGAGTCGGCTTAGCCGCTATTGAACCTTTCTAATTTTAATCATTTTTAAAAAATAGATATTCAACATATTCTTCTATAAATAACTAAAACGCCATTGTATCAGTTGAAAACAAATAAATCTGAATTTTATCATAGAAATTTTATTTTTTCAATGAGTTATGTTAGTGTTTGGAACTAGATAAATCATTTCAAGTTAGTTTTTACATTTTAAAACATTTAACATGCCTAATTGCGTAACTTACAGATTCTTCATCCTTCTTGTCTACCAGCACCATCTGTTGTTCAGTTTGTAAAATAACTTGTTTGGATCACACTGACATCTTTTCCGTATTGGGATTACGCTGGAGCAAAGCGCATTAAAAAAATTATCTACAAACAAAGGATATGTAACTTTGTCGATATTAAACAAAATTCATTAAATTCTTTGTTTTGTTTGGAAGGAAAATGTATCCCAACAGAGTTTCATCAATTTTGGAGTTACCAGAATGTGTTTTAGAAATAATAATGTCGTATCTCTCATATGATGATATTGCAAAAAATAGAATTGTAAGTATTGCGTTTAATACGAAAACAAAAATATTAAAAAGTAAAAAAAAATAAAATTCAGGTTTGCAGAAAGTTTAATCAAATCAACATGAATCTGTTAAATCATGGATTCTTTAGTCTTTTGAATTGTCACGCAAAGCATTTGAAAAGAATTAAAGCACAATTGCCTCGACGGGAATCAGAGAGACGATACCATCCTTGTAAGAATCATAAATATTTAAACAAATTGTGAATTACGAGATTATTTTGAAACTTTTTAGTATCTAAACACTCCGATGTTCTCACTTGCATTGAAACTCGTTTATCTATGCTTTCTATGACATACCAAAAATACATTCAAAATGGAACAGGTTGCTTTATCCCTGGTAAAGTGATTGATGAATGCTACAAAATTTTACGTGCGATTTCATCATCTCAAGCTAATGACACAAAAAATCTTAAGACACATGAAATTCTGCAGGAACTTCGGGATATTTCTTCCATGGCTATCGAGCATTTTGATGAAAAAATTGTTCCAGATATCAAAAGAATAAGACCAGAGTCAAATGTTTCAATCTCATCTATCTACGATATGTTCACAACTCCCCGTACAAATTCAAGCTTTGATGGACTTGGATTTAATTTCTCAAGAACCTCTTCAAGTTCCTCGTTATCATCTGCAAAACATAAAGATGAAGGAGCAAAAAAATCTAAATCAAAATTCTCATCGATTGTTAAACTTTACAAGAAGCAATCTAAAATAATTAAATGCCAATCTAAACAAATCTTACTCATGATGAAGAGTATGAAACATTTAAGACGACGCTTAGACGAAAGTGAAATTAAAAATCGTGAAATTTGTGCTAACATAAAACAGCTGAAGGAAGTTAATAAGCCACAAGTGAATGCACCAGTGCCAGTTGAGAGTGGAAAAAAACGAACTGCAACAATGATTTTAAAGCGAAGATTGAACGAATAAATTTTGTCAACAAAACGTCGTAAATATTTATGACAAAAACGTTGATATTCTGATCGAATGCATCTTAAATACCTATTTATTATATAAGGAATTTCGTCATCAAATTTTTGCATCTAGTTTTCTTTTTTCTTTTGAAAATGCTTCATATCTGTAACCAATTTATAATAAATCTTCGATTATTCTGATTCAATAAGGTTCTAATTAGCATTGTTTTTATTGATAATACTTCGACTACTTACATTCTTAGGTATTTAGATTCTTAATTCATCTCAATAAGTTTTATTTATAATCTGTAAATCAAATTTTAGGGAGGCTCTCCGATACAAAATCTCCTCAAATCAAGACATGAGAAATTATACATAAAAAAACTAAACTTTCACAAAAGAATTTATTATTTGAAATTCCATTTTCTATTTTATCCAATAATGATATTGTTATAAATAGAATCTGTTATTTTATGCTTCATAAATATTTTCGGAGTTATATAGTTAGTTGATTTTTCTAAATTATTATACTTGCTCTCAAAGAAACCATGAACAGCATTAGAAGTTTGTGGAATATTAGGTTTTTGTTGTTGAAAGCCATCATTTGAAATTTTCTTTTGATCGCTTTCGATATGAGATTCTGAATATTTAATTACTGCTTTTTGTAAACATTTTATATGATGAGTTCCAACTCGTTTGCGACCACATCGACATAGCTACAATAGAGAGAAGTTTAATTTTAAGCAAATTAAATAGCTTTTCCAACTTAATATGTCTGAATGATCATTTCTTACATTCATTGATGCAAACATTCCCTCAGAAACAAAAAAAGTTTCTCCAGTGTTTTGCTTCTCGTTTTCTTTTGAAAATCATTTAGATAATTAGTTAATTATAATTGTATAGAATATTAAGAATTCCAATCAAATAAATATCTTCTTACCTTCCAGAATTATTTCATTAACTTTAGTGTTTAAAAACTCTTGATCGTAAAATTTATTTATTTCTGGTTGCGACATGAATAACCATTTCTTTGCGTATTCTCTCCGTGATCTTATTTCACGGTCCATCTGCTCACGTCTAATCAAATAAATATTAAGATAAAATTTAAAATTGTGTCTTATTTTCATCACAGAAAATATTATTCGTATCTTACATTTTCCCTTGGACCTTTGAAGGATCAAGTTTACTCATCTTAAAATATTTATTTTAATACTAATTTCCTATTACAATTTGTCAATTTGTAATAAAAAATATACTAAGAAGAAGATACTTTTTTCCACTTTGTTATTTTTGTTTCCAAAGGAACCATTCATGTTCTCAAAACACAAAAGCATAAATTTTGGCAATAAAGTAATTAATCGAAATAATTTTTTTACTTATGACTGACACTACGGCTGATTAATCATTTGAGATATTTTCAATCCATAAAAAATATCGATTTCTTGTTTCCTCGTCATATATTTGTGTTGTATTTATGGTTATTTATTTGACAATTAAAGTATTGTCTTAAAGTTATCTTTCATCTATTTCGTGTTTTTCCTTTTAGAAAGCCTTGTTGACATTAGTCGTTTATTGAATGTTGTGTTGTAAAGGCTTACATAAAACCCGGGGAGAAATTTATTGCTAAAAGCATACTAAATTTTTTAAAAAAATTCATAATTCAGTTTAAACAGTATTCAGACTTAGTTTTGGTAAAAAATTTAATCTAATTGATTAGAATCATGGGTAATATTGTTAATCGACGTAAGACAGAAAGAGATATTCCAACACCAGAAATTATTCCTCTAACTACAAAACAAATTGATATCGTTCGGAGAACGTGGGAAATTCCAAGTGCAAAAGTCTCAGACTTTTCTTATGAACACAAAGAATGATTAGAACAATATTTTTTCTTTACAGCTCTATGACTCCGGAGAGAAAATACTTTTTATGTATTTTGATCGTTTCCCAAATAATCAAGATCGATTTATCGCTTTTAAAACAACACCTTTGTTAATGCTAAAGGTTTGCATATTTAATTTTAATACTATGAATATTCTAATCTTTTTAATGTTGTCATTAATAAAGGGAACCCCAGGATTTAGGTGATTATCATAGGCGTACAGGCTCGCTTTATATATCTTGTTGATCATTTATCACACAATCACAAGAAAACCATTTTTATTCATTTTCAGAGCCCACGCTTCTAAAATAATGAATGTTTTAAGCAGTATCATAGATGCACTAGATAAAGATCCTGCACTTGTTGGTATTAAAAAAATTGCAGGAGATGGTAAGTGAATGACACAATTCATCACCTCACCTAATTGTTGATATTTTTCCACAAATATGGAAAACGAAAGTTGGAAAATCACACAGTAAAAAAAAATCACAAAACAATCTTTTAATGAGTTACGTGAAGTCTTCTTGCTATATCTATCAGACGTGTGCCATCTTGATGATGAAGGTATATTAGAATATAATGACAATTTGATGAAAAATATATTTTTAAAATTCCATCTAGTTATTCACTAAGTTAAATTTTATTTTGTTAGGACGAGAAGCTTGGGAAAAATTATTAAACATTCTTTATCACGTAGTATTTGAATGCATAGATGGTCGTTCTGATGAATTCAATTAAAAGATGTCCCTATTCTAGAATTACATATTTACATTGCTTTCAATAAAAATCAGAGTTGGGATTTGACTGACTGACTGACAGACATTGACTTGTCAGTCAGTCAGTCAAACGACTTGAGCGGAACATTTGTATGAACGCTTCCCAACAATCGAACATTTTTGTTTGCGATTTTGACTGACTGACAGACTGACTGACAGACATTGACATGTCAGTCAGTCAGTCAATCGAGTTGAGCGTGCAACTTGCCCATCTCTGGTTGCAATCGTTGGACAAATTGATGCATTTATGCC